TGAGAGGGCAGAATTTTGCCGCTTAGCACCCATCGAGATCAAGGCAATCCGCCCTAGGGGAGACTGAATCACCTCCGATCAATCCATCTGCGCCAAGGGACACCTCTCAGCAACCCCAGAAACAAACAACTGCTTGGGGGAGATTGGCTTGTCCGCCGACAGCGATTGCCGGTAAGCCAAGGCAGATGATGGCATTTTTGCCGCCGGAGTCGATCTCCGGGTCGAATTGCAGTCTCGAGTGAACATCTGGCCGTCTGCGACTGGTGGAGCAGCACATGGCAAGCGCATGAACCGACGGCAGAGGTGCGACCGGCTTTTTGTTAAGCGATGGCATCTTACCAGCCCTACTACTGCGAACTTGTGTTCCAGGAGCATTTGTCTCAAGCGACTGTGCCGCATCGTGGAATGCCCCGTAGTCGGCTGCTGGGGTTTTGCACAGTTTTATCCGGTCGATCAAGGCGTCTGGACCGCGATCGAACTGCAATCAGATTGATAGGATGTGTGGGAGAAATCATGCGATTTTTATGCGACCGACTAACGAAAGGCTAGAAGCAATGACGTGAGGAAAAAGAAAATATGGTAAGCGAACTCTTGAAATTTGGCGCAGTCGCATGCCAGGCACGCGAGTGTGCTTGCAGCGGCGTCGGATCTAAGACCTGCAGACATGGTAAAGGGTGTGATTGTGGGGGTGCCACGAGGAGAAGGAAATTGTCGAATACGAGTCGGGCATGCCATGACGTGTATTGATCGGCGGTTGTGAGGTGCGAAGGGAAATACTAAAACCAAGTGAACAATGTATGGTTCGATGGCAGCACATTGATGTTTCTGGCACCGGTCTAGAACCCCGATGCGGACGTTGGCGAAATGTGGGACGGCAACTCCGAGCCCGGGGCGGGGGCCAGGGCGGTGGTGACCGGTTTTGGGCGGGCCTAGATCATCGGGGCGGGATGAGACCACAGGCAGGCGAAGCTACGGCCCGGCGGGGCATACCGGTCGGAAGCACCCGATGGCGAGAGATGTCAGACTGAGCTCAGATCGACGAAGAAGGCTGCCGGCGATGTTTCGTAAATTAGATACGATGCAAGAAACTCCTTTAGGAAGACCCTGCAGCACGCAGGCGCATATGTGTGATCTCGTCTGTGCACAAATCATGGTAAATGTGGGCGCCGATGTCGAACTCGCGGGCTTGAACTTCGCATCGCCGTCAAGATGTAACTACTGTTGTGCGGAGTTTTGGCCGCGTACAAACTTCTGGATTAAGTGACGAGACCCACGTTGGCAAGAGTGAAACCCGTGACTGTGGTGCAACAACGCTTGTTCGCAGATTGACGGCGGGGCGCCGTTTTGCTTAAAAGCCAAGAACGAAGGCTGCGTATATTCAGCGTCGATTTGCCATGACGAATTGCCGGTTCGGGATCAAGGGCCCAAAAAAAAGGAACCGGCTCGCTGTGTGGAGACTGAAGAGCAGATGACTGCAGGATGTGCGGACATGTAGCATGGCACAGCATGGAAGACGCGGGCTCCTGGCGATGAGGACGTCTGAGCATCGAGCATCGTGCGCTGATCGAGACTAGGAGTCGGCGTGGTTCTCATCGGCGGGTTCGGCTATTTCGGTATGGCCTTGTCACCCGGGCCGGCGGTAGGTGGGCACACTCAAATGAGTTCGTCATAATTATGGGCGTCGTTGGTTGGAACCGCGGCGCAGAGAAGGTAGACAGGAGAGTGCTTTTGGAGCTCTGATGCTTGCAGGTCGAGCAGTGAATGCAGATCGAAGTGGTGTTGTATGAGACTGCAGTGGCCAGGGGTTCGAGGTCTAACAGCGACGGTGTGTGACTCGGGTAAGGTAATTGAAGGTAATCCAATCTCAGGTAAGGCATTGCCAACCTTGGATCAAGAGCGAGATTGAAGCCCAAACGAAAATGAAATGGCTTTGGCAGGTTTTGGCGGCCCGACTGTGCAGCATTCTGATACACGATGGAGGCCGTAACTCGGATCCAATGTCTTGGGACTGGGAGAGCGCCCGCAGGTGCACGCGTGGTGTTGGATGTGTGGGAAAAGGCCACAGAAGCGTGCTATCGGCAGGGCAGCGTCGGGACAGACGCCACCAATGAGTTCAATCCAGCCAAAGGGTTGGATGCTGGAGCTACAACCCTGGTCGAGCTGGAAATAGCGTTCCCATGTTGCTGGCGAATGGCATTTCATCCTTCAGCTGAAGAAGGATGTGGAGGAAAGGCGCCAAGCAGCAGTTCAGCTGTGCTTTCTTCTCCGACCAGTTTCGCCTTCAGGGTCTCTCCAACCGTGTTGTTGGACTAATTAGCAAACTAGCTGTGACTTGGTCAAAATGCATATTTGGTGAAAAAGGTTCTTGGAGACAAACCGCTAGCTTGATTCGCAATTGGGGCTGACACGATAGGCGGGCCAGATACTGAGTCAACCCTCAAGCTGACAAGTTCTGTGTGTGCCGAGCTGCCACGGCCACGGTGCGTTCCTGAATGGATCGGCCGAGTGGCTGGGTTCGTGGCCCGGGACAGTGGTTTCTCAGCACCCGCCAAATGAAACTCGGGAACAAAGCGGTGGATGAAGTGGTGTCGATGATTCATCACATCTGAGGGCCGCCGCCTTCTGCCCCGAGCTCCATTACAAGCCGCATGACAGACAGGGAAGATAGTTGAAGTTGGCTTCGGGTCTGCTGCGTTGCGCTGATGGTGGAATGCCTGACACGAGTGTGCCGTGATTGATGATGGGCGGGCGGGCGGAGACGTTGTCCAATGTTGAAAGGATGGGATGTGATGGGAATCCTCGTCACCGGACATTTGGAGCCTTCCTTGGTGATAGTTTCCCATGCCTGCCATTAATGCGGAAAATTAATCAGTACCAGGTCGGAGGCATCCAGTTGGCCGGGTACATGCAGCGAATGCAAACAGCGCCGTAAGGAAATGAAGACAAGAAAGAAAGAAGGATGTCGATGTGAAATGAAGAGGAAGTCACTGTTTGGTGGAGGGTACATGTCAATGTCAGTATTGTCAATACATTTCCAAGGTAGACACCAGAGACACCGTAGACATCAGGTAGGCAGGGTGTTCCGCGGAAAGACCCCGCTTTTCCAGACCCAAGGATCCGTCCGGGTGGACTCGATCTCGACGACCCCGGACTTTATCTCTGCATCAGACGTCCCGACTCGATCTCGGTGTCATCTTTCCCATCCTGCCACCATCGCCATCATCGACAACGCCAAAACGCTTAAACGCGTCCTTCCTTACCTTGCCCTGCCCTGCTGCCCTGCTGCCCTGTCCGCACGCACTTAGCCGTGCTGCAACCTGCAACCTGCAACAGACCCCCTCGTCTTTTTCCCCCTTTGATCCCAAAGTCAGCATTGGTCATCGAGCAATCATATCATCAAAGTCCATGTCAAGGACTGGACTGGACCGGACTGGGCGAGACTGGACTGGCTTTTCCATGTCCCGTCACCCGTCATCTTTCTCTCCTTGCCTTATTGGGAAACGACCAGCTTTTAGTACTCTTGATGAAATGTCAACTTTCCTGCTGGATCGCCTGACATGGCATTCCAAATTGAGAGGCCAGTCTTTAGGGTCTCCGGGGCTGTCAGGGGCCTAGACCCAACTGGTTTAAGAAAATCTCAGGGTCCAATCCGGTCATGGGTTGTGAAGCCCCCATGGAAGAGTGTGATTGAGCAAAAGAGCCTCGGAAACCACTCCGACGTAACAGCCGCCCTCTGCAACTCCTTACTTACTGCACTATCCGTACAGAGTACAATTTTTCACTCTCCCACCACACTACCTTTCTTATTGTCACTACACATTATCAACATACATCTCGGCTTATCCATTCAAGAACCAAGGTTATCCCGTATCATCAAAGTCACACGCTTGTTACCTGTCGCCGAACGCCATACGCCGGACTTCACTCCACATTCAAGCGGGCTTGAGCATATTGTGAACCAACCTTCCAGGTTGAGCTCTGTTGGTGGAGGGAAGCTTGACCCTGCATCAATCTCATGAGGCCAAGTCCCCAGTACCCGTCCCCGTCCCCGTCCCCGTACCAGTCCCATTTCTCTCAAGGTATCCGTACGGATACTCCTCAGGTGGTGTCCTTTCCCTTGTCACCAAGCCGGGCTGCGTAAACCACTCTCTTCAGTGCTCCATTAAGGATACGCCCTCTCTCTCTACATTGCCCCAAAAACAGAAATCTCTTCCCACCCCAGCTACGTACGGGCACCTTACGTGACTACTCCGTACTTCGATACGAAGAGTTCGTGGGATGAGAACCGATCTTTGCCTCCCGGCCGAGACTTTCCCATCTCATCCCGATCATCTAACCTAAAAGTCGATGCCGTCGGCGCTTGCAGCCTCATCGTCCGACCACTCAACCATCGAATCGCGGCAAGACCCCTGGATTAGCGGCAGCTGCGTCATTCCAATCGGGGCGAACCTAACCTCCTACTGCGGTACTCCCACTCCGGCAACACTCACCGGGTCCTGCCTTGCCCTAAGGAACCCTGCCACTACGTGTATCAAAGGCCACATCCTTACCTTCCGTCTCTCGCCTACTGCCCCCGGCTCCTAGTCTGTTTCTACCCAGGGCACCTACTTCATACCTACTTTTATCTTACCTTACCTACCTACTTGGGTATATTTGCCTGACAACCTTTGTGGCGATTCTAGCACTAGGCTTCTTTCCAGTTGGTCGGGAGCTAACGCAGATCTAACGGCTTCTCTTACGCCATGACTTTGTCCTAGACTCTACTGCCATCATCACTCGAGACAAAACTTACTCCGCTCGCTCTCGTTACATACCAAGTATCCTTTCACCTTCAATCTTCTCTCGGCAGACGCACTTCACCACAAGCATTTGAAGCGTTGCTCCAGCTTGAATATCGAATATCGAATACATACAACAGCAGTACGTCACAGAACCGAACAGCACCAGAAACATCGTAGACGAATTCCACATAGTTGTTTGAGTTACAAATATTGCCCACGATGGCCTCAACAAACATCCTCATCTATCTGTTGCGCCACGACCTGCGCATTGCGGACAACCCCATCTTTCATCACCTCGCAACCACTTCAGATCACGGCTTCACGCACGTTCTACCCGTCTACATCTTCCCCGCCCATCAAATCGAAATCTCGGGTCTCATTCGAGATGGAAGCAAGTCCCCGTACCCCGAAGCTCGTAGCGAGATAGGGAATTTCTGGAGATGTGGACCCCACCGCACCAAGTTCATCGCCCACGCTGTTTGGGATGTTAAGAAGTCATTGGAGGAAGTTGGGAGTGGCCTGTGTCTGAGGGCAGGCATGTTTGGCGATGTTATCAACGCTCTTCTTCAAGGATTTGCCGACAAGAAGCAAAAGGTCGGCGCTGTATGGATGACAGCCGAAGAGGCTGTCGAGGAGAAAAAAGATGAAAAGGCGGTGTCCTCGGCTTGTTCGAAGCACGGTGCTAGCTTCAAGACTTGGTTGGACGAGAAATACTTCATCGACGAGTAAGTCGCGACTCCCCATACTCAACAGCCTCCCAGCTAACAAGCGCTTCTTCAGTCGCGACCTTGGCTTGAAAAGTCCAGGAGACCTGGATAACGTGTTTACCGCATTCCGCAAGACCCAAGAGCCTTTGCGCGAAAAGCCGCGGCCTACGTTGGCGAGACCCCAGAAGGGCTCACTCCCACCCCTCCCCGACCAATCCTCCATCCCTGCCCAGCGGTCACCATTCGAGATACCCTCCAAGTACGACGAGCTGGAGTCAGCCTTGCTGAAACCTCTTACGAATCCGTTCACATACGAGCCAAAGTTTCCGGAGCAGACCAAGTCTGTCCACCCCTTCAGCGGTGGTGAAGCCGAAGCTCTTAAGCGCCTTAACCACCTTGTCACATCAGGATCCATGTCAAATTACAAAGATACACGCAACGGACTCCTTGGCGTCGACTTCAGCACCAAGCTGTCAGCGTATCTTGCGTTCGGGTGCTTGACGTCCAGGCAGATCCACGAGGCCCTTCTTCAGTTCGAAGACGGCAAGAACCAAGAATTCAAGGATGCTCCGGGATACGGCAAGGGAGAAAATGAAGGCACCAAGGCGGTTCGATTTGAACTTCTTTGGAGGGACTACATGCGACTCTGCACAAGAAAGTTCGGGGAGAAGCTTTTCCGTGTCACCGGTTTCAAGGAGGACAAAACGCCGAAGTGGAAGACGGCCAACGCGGATCATGTCATCACAGACGACAATCTCGGTGCATCTGTCGACGACATCCAGAAGACACTGCAGAGATTCCTTGAGGGCACGACTGGTATGGGCCTCATCGACGCATCCCAATTGGAGCTGCTGCACACAGGGTACACATCCAACAGAGCGCGACAGAACGTTGCGTCGTTCCTGACAAAGCATCTGGGCATTGACTGGCGTTACGGCGCCGAGTGGTACGAGTACCTCTTGGTGGACTACGATGTGAGCTCAAACTGGTCCAACTGGCAGTACGTTGCTGGCGTGGGCAACGACCCGAGGGGGGATAACAGAATCTTCAATCCTGTGAAGCAAGCATTCGATTACGACAAAGAGGGAGAATACGTCAAGGCCTGGGTGGTCGAGACTCGTGGTCTCGAGAAGTTGGAAAATGTTTTCCAGCTCTGGACTACATCTCAAGAGGACTTGGATCGCCTCGGCCTCGCCAACAACAAGATGGTTACTGAGCCTGTGAAGAAAATCGACTTTTCAGTTGAAGGCAAGCCTAAGAATGGTCGTCGACCGTACAACAACCGTCGACGGGGAAGGGGAAACCCCAGCCAAGGCAACGGCGGGAATGGAGGACCTCGTGGCCCGCCAGGCGCTGCTCCCAACGGCGGCTATACTTCACCGACAGGGTCGTCTACCCACGGCGGCAATCAGCAGTCATCGCGCCAATCACCACCGGATGGCCCTCAGGGGTATAGGCCTAACGGCAACTATCGAGGCGGTTACCGCGGTGGACGCGGTCGCGGAGGTGGAGGAGGCGGCTACCGTGGAAGTAGAGGCGGTTTTGGAGGTCGGGGTGGAGGGGGCTTCAACAACCCCTATTACATGCAGCATGGTCAACATCCTCAATGGGCCACTCCTAACACCGCCGCGCAGACCTAGACGTGTGTTCAAGGCGAGTTCACGTTCTGTGGCCGGTGCACCGTCTGCTTAGACTCGAACTACCATTCGACATTCGGTCAACAACGTCCACTATCAACACTCAACCCTGAAGCTACCCCCTTTGAGAGTAAGCGCCCGAATTCAAACTCGCCCACAAGCTTTTGAGGGCGACATCTTGTCACAGGGACCAATGTATCGTTGGTGTACATCGTTCTCGACGAACGGTTGGAGTTTTGCTACGAGGGAAGGGTCATTAGACCAGAAGACGAGTGGGTTTCCATGAGGAAATTGTACATAGCGATACTAGTAAATACAGCAGGACTTTGGATTCTTACATTGCTTTCCCCGCTACCTTCATGCGCGTCGTCGCCACCACTGTCCTCTCTATCATGCGCCGGGGCGGCAGTTTGAGATGGTTGAAGGCATAATCTGAAGGGGATGTGCGCCAGGTAATTGACTAGTTAGGGCGACTTGGATGTGTTCATCCCCTGATGACTCCAAACGCCCCTGGGTACTAGCGATGCTCACGCGGACGCGGTGATTTGAGAACGAGCACCTGTCACAGTAGCGAATGCTAGAAAGAGCTTCGGGGGGGGGGAAACAGAGTGTTCGACCTGCTGTTCCAGGTATTATGAATTTCGGCTTCTCCAAGGCGCGCGGCCGCGGGGTGTGACACGGCTTCTGGTATCGACCAACTCCCCTTGATATCCTCTGGACTGAGTACCGTACATGGCCTATATCCACATTCGGGACTTCTAAGGTTCTAATAATCTTCCCAATGTAAAGGTAAGGATCCTCTGAAAACGCCTTTTTGTCTCCGTCTCTCTCGTCTTTTCCCGCTTCAAAACCTCTTACCGAGAGGCTGCACCTCGACCCCCTTCGGCACGACAAACAACCCCGTGGCCTCGACGGCCAACTGCCCGTCCGGCCCCTCCATCCTCCCGTGCAGGTACAGCTTCCGATCGGTCTTGTCCTCCCCGTCCGGGCCCCTCTTCTGCAGCTCCGGCACCAGCTTGTTCACTCTGACGATGTACGGCAAGCCCGGCGTGACGGGGACCTGGAAGTCCATCTGCAGGTTCGCCGTGACGGCCGTGTTGGCGGGAAAACTCAGCGCCGCGAGGCGGCCCATGGCCTCGTCCATGACGGTGCTCAGCATGCCGCCGTGCACGACACCCGGCCATCCCGTGGTGCCGTAGCCGAAGACGACGGCGACGACGAGCTCGCCGGTGAGGCGGTGGCGGAAGACGACGTGCACGGCGCCCATGGCGTTGGGGGTGTTCAGGGAGCCCGCGACGAGGTGGGACTTTTTGCGGTGCTCGGGGAAGTCGGCGTAGGGCTCCCACATCTCCCAGCTCGTCTCGCGGAGCTTGAACCGGCCGTCCGGGGTGGACGTCGCCGAGGGCATCATGCTCGCGAGCAGGGGCGTCGCCTGCAGGACCTCGGCGGTGGCGGCGGCGCGGAAGTAGGCGGCCTCCTCGGCCTCGTCGGGCCCGTTGGGGAAGATCTCCGGGTCGATCAGGAAGGGCATGAAGAAGCGGATGGAGGCGATCTGGTCGTCCGTGAGCTTGTAGCCGATGGCGAAGAAGAGGAGGGCCCAGAGGGCGCGGCGGACGCGTGGGGAGAGGAAGGGGGGTTTTGTCGGGGGTTGTTGGTGTTGTTGGTGTGGGTTGCCGGGCGCCGCGGTGAGGAGGGCCGTTATTTGCGAGGGGGTGAGGTGGGAGAGGTTCTGGAGGGCGGCGGAGGCGGCTGCTTGTTGCGATTGGGGGATGCTCCCCGGCGGAGGAGGCGGCGGTGGTGGTGGTTGTTGAGCTCGGAGGAGGGACGGTCGCGATGTGGTCAAGGGACGGAGGAGGGCGCGGCGCGGGGAGGAGAGCTCCCGCGCGAGGCGGCGGGTCGCTGTCCTGGGTATCATGGTGCCGTCGACTGTGTGATCGGGAGCTCGGAGGTTGGGTTCGGGAGCTATGCGCTGCAGCGAGGCAGCTTGGGAGAGGCTGCGCAATGTGACGAAGCTGAATTGTTTGGTGGTTGTGCAATTTGGTCGTTGGATTTTTGGTGGAGCTTCGCTTCGGTGAGGTTCGGTGAGGGAGCACTGGCCAGATTGCACGGGCCACATTGGGGGAGGGTGATGTCACCAGTACGACGTGCGATTAGACTCCGATCTTTGTGGATACACGATACACGATGCGGCAGATTCAACCTCACTTTTGGGGAGTAGATTATTTTACCGTACTTTTTGAGTTGTGCTAACGCTAACGCCAAATGATCTCTAATGCCTCTAAAATGCTACTAGCCGCCGCGAATCGAAGAAAAGGAGCTACTGCACAAACAGTCTAGGCCGCCATCAACGTGCTCCAAGCGACCCAAACCCGTCTCGACTTAGGCACCGTGGCCCGGCCGGTGCCATCGGCGGCAGAGGCGCTGCCGTTGCGCACCAGCACCCGGCCGATCTCCATGTAGCTCTCGACGGCGACGACCATGGGGCCGCGCGCCTCCGAGGGGATCCACTTCATCGAGTCCCTGGCCTCGCCGTAGTGTTCAAACGCCTTGTCGAGGATCTTGCGTCGGACGTTCGCGACACCTTCGCCCTTGGGGTTCTCGAGGACGTCTGAGGGCGCCAAACCTTCCTCCTTGAGCCACGACGTGGGGAGGTAGACGCGGCCGATCTTGGCGTCGACGGCGATGTCGCGGGCGATGTTGACGAACTGCAGCGCAAGACCCATCTGGCGCGCCGTGTTGCGGAGGTAGGCCTGCATGTACGGCGGCAGGGAGTGCTTGCAGTGGCAGAAGACGAGTTCCAGGCAGGATTGGCCGACAGTGCTGGCGACGCGGGCTGCATAGAGCTCGAGGTCCTCGGGGGTGGCGATGGGAAAGGTGTTGCTGCTGAAGGAGAGGTCCATCTCGAAGCCTTTCAGAAGCTCGGCGAGGGGCTCCCGGGGAAGCAGGGATGATGGGAGGAGATCGAGCGCTGAGAGTGCCGAGGCGGGGAAGTTCTCTGCGGCATATTGAGAGGCGAGAGACGCCGAGGTCGAATCTGGGTCTTTGTACAGCAGGCTGAGGTGACGGTCGAGCTTGGAGATCCAAACGGACGCTTCCCCGGGCGTCTTGGCTTCATCGACAAGGTCATCGGCCAGACGGCAGTATGAGTAACTGTGGTCTCGTCAGCAAGGATTCATACATCTGGAAATGGTCGACTTACAGCAAGGTCAAGTCGATGCGCAATCGGCCAGGGAAGACCGAGCTTGCAAGATGGAAGCTGCGGCTTTTCTTTGCCAGTCTGGAGACCGCTTGACGGATACCCAAGATTCTTTGCATGTCATACTTGGATGCAGGCAGGACCCTGGCGCGCAGCAAAGACATGGACAAAGCATCGGCCGGCTTGTCAAACTTGTCGGGAAAGGCATCGCAGACGGCAACAGCCTTGTCAAAGGCGGCCACTCCAGTGACAATGAGAATGTTGGTCACCAGAAAGAAGGTGGCCTCCTCAATCTCCAAGTCGCCAAAGAGCTTGAACTCAAGCTTAGTTCCGCTCTCAATGGCCCAGGTGCCGCGGCCCAGAGCCAGCTCATCAACGACCCAAAGGTAGACTGTGGGCAGGATGATCGGTACCAAGGTGCACACCAGCGGTAGAGCCAGGAGGAAATGGGCAGTGATGGTCCAGATGAAGAGGGCAAAGGAGCAAGCCCACACCAAGATCAGGCCCATGTACGTTCCCTCGCCCTCCTTCGCAATGAGATAGGCACCCAGCGCAACACTTCCAGCAAGGATGCCCTGCCCGATGGGCTTTCCGCGCTTGATCCATTGCGGGACGGTATCTGGTGAGTTGAGGTACTGCGCGTGCAGGACAGGCTTGTTGAGGATGATGTAGAGCTGAGCCGTGATGTAGGTCTGAATGATGAAGAAGAAGAGCTCTTCAATCGGGATGTCGAACAGGGTAGGACCCAGGACAGCATTTGGAGGGTAGGTCCAGACGCCAGTTCTGATGAGATAGGAATCCCATGGGATGGTGGCCACAAAGGCGATGGTGACGATGAAGAGTGTTCTCACAACATCGAGGCGGGTGAACAATGGATATGAGAAGAAGGTGAGAAGCCCAGCCAAAGGGATGGTGTACTTGAGGTGCCTGTGAGGGTGTCAGTGAGTGCGCCTGAGTGAGTTTGCTTGCTATGACTTACACCAGCGCGTAGTCGTAACCCATGTTGGGCTGATTTGTGAGGTCTTTTTACTTCAGGATAGCTGCGGAAGGTGCTGAAGCCTCATAAAGGGCAGGATCGGTGGTGTTGAGGCGGTTGGAAACGTGTTAAAGATGAGGCTGGATGTCTCAGCTGCTCCCACTGCAGTTTGCCCTTTGGTTTCCTGACCGCCACCGAAATTGCTGGAAAAGCAAGACGCTCTTAGACAAGGCAGACGTTGGAAGTAGTGATCAGAAGAGGCCAGGTAGGTCAGGTAGGTGTTGACGCAAAGATGACCAACAATTTAGCGAGAGACTTGGCCTGGTGTGTAGAAGGTAAGGTAGGTAGGCAGACCCACGCAAAGCTGCCTCAACTTGTCCGTCTTGTGTTGTGTTGTGTATCCTTGGCCGTATGGCAACGGAACGATCGGCCAATCCACCGGCCGGAGGGATCGTATTGTCCCGAATCGATAACGAAAACCGATGGGTCCTTCCCTTCCGGAGCAATACTCCGCTGATGTTTTTTCTCGGGGCTCGGACTCGTTGCAAAATCGAGGCCGAAGGGAGAGATGGAAAAGACGGACTCGCACGCAGCTCGCCCCGTTGATTAGAGCTTCTTTCCGGATTCGGATAGATTGCGGAAGGATTGGTACTAGAACCTCGGATGGGGCACAAATCAGAGGTAGGGATGATAAGGCTTAGAGGAAGCGGGCGGCGCGTCAATTGTTGAGGTGAGATGCTGCTTGCTTGCTGCAGGCTAAGGCGAGGTGCTGCAGGTGTAAGGTGCAGGTGGCTGGAATTGGTTGGTGCAAGACGCGCAGCCGCAAGAGAAAATAAAGTCTATGACGACCACATGCGTTCTTGAGGGGGAGGGGAGCACAGGGAATAAGAAAAAGATGGGATTTCGTGCTTCCAACCCAACCCACACGGACTTCAAGGATTTCTGATCGGAGCCAGGGATTTCTTTTGGTCGAGGTACTTTGACGAAGGAACCGACCAGCGGGATGGATGGGAGTTGAGAAAGCCAACAAGGGATCTAGCAAGAATGGCCGCTAATTATTCTTAGTGGCAGGCAGCTAGACCATGTGTCAAACGTAGCGGGAGGGCGAGGTGAGACAAGAAAATCTCGGTCGCGAGGAATATTTCTACCGTTGGGCTACTATTTGTAGCGCGCCTCAGAAAAAGGTGAGCTGAGGGTGAATCATCACAAGACCAGTCGCTAGGCTTATCTCTCGCCGGTGAATTCGTCAACCGCCCCGGGAAAGATGGGAAAGAGGTGAAGGGAGGGGCGTTGGCCGTCTCAAGTGTCCCAGTGTGGGATAACTTTCCCTCAAAACAATCTCCAAGTCTCTCCAACGGCACGGATGCACCGAACATGGACGTATCGGCCTGCGAATACGATATATCGCGGCAAACACGTCCCAGGTACAACTACATGCCAAGCACACCATATCGACCCCCCAAAAGGCCATAGCTCCCTAGCTCTCCGTCCCTTGCTGTCGCCGCCAGGTGTACCTGGAGAAGGGCCTGGTGGTTGTCCGCCGTTGGCAAAGCGGTGTGTAACCGTACCTGGCATTTCATAATGTTGTAAGTGCAACGTCGTCAGCCGCCTCCGAAGTCGAGGTGTCATCACTCTACCGAACCGGCCGATGCGGAGCTCTCCTCGCACGATTCCCGTCCACCCCTGCCCGTCCCGTGGCTTTTGTGGAACCTCCCCGGTGGCATGCCAGCAAGATGAATGGGTCTCTCTTCACATGCTTTGCGTCAATGACGAGACAATTATCGAGTATGAATGTCTGTTGAGGCCCCCTCTGGTAGGGTGTTTGGTAACGGAGCTCTCCCCGAATTCTCATCGTGAGTGGGCATGTGAGTGAGCTTCATCGGGTATCTTGGTCCTCTCATCTCAATAACGTCAATTGACGACTTACACGACCTCAATCTCACAAACACAAGTTCAATCTCAAAGGTCATATCACACACTCTTAATACACACCAAAACCCCAAACCGCCAAGATGCCCTCCCTCGGCGAGAAGCCAAAGAAAGCGATCGTCGTCGGCGCCGGCGCCGGCGGCGTCGCCCTCGCAGCCCGCCTCGCCAAAGCAGGCTTCTCCGTCACCGTCCTCGAGAAGAACTCCTTCACCGGCGGCCGCTGCTCCCTCATGCACCACGACGGCCACCGCTTCGACCAGGGGCCCTCCCTCTTCCTCCTCCCCCAGCTCTTCCACGAGACCTTCAGGGACCTCGACACCACCATGAAGGACGCCGGCGTCGACCTGCTGCGCTGCGAGACGAACTACAACATCTGGTTCCACGACGGCGAGCTCTTCAAGCACTCCTCCGACCTCGCCACCATGAAGGCCCAGATCGAGCGCTGGGAGGGCAAGGACGGCTTCGAGCGCTACCTGCAGTGGCTCCGGGAGGCGCACACTCACTACGAGGTCTCCGTCAGGGACGTGCTGCACAAGAACTTTAGCAAGCTCTACAACTTGGCGAGGCCGAGCTTCGTCAAGCACGTCGTGAGCCTGCACCCGCTCGAGAGCATCTGGAGCAGGGCGAGCCGGTATTTCTGGACAGAGAGGCTGCGGAGGGTCTTCACGTTCGCCGTCATGTACATGGGCATGTCCCCCTTCGACGCGCCAGCAACGTACTCCCTCCTCCAGTACACTGAGTTCGCCGAGGGAATCTGGTATCCCCGCGGCGGCTTCCACTCCGTGGTCGCCGCGCTGGTCCGCATCGGCGAGCGCCTGGGCGTGACGTACCGCCTCAACACGCCCGTATCCCGGGTCCTGACGGACGGCCAAAAAGCGACGGGCGTGGTCCTCGAGTCCGGGAAATCCCTCACCGCGGACGTCGTCGTCGTGAACGCCGACCTCGTCTACGCCTACCAGAACCTCCTCCCGCAGACGCCCGCCATCACGACCTACAACAAGGCCCTGCAGAAACGCGAGGCGAGCTGCAGCTCCGTCTCCTTCTACTGGTGCCTCGACCGCAAGGTGCCCGAGCTGTCGACGCACAACATCTTCCTGGCGGAGCAGTACCAGGAGTCCTTCGACGCCATCTTCAAGCGCCACTCCCTCCCGGACGAGCCGAGCTTCTACGTCAACGTCCCCAGCCGCGTCGACCCCACCGCCGCGCCCGAGGGCAAGGACACCGTCATCGTCCTCGTCCCCGTCGGCCACATGTCGCAGTCGTCCAAGGACGGCAGCGGCGACGGCCTGGCGCCGCACGAGAAGGACTGGGACGCCATCGTGTCCCGCGCCCGCTCCATGATCCTCGAGATCGTGAGCGCGCGGACGGGCTGCGCCAACCTGGGCGACATGATCACCCACGAGATCGTCAACACGCCGGTCACCTGGCAGGACAAGTTCAACCTCGACAAGGGCGCGATCCTTGGACTGAACCACGGCTTCTTCAACGTGCTTGCCTTCCGGCCGCGGACGCGCGCCGAGGGGCTGGAGAATGCCTACTTCGTGGGCGCCAGCACGCACCCCGGGACCGGCGTGCCGATCGTGATGGCCGGGGCCAAGATCACGGCGGAGCAGATCTTGGATGACCGGGGCCTGGAGGTCCCGTGGGCGAGGGGGTTCAAGGGGATGTTGCAGCCGCAGTCGGCGTCGCCGGGGAATAAGAAGTTGGATCATGTACGATATGGGTATCATTTTGGGTCGGAGGAGGTTGCGGTCTTGCTGTTTGGGTTGTTTTTGGCGCTTCTTTACATGGTTTTCTGGCCGGCGGTTCGGGGATATGTTTGTTAGATACGGTACATGTATATCAGGTTATGGTTCTCAATACTACCGGCATTGATCAAAAAGATTGCGGAATGATTCAGGGCTTTTAGCCGCATCGTTGATTTATCTCTGTGAGGGAGTGAGAGTGAGCGGTTGGATATAGCCGCCTCATAAGGTGACTACACCATTGCTTACATCTGATGTAATCACAGTAGTAGCAGCCGCTGACCGGGTTAAGTTCATGTGTGATGTAATAACATTTTCAAACTGGAGGGTCGTCCGATCGTATTTCTCAACATACTCTAGCTCTCAATGCCTTGCTATGAAATTCATGTAAACAGCAGGCTTCCTTGAGTTCCGTATCAAGAAGAATAAAACTGACGAAACAGAAAAGTCCACATCAACATAATCGACTAACTTCACATCACAACCCTAAAGACTATCGGTGTCTATACGTAGATCACCCCTTGTTGCGTCATCAACCTGCTCTTCCCATTCCTTCCACCACGCGCGGCAGCCAATTGGCGACTGGGTCTTTCCCCAACCAGCAGGATCCAGACCTAGAAGAGAAACGCCCAGCGTACGGTTATCGGCTGGGTCAATAAAGTACTTCAACATGGTCCTCCCCACCTCCATCAGCCTACCGTGTGGGAGTTGACCAAAGAGGCCTCAAGTTCTCTGAAGGTGATGCGCCATACACGGACCTATAACTCTGTACGATCTTCCCCTCGGACCTCAGAATCATCAGTCTGTCGCAACTGAAAATCACAAAAGACTCGTCCTCGTCACAATAGTCCATCCACCCAATCCACACAACCTGCTACACCTTTACAAACGAAACTGCCTTGAACAGCCAGCCAACAACATGATATACTCAGAAACAACTCAACATCAAATCAACTCGAACGAAACGCGGCGGAACATCACGGGTACGGCAACCGCACACGGCGATCAAAGCCGCATATTGGGTCCAGCAGAGGCATCCGCACCGATCCCACTCGTTACCCCTGCGGAGATCACACCAGCCCCGTGCCCAAGCACAGCGTCTTCATAGCCTTTCGCAGTCAACGAGACATTCCAAGCTCCAAACGTTATCGTAACTTCTCTTGGTTAGTCAGAGGACGGTATCCGGGCGGATCCCATGGATGAACGTCTCAACTCCCAGATTCGTGTCGAGTTCTGTCGACCACACATATTGATAATGGACATGTTGTCTGTTAGATGGACTAGATAAGCACGATGATAAGCATCGAGAGGCGAAGCCTGACTTTCGAAAGATAGGAAGCGGAAAGAGAAGGAACAAGTGAATACGTCGTCCTGGGCCAAGCACCTAACAATAAGCTACACTAAAATCAGTTCCTCCAACTCGACCCCGCGGGCCCTCAACCGCTCAGGAGACAACCGGAAGTCATAGGAAGTTTTCACCCCCTCCGGATTCTCCCATACAGGCAAACCGACCCTCTCATCATAATAATGAACCCACCCCGCCGGAAGCGGCTCGAGCCGAGGATCCTCAGGTGTGGAAGTGCCGTCGGGGCGGGTGAAAGAGTAGTACCAGTGCTTACTCGCGTACTTCATCTGCCATCCCGCGGGAAGATCTCCCAGGACCGCTTCCATCCGCACACGGCTGTGCATGAAACAGGACCCGACCACTCTCCATACTTGTTGGTCAACAACAGGCCTCAGTATGATGAGGTCCGGGCATCCGAGGATGGCGAAGATCCTATCTCCCGGACGAGTCGCTTCGTTGCCCAATGCAAAGAAGCCCTCCTGCGTCTCATGAAGCACGGAGCCGGGCAATATCAGTTCACACCACCGATCAAGCTGAGAAGCGACGTGTTCTTCAGAGACAGACTCATCCGCATTGTAACCTTTTACGTTTCTCAAAAAAACGTTCTGCACCTGCCGTAGGGTCCACCTCGAATCCTCGTAGTATTCCTGGACTTTACCAAGTGTTATCGTGGACACCAAGTCGTCCACCATAGCGGTATTGTAGTTATGCATATCGCGGAACAATATACGATTTATCCATGATTGAATGACAGCCTGCAGAACTCCTCCGTCGGCAGCTTCAGGTATTGGCGGTAAACAACTCGCAACAGTGTCGCAGTACACTCCCACGGTTCTGGCCGACAAATCTGGTAGAAACGCGAAGACTGCTTCTGAAGGGCCAGAAACTTGTTGGTCCACGGCACTGAGCAACTTTGGTACTGGCCTTGTGAAATCCGGTGCCCAACTCGGGCTGTCGGCCATGTCGCACCATGACAGAAGTTGGCAGCTGCCGCCTTCGGCCAGGCCTCGGAAAGCGTCAGCGTAGACTTGCCTGACGCTCTTCTCGTAGTCCGGCTGAATGCAAAAGGCAGGCTGGAAGCCGGCAATACCATATATCCTGTCTCGCTGGTCTGAACATTTGCAGCGATTGGTACTCAGGAGTAAGGAGGGCAGCGATCTTTGATCCGGTATACGACTGGAGTAAACAATGTCTGTGGCATTGATGATGTACTTCTGGATTTGATGTTTAGCGAATTGGTCCAGAGGGGGCTGTCTTTCTATTATGAACATCAGGATGAAAAGGAGGGCATCACCGAGGATTGACCAACGTATTTCTTGATAGCCGAGGACGAATATCGCCGATTCGTTTGCCAGGCCGATCTCCTGACGTACCCAGAGCCTACTGAACCATGGAAGACGAAGAAGATGCAGCAGGGGCTGCCAGTCGGCCTTCAGAACTGTCTCGCAATAAATCGGCGAAAACGTCAATGCTCCGTCCTCAGCTTCATGCCAGTAGTAATCTTCGTCGCGTCCATCTTTCAGCATAAGCCCATCTTCCTCAGTCCAACGCCAGGGTGAGCCCATTGTACTCAAAGTCTGTATTGCTCCACTGGTATCTTCATCTCCCGGTCCAAGCCAGACGACGACTCTGGCAGCATATTGATAGATGTATCCCATACGCAGGACCTGGGTAGCTCGTTCGTCGAGGTCGTTCTGGTTAATGCAGACAGCATCACACCAGAGGGCTCTGAAGTCGGTTTTGTGGCGCAGGTGGCGGAGTGCGGAAGCCAGATTTTGACCGATTCGAAGAGAACCGATCTCATAGAGCTCTTCGTCGTCGAGAAGACCCCAAATGGTATGTGCCAACACGGTCAGGGTCTCGGGATCGTCCTGGTCTCCCCAGACGTATGACAGGGCTTCGTATGCCTCGTATTCATCCTCAAAGGTGACTTTGTCGTGAACGATTTGTCCTTGGAGGGGATCATCGAATCCCCCCGGGAAGAGGATGAATCTTCGGATGTCGCCCGAGGCCAGCGGGGAGTATTGATACACCTGCATTTGGGGACTTGGAGAGGCTTGGCGGCGTAAACTGAGGTCGCTGTTGTAGATCGAAGATGAATGAATGTTATGAGACCGTTGGGCGCAGGACACCAACAAGTTGGAAGTCCAATACTGAGTGCCAACCGTGAGGAGCGCGTATGTCAAACTTAGGTTGGGAAACTGGCTGACGATGTTGACGAGGCTCTGTCGGGAGGTCAGCATTTGTGTCTTGGAAGGCGCCTACCCCTCCCAACTTATTGGATTCGGAAAGCCCGAACTCCACAAGACATGATTGGTTCGTGTGCCTGCAGTTGCCTTGCCTGCGGCGCACACGTTCGTTATTGGGCTGAATGTCGAAAGCCCAATAAGGAAAGGGGAAGGAGAAGAACCAAGCTGGGGCTGACGGAGCTTTTTGGATTAGCAGCAAAACTCACGATCGCTCTCACGTTACCTGGGTATTAAGAGTACCATAGTCTCATAGCCTCGAGACAAGTCTTCAAAGGAAATCGACAATGCTGGACAAAGTATGGTTTCGAAGTCATGTCTCTCTCACGCCAATTATTACCTCAAAGAAACTCAACGCGAGAACGGAGAAGTTTCTTGGGAGGATTAAACAAGTTCTCTAGAAAATATATCTCGACATTTGAGTAGTTAACTAATGACTCTTGTGGTTGTGCTTCAGAAAGGTGCTGAATATCTTCCCCCTCGATACCACAAGGGAAGCGGATTCTCCCCTCGGCAAACCACCTGCTCAACGTCAAAAGTGTCCTAGACATAACACCCTCCTAGACATTAAGCAGGGACAGCCTCGAAGACGCGTATTCTCCCGTGGTTTCCAGACACGTAAACAGCCACCAACAGAGCTAACTTTTTGTCAATCCAATCGACGAGACCTCCTGCTTGACCCTGAACTCCGCCCCATCAGCCCTCCAGACATCGTTGTGGGAATTACGGTCTCCATGAACAACAACTTCCTTGACCGTAACCCCAGGCCCAGCAAGACACTTTGACCTCTGCGGCATGGCAGAGAGGAGCGGCACGTCGACGAGCCGCGATTCGTCTCGTCGTTTTGCAAGGTGAGCTGAAATCGCTGGTATGTAAGCATCTCCATGGACTAACTGGCTCGAACGCTTGAACGCGTTGCTGAATGACAAGGCCCATAGACAACAGGCCGGTCAAGAGTTTGAAGGGAATGGTATAACAGCCCCCAATCTCGACTAATGAGATTAGCACTTGACTAGAACCCGTGTAGAAGAGAGACTTCCAGCGCGCGACTTTAGACGAAGTTCGAATTCACTGTGATTAGTAGGCAACGTTGTGTCAGAAGCTTGGGCGAATTGCTGAATGACGAGATCGGGAGACGACAGACAATTGAATATGGGAACCGTCAGCTCATGTGCCTCAAATCAGCAATGAGCCTGAATCCCTCAAAGCAGCCACCACCAAGAAAGACTTCTTCGCCGCAACTGCGAACAGGGTTCAAACTGCACATGAGCCAGAGGCCGAAGTTGTGTCATAAGTCGTTATTGATCCTAATACAATCTAACTCCGCCCTATTCTCCGCCGCTATGTAGTATTCATGAATCGTTACACATGTGCCGGGCAGAAAAGCCAGTAAATGGGTAAAATGAGAAAAGAAGACACACATAGCCCCCTCCCGGCAGATCCGGTCGTCTAATGCCAGTACGTCGCATACCGAGTGACATGTCCTGTAGTCCGAATCCGTTGTAGAGCGCCATTCACCGCTTTGCTCACACAGTGTACGGTGTAGCAGGGCTTCCGTACTTATATATCCTTAAATCGTCGTCCGCGCAAGTCTAGTACCGGCGGGGGCGTTGGCTGTCGTAAACGACCTCACGCTCGTAGATTCGCTCATCATCGTACTTGCTGGGGATGCGGTGGTGGTGGTGGTGTCCGTGACGGCGATCCCAGTCGTCGCGCCACTCCTTCTCGTGCTCGATCTCACGAACACGGTTCTTGCGGAAGCGGCGAATCTCGTCTGATACCTGGACCAGCTCCAGCACATCATCCTGCGATTGGTTAGCATGAGCGGTGAGGGAAAGATGGGGCTTGACTCACGTATTTCAGATATTGCATGATGTAGAAGAAGTATTCGGTCTCCTCGAAATCATAACCCAACTCGATAATGGCGTCACGGATGACGAGATCCTTGGTGATCTCCGTCCACATCTCATTGCGCTTCTGCGGGCGTGAGCGGCGGTCCTTTGTCTTCTCAATATCAATCTCGGTCTCGCGGTCGTAGACCTGAACACTAAGACGATCACGAGATTCCCGCGGTGAGGGCAAGGCAGGCGCAGGAGAAGGTGCAGAAATCGGAGCTCCTTCCCGTTCGGGAATGAACTTGGACCGTCTGACGCCGTTGTAGCGTTGCCAAGTGACTTCGGCAGAGCCACCTCCAACGCCGTCCATCCTGACGCGCTCAGTTCCGGGAGGAACATCCACGATGCTCCAATCCTTGGTGGCGCCACCCCAAGCTTCGCCCATCTTGCCCCTTGAATCGATCTTGGAGGTGATGTACTCCGCCTCCTCTTCGACGGGAGTGCGGGCTGCAGCGGAATGAGCACGGCGACGCGAGGAGTGGTATTGACGGTCATCGATGCGGAGGCGGTCGGTGCCAACGACGAGCTCCCTGCTGTCCTTGAAGGCGGGAGATCTACGCTCGCGGCTGGGGGAGCGGTGACGACTTGAGGATCGGTGAATGTCGATGTCGGTCCTGTTGCGGGACGTCGTGATGTCGATATCCAGTTCCCGGTCTTCAGTCCTGGTCATTGGTCGGGGTGCGGGGCGAGGCGGAGGAGGAGGGCTGGGGATACGGGTTACGCCTGGCCATGGTTAGATCACCGGATCACGAAATCGGTACGATGTGTGAACTTACCATGGTCGATGTCACGGTAGTGAGTGATGACCTCTCTCTCAATCGTGGGCCCACGAATGGTTTGAGGAGGGGCAGGAGTGGGAGGAGGAGAGGGGGAAGGTGAAGGAACACGCTCCCTTTCCCTCTCACGCTCCACGATGCGCACACCGACACGGCTGCGTTCTCTTGCCGGAGGCGGAGAGGGCGAGCGTTGCCGCTCAACGTAGCGAGCCCGAATCTCAGGGCGGATTTCGGGAGGAGGTGGTCCGCGGGAGGGACTGCGAATCTGCTCACGCTCTGAGATACGCACCCTCGAACGTTCCATTTCCTGGTCGTGAACGTGCGGGGGCGTCAGGCTGCGAGCCCTACGAATGACACGCTCCCGGTAGACGGGACTCGGAGAGCGATGACGAGGTCTCGAAAGTTCTCGCGACTCAACCTCTCGGCGGCTCAAGACCATGGCACCAGCCTCAGGAGGGCGCTCATCGCGCAAGAAGCGGAGGCGGTCACCTTCGCGCTCGCGAGGCCTATCGCGAACGTCAACGTCATTAAATGCGACCCGGCTCTCTGCCCTCTCGCGGCGGGGCTCATAGAAGCGGTCTTCGAAGTCGTTTGAACGGTAAGCCATTTTTGCGGCAGGAAAAGGTGACCGTTTAACGTGCGGGAAGCTGCAGCGGAGGCGCCTGTTTGTTGGGAAGTTTGTCTGAACAGGTGGGATGAATGGCGGGGTAGTAAGCGGTTCGTGGTCGTGTAGCGCACAGCGTAGCGTGAGCGTCGGCGACACTAAAGTAAAAAGACACGGGTATCGTGCACAACGGATGAAGCAACCCGGAAAACGGGTAGATCAAAAGTCCCTCGCGGCGCTGAGGAGTGAGCGGAGGGAGAGGTGGAGGGGAGGTGCTTTAATCAGAGGCCGAGCCTGAAGCTTAGCCGGCTGAGAGTGAGAAGAGGGGGTGAAGAGAAGCGGGAGAAGTGAGTGAGAGAGAGAGAGAGTGAGAGAGGAAGAGGGAAAAAAAGAGTCAGAGTGGGAGCAACGTCGTCATACCACAGCAGCAGCTGGGTATGCAGGTAGGTGGTAATATGTAATAAAGGCAGCCGACAGGTGATATAGGCCAGCAGAACAAGCAGGCTGCGTCGTGGGGGACCTGAGCTTGAGGAGGAGGAGGAGGGAGGATGATGATGGAGGGGCCGTTCGTATGTGGACTTGGATTGACTGGGACCGGGCCTGTGAGGTGAGGGCAGGTGGGAAGAGGGCAGTGAAATGGGAGGGGTTGGCCGGCTCGTTCTGTCGAGTTCCAACTCTGAGTGGGCGCCGCGCGGTGAACCGCCTGTCCGCTGTCACTAAGCAGGGATGTTCCCGACGTTTTGTCTATGTTGCTGCGGGAAGCGGGATGGTAGGGATGTCGTCGCAAAGGCGATCGAGGGTGTCGAGGCCCCGGGATTTTGGGCAGCTGTGGTTGTCGAGTAATTAGGTACGGACGGTCATTTAGATGAAGTAAAAGGTGTTGGTGTTGTTGAATAAGGTAAGGTATAGACGATCGATGGATGAGTCGTCGGTAAAGAAGCCCTACGGGCGGATCTGCCGCACGGCAGGAAGTTTGCCCAGTCAAATGAAGCAAAAATAGAGGAGAGACAGATGGAAGAAGGCTCCAGTGGTCTGGAACTGGGAGTCAATGATGCAGGTTGCGTCGGGCTGGGCCAAACAAAAGCAACGAAGTCTATCGAAGGTTGCACTTGGGAGGACCTTGCCTTGCACTACTCGGAATTTACCAGAGAAGCAGACTGCGGTGCGATGCGATGGAATGACGGGCAGGACATGGACGGTAGGCGGCGGAAAGGCGCAGAGGTGCAGAGAAGGCGATGCAGTTCTTTCGGCATGCCCTCATGGATTCATCATCCACTTGGATGCATTCGAGGCATCCACTTGGGCTGGTGGTGGTGCTGCAGGCCGAGTGCTTGTTAGTCCTTGGGCAAAGGGACGAGCAATGAGCGCCGTCTCCCTCACCGATCTCCGGATGCCCAATGAACAGGGACCTGTCTTGTGACTCGCAGGTCGATGTGCATCAGCAAATCCAATAGGTAGAATCCTGCTCGAGTTTTCACGGCCTGGGCGCTTGATTTCAAGATTCGGTATGGAAAGAGCTGATTTGACGATGGCAGTTGTATTTTGTATTGCTGATGACACACTGCGGAGGAAAGTGCCGGCCCTCTCAGGCAAGACGGCCGGCAGCAGTAGCAGTAGGAAGGTAGGTAGGTAGACAGGAAAAGGAACACATCTCATGCATAGCAATCAGGTATCTTAACTTTCCATTCTTTCCCCGTAGTTCCCTCCGTCTAAGGTGACAGAACCTGATCTGTATGCCATAAATGACAGTTGAAGCGTGGCCCGCTGCTTCCATCAACGTTCCATCTTACATCTTCAATGACACCTCAAGTCTGGGACAATGGAGCCTCGTGTCCCTGGAAAGACATCGTCGACCATCGCATGAAGTTGGTTGTCGTGCGCCAAAGACCTGATTTAGATCCATCACACTTAATTCTTTGTTGCTATTACTGGGAAGCTGATGAAACAGGGGGGGGCAGCGAGCTGGAAGCCGAAGGACCTAATTGTAGAAAGAGCGGGAAGAAGCTAAGACGATGTAAAAGTGGATCCTTCCCAACTGAGGTATCCAACTTTTTTTCCTCGCTCTTTCCCATCGCAAGTCACAAGCCAGACCACCTCACACGAAGGACAGAGGGACACTGCGGTGAGCTTGCGCTGGCTGCCCCTCGCCTTCCGTTTTCCCCTCTTTCCTTAGGCTCTCGCCCAGCCACCCCGCCGTCAACTTCCACTTCTTCTCAGATCCATCGCCAAAAAACACACTGACGCAATAATGCATCCACACCAACCAGCTTCGTCTTCTCCCGTCGCTGCCCTTCCATCGTTCCTCGGCCATGCACCTTCTCTCTGCCCACTTTCGTCCTCTCCCTTCTGGACGCCAAGGCAGCTTTGGAAACGACACAAGAGACACGATTGGAACTGTAGAGGGACAGCCTGCGAGTAAGGCCAATTCCCACTCTTCAAACCCAATTCCAGATTGCGACCAACTGCCGGGGATGCTCCCTGAAGACCGTCTTCACCCTGTTCCTAACGCCTTTTTCCCTGTTCTAAACAGAAGCTTTCCATCATCGTGTTACATTCCCTCGTCTCTTAATCCTCCTTGCCCCCCTTGGAGCTAAACCACCCAACAATACTCGTGAACTCGGGTCGACTTCACCAACCAAGTTATTTTACCAACCGGAGCAAAAGTCGGAGGGAGCTTCTTTGTTGTCGCCGCTTGTTGCCACAACCTCCGCAGTTGGGTTCCGTCCCGTTTTCACCGATCGGACCAGGATATTGCTGTTCCCGCTTCAGCCTGATCGCCAGGACCGGCCCATCTGTCAACGCCTGGCCCGAACACAAGCTCTATCGTCCGCACAGCAGACGCCCATCTTGCCGCTTTTCAATCTGATCTTTCCACCCTCCAGTTCACTCACTCGGCACTCCAACCACCCATAACGGGCTAGGAGGTACCCGGGAGCCTGTCCGTTCATTGGGCTGGCCTGACATCCTCGAGGACCCTGGAGAGCAACAGGGCATCATCAGGCCCATCCACGAGTCACTCCCGCAGATGGTGACCTCCCACACCATCATGAGACACAGCCCGGCTTGCACACTTCGAGACTGTCATTTCTGCCGGTCTTTGGACGACTACCTCTTTTCGTCCTTGATTGGCCACCAGCTACGACGCACCATTAGACACACTTCGAACACCATCACCCCGGAGGCCCCCAACGTCACACAAACCGCCTCGTCAGCCGTAGCTCGGCGTCGCCTGTCGCCGCTCGTTGACAGTCTGCAGGCGGACCGCTCACGACAGCTCGTGGAACACCTCATCCCTACAGAGTTCAGGCTCTCGGCAGGCGCGCCTAGCTTCTGTTCGACTCAGCCCTAGTTCCCGGAATCATACTTGATGGGATGGGCGGAAAGCTGAAACCGAAGCCTCCAGAGCCCTGGGATCTCAACGGACAAGGTTCAGAGCTCTGTCAATCTATGCGAGGCGTCAGCAACGGACGAGCCGCCGCCCAGTTCGGACGAGCCTTCAACACGGCCGACGCACACAACAAACTCTCTGGGCTAACAACGAAAATAGGTTCTTGGTATCAAATCATTACAGCGGTCATCATTCATGCTTCGTTCGGACGCCTTCCAGGGCCTCACTGTTTTTGCGCCTGCGCCTCTCTCCAGCCCCCAATGCTCCTCCTCGCGCCGTTTTGCCCCGTCGCGTCCATCTCCCCCCAACAACCATCGCCAGCGAGCTCGTATATCTCGCCAACGGCCAACTCTTGGGGCGGAGTCGTGGTATCCGCCTCCAATATTTGTACCCCAAGTTTCTCTATCGGCTCTTCCGTGCTCCGCACAAAGTTGCCGGAAGCCGTGTATGGCCCCGCTCCACCAGCTCCGTTGATGTTCTGGCCCCATGATATCTGCTGCTTGGCGACTTCAAGCTCCTTCAGTCGAGCCTTCTCTGTCGCAATCTGTTGTCGTCGCCTTCGCACAAAGAACGTGATACCAAAACCCATAAGAGCAGCAACTCCGACGGCAAGGCCGGCCCCAATACCTGCCTTAGCTGCAGTGGACAGGATCATCGGCTTCGCAGTTGTACTCGGTGTTGCTGTCGGCGAAGCTGATTCTTCTGGACCAGTCTCTACCGACTCAGTTGCGTTGAAACTAGGCACCACACTTGCTTGAGTCCAGAGGCCGTCAGAGCCATGGTATAATTGCACCAAGCTACCGTTCGCGCGATACCACAACCACATCTCATTGGTATCAAAGTTACTCGTCGCAGTCAACGAACCACCCGCCTTCTCAGCAACAGGCCACAGACGCGGGTCTTGCTCAGTCACTACCGTCCACACCAAGTTGATGTTCGACAATTGGTGCAGCTTGGAGTCAGCTCCTATGTAGAAGATGCTCCTAACAGACGATCGATCGACGGACGCGGCCATGTTCGTTCGGTTACTCGCCCAAGCTGTCATCGTGAAGTTCGGGGCGACGGAAGAATCGAAGACGATTCCTGTCGCGTCGGTGTTATTCGTCATTGTATCATTCTCGAGAGGACGAGGCAACGTAGCTTGGGTAACGTCAGCCTTTCAACGCGTCTAATACGGGATGGGGAAGCTCATACCAAGACGCCAAGTGTCGTCCTTGAAATATCTTGAGATCTCGAGGTTTTCGGAGTCTTTAGGAAAGACGACAGAAACGTTCGACTGACCCGAGTGTACAGAAGACAACGCCATCGAAGCCACCTCGTCTTGGGAAATACGGCCTCGCAACTGCCAGTCGGTTTTCGTGGTGTATGCCAAAACGTTGACTCTCTTGTCCTCGTCATGAAAGAAGAGGCGGTACCCTTCCTCCGCGCCCAGCAACTCAACCGCTAGGCCCGTCTCGGGATGAATGGACTCGACGTGTGCCGTGGTGGAGATGACGTATTCGCCTTTCGCGGTGTAGCGGCCAGTCGCCGTGTTGCATTCGAAGTAACCGTTCACAATCGCGCCGTTTTCCGCCTGAAAGAAAACCGATGCCTACCCCAGAACGTTAGCAAAGGCAGCACCAGCACGCTTGTGGTATACGCACCGCCGTTTGTTTCTTGCCCGTGTCGTACCAGCCGGCGCCAGCGAGTGCAGTGCCGTTTCGGGGTTTCCTCATCAGTCGAAAAACATTCTGCCCGTCAGTAGGTAGAATAGGCGTTGAGTTGCTATTGCAGGTGCTGTACAGAATATTCCCGGTGGCAGGATCTTGCATCGCCAGTTGTGGGCTTAGCTCTGTCCACCAGGACGTAAAACACGACACCCGGGAGAAAAGGAGCGCCGTCGCCAGGATAATCCCAAGCAGGGAACGCATCATTACGATGCTTCACTGACAGTAGTGAGCAATAGGGCCGACCGCGGGCTCAGAGACCAATTAGACGAACGCGCATGGGCTTCGCGAGAGGAACAGTCGAGGCGAAGTGGCCGCGGCCAAGAAGAGAGACACGATCATTGACTAAATCGCAGCACCCTGGGGATTGCCGGATTTTATCAATCTTCTCTCCTTGATCGCTCAACCGACAGCTGGGGTCCACAACCTACAGTCGTCGTGTGGATGCGCTGTCCAACTCGGGAAAGTTTCGACAAACTCGCAATATTACTGCCGGTCGACCCCGGGAAAAGGGCCCTGAAGAATGAAGACTCTCATCTCGATAGACCCACTTACATCGACGGCTGGCTTCCAGGTTGTTGGTTCAGCGACACCCTCAGCTCCTTCAGCCCCCCTCCCCTCGCCCGTGTTGCTGACGCAGCAAACGACCCTGGGGGACTGCGGCGACTTATGATGGTCATCAAAGCCGTTGGCTGGGAAGAAACCGCTTACGAAGACGACGAGTAGGGCTACCTCGGACTGCGCTCGCGATAGAACAGGGAGGCTGACCTAGGCACTAATTTGTCCACTTGCTCCACCATCAGCTTACACCGTTACACCGGCCAGGGCTCTTGTGCGCCAAGACCTACATATAACGAGATTATCGTCGACTTTAGAGGACAAGACGTATTGAAGGCTCTTCTTCTCGCTTCAGATGCATGCTGAAAACTGCTGAGTCTCTCTCACTTGAATAAGTCCACAATGGCAGAGATCTTGCGGTAGCAGTCTCGCTCGCCATGCCATAATCTTCAACCCCTCATCACCGGCATTGCCATTACGGGGCAATACTTGGGAATGGCTTCGAAAGGTGATCAGGCGCTCGACTTGTCCTCGACCGCCTTCAATGATTACTTCATGTATCTCAAGCGACCGAAGCCAGCCATGCGTCAGGGTTTTTGTCTGCGACGTTGCAGCCAGCACGTACTCCAACACTTAAGAGTCGTCAAGGCAGGCAGGCACTGAATGCTCGAGAGCTTAACTCACCTTTGAGGTCGAGGGACTCTGACTGTCCGTCTTCCTGGCTTATCTATATGGATTTGCATTGAATGAGTGGCAGCCCAGATCAAACCTGACCGAACTCCAAGTAGGCATGATCACGACGTCAGAACTCCAAAGTATCCTTTCAAAGCCGGCAGAACAACAATTCATATCCAGGCCTCTCCTCTGCGCCCCTTTCCTCTACCTAGTGACCTCTCTCTCCTTCAAAAACGTCTCTATCCAATACCAGTAGCCTATCCCGACTCGCTCCCTCCGCTTCAAAGTGAGGTCCTTGATATCATAAATCTGATGAGCATCGCACATGAAAATATAGCCATACATTCATTCAAATTGACCCCCTCTTGTTGGTCCAAAGTGAGCGAATGTACGAAACCGTCCATGGTTCACGATATCGGACTGCATGGAACGACAAAGGCTAGCCTCATGGGAAGTGCGAGACGCTCGTCAACCGAGAACAACTCGTCGAAAGCCAAGCATCGGATCCTTTTTACAGCGTGATAGTATCACAACACGTCCCGGGTCACAGTTGCGATGAACTCGAGATGATGATCTAAAAAAATGCATTTCATAAGTTTCCCTAGGTAATCAAAACCAAACCCCGACGCGCCCATCAAACACCGCCCAAAGCTCTTCATGGTTTACTGCATTACGCCATCGTCTTTTTCTACTCCGCTCTATCCCTCTTGTCGCCCTCAAGCCTCGAGGCCTCTCTTGACGTCCTTAGCCTTGAGCCCCGTGAGGGACTGCTCTGGCTTGTGGTGAGACGGTCTGCCGGAGAGCATGTTGACGATCTCCATCATGTGCGCCCAGTGGGCGTCTTTGGGGCGGCGGTTCTTCCAGTCTGTTTCGTCATCCTCAAGGTCGAGGACGGGGCTGAAGACGACGCTGGCGCCCTTGATTCCAATGACGGAGGCGCTCATCGGATCCTTCTTGCACCTGTTATGGGACTTGGGCTGGAACTCCTCCAAGTGCTGCATGCACTTGATAGCCAATCTGACGGCACGACATCTGTCCATCGGCGAGGGGACGCCGCCCTGTTGGACGTGTCCGGGGATGCTGTCGCGGGACTCGAATCGGCCGCGCGCCTCTTTGCGAATGATGTCGGCGATGAGCTTGGCGTTGAAAACGTCATCGGCCTTTTCGTTGATGAGAATCAGACGACCAGAGGATGACTGGCCCTTGTCCTTAGCGAATACCTCACGGAGGTGGCGAACGTCTGCGGCCAGCATCTCAAGGTCCATACCCTCCTCTGGCGTATAGACGGCGCTCGCCCCGACACTAAGGCCAGCGAGCGTGGCGATGTAACCGGACCTGCCACCCTGAGTCTCGACAACGAAGACGCGACGACGGGTCGCAGAAGCAGATTGCTTAATCTTGTCGCAATATTGAACCAACTCGTTCAGGCAAGTATCGGATCCCAGGGAGTACTCGGAGCCAGGAACGTTGTTCGAGATAGTGGCCGGCAGGAGGACCATGGGAATGCAAAGGGAGGGGTACAGTGACCTGGCCTTGCGCAATTGCGACACTGCGTGGTAGGCCTCAAAACCACCGACAAGGAAGAGAGCGTCGAACTCATACTTCTCGATGAGATTGGCGATGAGCTCCATTCCGGACTCGGAGGGAAGCTCTCGGTTCGTTCCTATCTCAGAACCTCCCCTGCTGGCCCAGCTGTCTACGTCAAGCCAGTCGAACGGGCGTACCGCACCGATGGGCTTATCGCCGTGATGTCTCGCAAAACCGGCAAAACCGTTGTGAATCGCGACCGGCTCATGGCCGCGGGAAAGGCAATAGGCAACACCAGCGCGAACAGCAGCGTTCATACCACCAGCTGGCGCGCCGACGTTGATGAAGCCGATCTTCATTCTCTGTCGTTACTGTCAGCAACATCTCATCATCGTTTGACAATACCACTGACCTGCTTCTCAGGAAGATGATGGTCGTCTACTCTGACGTTGGTAGTCAAATTGTAAGAGCTGAACATTTCAGAGAACTCGGCGTCGCGCAGAGACATTGCCTTGTCAAAGTCCTTGTCTTCGACAGCCTTTGCGACTGTCTTGGTGTCGAGAACAGCTTGCATAAGGGGTCTCCGAACAATCTGGTTTTCGGTGATGGCGATGAAGCAAGTCTCGGTCTCGGGGGTGGCTTCGAGGACAGCCTTGACGGCCTCCACACCTTGCAGCGTTGCCAGCATTCTGTCGTACGCCACAGCAGTACCTCCACGCTGGACGTGACCAAGTGTCGTGACGCGGGTATCCAGAGCGAGTCCGTTCTTGTCTGCGAGAAGATCCTTGACCATCTCGGCCGTGATCTTCTTACCATTGCTGTCCTTGGCACCCTCGGCGATGATGACGATAGTCTTGCGCTTTCCGAAGCTTCGGTGCTGGGTCTCGTTAGCTTTCAAACCACCGTCACGCACTCAGTTATATGCTCACCCTCTTGACAATATCGCACATGTCTTCCTCCCAGTTCTCCTCTCTAGGCTTCTCGGGAATGAAAATAAAGTCAGCACCCGTCGCAACACCAGCCATCAGAGCCAGCCAGCCACAGTGACGGCCCATGACCTCGATAACGAAAGCTCTGGAGTGCGAGGAGGCGGTGGCCTCAATGTAGTCGACCATCTCGCAGATACGCTCGAGGGCGGAGTAGCAACCAATGGTGGCATCGGTGCCGGACATGTCGTTGTCAATGGAGCCGACGAGACCAACGATGTTGAGGTGCTTGTAAGGCTCGACCTGCTCCTTCTTGAGCTGGCCGGTCGAGATGAGCTCCTCCACCAAAGAGGGCCATTCGGCGCGGAACTTGTCGGCACCAGTCAGAGAACCGTCACCACCGCAGATGATCAGGGCATCAATGCCGTTCAGGATCATGTTCTTCGCAGCAGTCAATCGGCCGGCGCGCTCGTAGAAAGCCATGCAGCGGCGGGTTCCAATCAGGGTACCGCCTTGTCCGAGATAGTTGCGCACATCTCCCCAGGCCGCTTTACGGATCTGGTCGCCGCCCTGGACCAAGCCCTCGTATCCATCGTAGACGCAGTAGGGATCGCAGCCCATGTGAAGTGCCGTTCGGACAACGGCTCGCACGACGCCGTTCATGCCTGGGGAGTCACCTCCCGAGGTCATGATGGCAATCTTCTTCTTGGCGGCCATGATCGCGGATGGACAGGATGGAACAGTTCGTAAGAGGTCGGGACGTCGGTATCAAAAGAGTGGAAGGGGAGAGGCCCTTTACAGAAAACGATTAGTCGATGCCAAGATGATGCAGGTATTTCTTAGGAGACTGGTAATGATATTTGTTCAAGGGATGATCGTACGAGTTGTTAGGCCGTGCGCAAGAACAGGGTAAGGAGCGGGAGGGAGAATGTCAGGAAGATCATGAACTTGTCTCCCACCTCAGGCAGGACAAGTCAGACGCCAAGTGCTTGGAAGCTGCGAGGTGGTTGGAGCTTGAGGTACCTTTCTAGGTTGGGGAATTCAAGTTGGAACTCCCGGAACACGGGCAGGGCGAAGGGAAGCTGCGAGACACGCTTGGCCAGGCTTTTTTGGGGTTCGGGAGGGCGGCGCGCAGAAATAACGTCCAGTCAGAACCAGAACCAGTCGCAAGACAGGAGATAATAATAGCGCGCGCCCTGGTGTTTTAATATGGCGGGGAATGATTGACAGCAAACAGTGAAAGAGGAGCATGCACCTCGAAAAAAGAGCAAAAAAATAAAAATAAAAAATAAAACGGCCCCATTGCACCGCACCACAGTCCGCAGTCGGTCGCACCCTCACCAGCACCAGCGCGACGACCCCTCCCAACAGAGCCAGCATCAGGGCCCGGGAAGCGACGTTGGTGGGTTGAGAGAGCTCTTATCGCTTATCGTGGCGCGGGGGAGCTCCGGTCAAGCCCAGCTGGGAACACCGCCGAGGCCGCAAAGACCGCCGAAGCGTCGTCACAATTGCAGGGGGCTCCGGCGTCTCAACCTTGAACCGGCCTATGAAAACCTCTTACGTCGCTGTATCAGGTACGGAAGACCGCCTTACTGGCCACCACCTCAGTCCATTGTCTTCAGCTGGGCGGTTGCTGCAGAAGGATCTTCGCTGACGTTCTGTGCATCGCAGAGTCGCAGAACCAACTGCAGTTCTGAGACTGTTTTAATCGCTCACCTCACAGTCCAGTCTCTCTCTTCTTCTCATGTTGCGCCTGCACCTGCCAATGCACCGGACCAACTCCGTCAAATCGTCAACTGATTCGGAGTCACACCCATTGGTGAGGGAAATAATTGGCTGCTGCTGGATTTTCCCTCGCTCTTACTCGAATGAGTGAGGGGTTTTCATGTGTGAACATGACACCAAACAAGGTTCTCTCGGCTCTCTCCCATCTCGGGCTTATTCTGGGCTGCTTCCACTGTTATCCACCACCGTTGCCAGGTCCAGACTTGTCACCACTTGCAAATGCCCCTCCATCAAGCTCCATGGCGGGGCGTCAGTCCAGGGTTCAACGTGCTGGATGACTGCAAGCCCTCACCAATTTGCTGAGCGCGGCTCCGCGGTCTTTGGAGGGGTCATCCACGTCCCTCGTTGATAAACCCTTCCGCCCTAAACCTTTTTTATCATAGGAATCAACAACATTCTTGCAGTGACACTTCGCATTGTCAGCTCTTGTCACTCATGGTCTTTTCCATCTCTTCAGACGACTGTCACCAACCAGATGATGGCGTAGGTTATGAACTCGATCACATCGTCCAATACTGTATATCATCTCTTCGCTGGAGACATGCCGCCAACGGTGGAGAGCGAGCCGCTGGCAGGGATGCAGGGATAACGCTCCGAAGTGAAAGCGAACATCGACAATTCGTGACGATGAGATCAAGTGACAGGTCGTCCGACTTCTGTATCTTTTCTGAGAAATGTCATCACTTGTCATGATACTTAATATCCAATTTTCGCAGTATTTACATGTCTTTCCACAGTCCCGCCGAGATTCAGCCTCGATCGCAACTTCACGCCATTGCCCAATACTCAAGCTGGTAGCAAGTTTCAGGAGTCTGACTTTTTACGACATCCATCTGTGCTAAACTTGTATCGAGTGAACATGTGAATGTCGCCAGTGATAGTTTCAATCGTACCTTGTGGTCTGTTGTCGGTGAACGTCGGTGTAAGGTCCGCTTGACCGAGAAAGAGCAACAGCGATTGGTCACGGGCTTGGTGGAGCTCATGCCATCTCGGTCGCTCCAGCCAATCCATGGTGACTTCCAACTCCAAACTCCAGCCTTGCGCAACAGCCTCACCAACAGCAAACCTCCCGCGCAACATGCGGGTAAATTGCACGCCCAGCTTCAAATATCCTTCCTTGCAATAGACCCATCGAAGCGACCAGAACTGCACGAACGATAGACGAATTGCCCATCATGGCGTCGGGCACCTCAATGCCCTTCTCTTCCCTCCAACCGATCCCAGCGGGCGGTCGCAAGCCCAAGAACCTCGGCGAGTTCATTGCCCGCGTACAAGCGGAACGCGGCTTCCGTAACGTCACGGAGGAGAGTCTCAAACAAGAGATCGAGGACCGCAAGAATGGCGTCGCCGATGTGAAGGAGGAGGAGGATACCGCCATGGCCGACGGAAACAACGACGAGGACGAAGAGCCGGCAGACGCCAACGCCGTGCGGATGGATGTGTTGAGAAATATTGAGTGCGTTGGTTGCTGTGCTGCTAAGTCATTCTCTTTTAACAATTAAATCGCAGTGTCGCCCATAACGCCGCGCTTATGACCCTCGACTTCATCTCATTACTCCTCTCGAAAGAAAGCCCCGCCCAAGCCGGCGTCACCCTATCCCAACAACTGCGCGAGTGGACTGGCATCGGCACTCTGGGTATTGCCAAGCGAGAGGACAACGAAGAACAGAAGCAGCGCGACGCTGAGAAGGCCAAGGATAATCGCGACGTCTCGCTGGGCTGGGCCTTGATCGACATCAACAACACGAAGGAGTCGGCCGACAAGGCAGCAAGCCACCTGAGCAAGGAGATCGAGCGTGAGGAGAAGTACTGGGGTGAGGTTCTGGCAGTACACCAGGCTGGTTGGTCCATGTGCAGACTGCCAGCGGAGAGGCATACCCTGGGCGTGAGATTCGGTTTCTCAGAAGGTGAGCGCATCCGCTACTCGTCTAGATGTCATACTGACCATCTACAGCATCGCCCGAGTTCAGGAATAGCAGTCTCGCCCCTCTACGGCGAGGTGATGACGGTTCGGCGCTTCTCAAGCACGGTCGAGTTGGCTCGGGCTGTCAACGTCTCGGTATCACCATCAGCAGATCAGGCGAGACGACCGGCCGCCTCACCACCGGCGTCTCCGTCCCAGACACAGCCCTACTACAAGATCGCGTCCTCGAAGCGCGAAACACCATCTTCGCGCAGGAACTCTGGCATGAGCTCCACCGCGAAGCCCACTCGCTCGCCTCGTACGGCGTCCGCGCAAGCAACTCCGCCATCACATTCAATCCTCCATCGGGGCCAAGCCTCAACCTCGAGCTCGAGACGCTCGAAGAATTCGCCAACACCGTAGACGACCACCCAGACAACAAACTCGCCGAGGCAACGCATCTCGGCCTACACATCTTCCTCAGCCATGCCCACCGTATAAACGAGCTCCAGCGCCTACGCCCGGTGCCTCCCCACCAACGCCGCAACCAGACGCAAAACCAGTACCACCTCCTCCGCCCCATCCTCGCCAAGATCATCCACGACCGCTCCATAGCGCAAGCAACCCGCTTCGCCGGCGACCTCACCAGCATCTTCCGCCAGTCCGGCGTCGACTCTGCGACCTTTACCCTGAGCACGTCCTCCTTACCCACGGCCGACCTGCGAAACAATTCTGGCGGCTCTTCCAACCGCCCCAGCGCCTCCCAGGCCCTCGCCAACTCCCTCACAACACTACCGGCAGATTTCGACATCGAACTCACCCTAACCCCGCTATCCCGCCTCCAGATCCGCGGCCGAACATTCCTCCTCCCCCTCACGACGACCCAGTACCAGATCCAACTCCTCCCCAACACCACTCAGCCTCCCAACACCGACACCCCGGCGCCGCCCAACTCCCTCCAAACATCCTACCCGCCCTCCCGCGACCCCTACCCGGACCTCGCCGCCGTAAAGCTCTACCTCACCAACGCCGCCGCCCACGCCCTCACAGACTACGCCATGACCCTCATCCCGCCGCCCCAACAACCACAGCCGAACTCCTCCTCCTCCGACCCCGCACACCCGGAGTGGGTGAAATCCGTCCGCGGCACCGCCATCCGCGACGTCGACACCGAGACCCGCGAGGTCCGCTTCGACATCCTCGACGGCCCCGAGGGCCGCCCCGCGCTCCAGGTCGGCGCCGCCTGGCGCGCCGGCGATCAGGCCCGAATCAAGCGTTGGGCCTGGCCCGGCGGGGGTGGCACTGGCGCGGAGACGAAGCCATCGGCCACCATTGTCGACATCGTCACCGCCGTCGTGCAGTCCAAGGAAGTCTAGGAGACTGCTACGTGGGATAGTGGCTTCGTGGATCTAGATTGTGGGCGGATGTAACGATACCCGATGCCTTCTATTATAGCTTCAAGAGGTGACCGTTCACCATGCCGTAGCATCGATCAAGACACGGAGAACTGGAACGTCGAATGATTCGGCGTGGTCGTCTCAGGGGTCTTGATTTATGCACCACGACTCACATTAGTTACTTTTTCCAATAGCGAGCGCCGTCTTGCAAGGCGTTTAACAGAACAATCACAGCACGCGAGGCAAGTCAATCAGTAATGTGAAGACGGTTCTGCCTGCAAATGTATTCGTCTCTCTCTCTCTCTCTCTGCTCTGCGTCTACTTGGTATCTCGCTGTGAAGCATCCTCTGTATCCTTTCCCGATGCCATTTTCCTTCCTCCGATGTAGCAAATGCAAATAATGATAAAGAATAGTCGTGAAAGAGTCGTCAATCCTGCCCAGTACCATTTGATACACATATCTCGTCCCACTTGACATAACTCTGAAAACCGTAGCAATAAATAAACAAGCGTCGCTCGAAGCGACAGCATGGGTAGAAAAAAAGGGACGTCGGACAATTGGGCGAACAGCGATGAGTTGGGTGTGAGTATGGGGGGTATCTGCTTAGAGATTGAACAAAAAGCGCAGCTCAGTCATGCTGAGACCAGCCAACTTGGCGCCCTCCCGCTCATCCAGAGCGGCATCGACGGTTTCTCGCTTCTTCTCCTGAAGCTGGATGATACGGTCCTCGACCGTCTGCTGGGTGAGAATGCGATAGACTTTGACCGGTCTCTGTTGACCTATCCGGTGAGCTCGGTCCACAGCCTGCATCTCGATGTAGGGGTTCCAGAACGGATCCATAATGACCACGTTTGAAGCTGCAACGAGGTTGAGACCTGCGTTGCCGGCGCGCAACGAGACAAACATCACCTTCATCGAGGGATCGCTCGTGAATTTGAAGGCGCAGTCATCGCGCTGTGACATGGTCATCTCACCCGTGTAGCGGCAGTGCTTGACGTTAAGACCTTCCTTCTTGATCGCAACCTCCAGAAGATCCAGCTGCATGGTCCACTGAGAGAATACGATCGTCTTCTCGCCGGTCTCTTGGATCCTCCGGAGGAGGTCCATGCATGCTCTGGCCTTCGCCGAGCTGAGCCAGTGATGACTGAGGTACCTGGTGTAATCGCGCCAGGCAGTGGCGTTCTTCTTCGCATCCTTGCGGAGTGAATGCAACATCGAACCCTTGATCTTCTTCAACCTTTTCTTCTCCTCTTTGCTGGGCGATGAGAGCTTCTTCTTTTTACCCTTCTTCTTAGCCTTTGGCTTGGGCTGCGGGGTGCGCCGCGGGGTGTCAGACGATTCGTCATCGTCATCGTCACTAATATTGTTGTAGACGTCGTCCGACACGATGAAGTCTTTGAGATCGCCGTTCTTGTCGACTTCCTCATTGTCCTCGTCATCCTCGTCGTCCTCGTCAGCGGCATCTTCCTCTTCGCTGCTCCAGACAGAGCCATCAGACTCGTCATCCTCGCCAGAGCTTCCGCTTGATTCTTCGGGCATGTGAACCTTCTTGAAAGCCGAGAACGTGATGATGTTCAACGGATCCAGCGGGCCTCTGCACACGGCGCACTTAACCTGGCTATTTTCCTCGCCGTTCCGGATATTCTCGCGTTTCACGTTGTCGACGTGTTGCTTCAGACATCCTGCGCAGAGCTCGTGTCCACAGGGGAGTGGGATGGTAGGGTCGGGCATCATGTCGTAACAGATAGGACACTCGAATCCTTCGTCAATAGCGTCGGAATTTTCGAGTGCGCGAGACTTTTCGAGAAGCCTCGTAATGACGGCATTTGAGAGCTTCTTCACTCGCTCGAGCATCTGGTCGTCCACCTCGGGAACCGCCTCGTCCGAGTCCAGGAGCAGATGCGGATGGCAACAAGACTGACGCAAGCGAAGCAGTAGTACCAGCACATGGGAGTAGTGCTTGCCCAGAGTACCCTTTCTGAGATACTTGTTGATCTGCACCTGCGACTTGGTCTCCAAGTCTGTGTAGAACTTGCGCTCATCTTCGTCCAACTCGGCATAGACGACTTCTTCGGTCTTCTCTGGCAACTGCAGGATTGGTTTGCCGTCGATCTCCGAGGTCTTGGTCCGTCGCAACATCGTTGCCTTGAGGAGGACCTGCAAGTTTCGCATGGCCTGAGCTTTGGGATCACCCTTCTTTCCAAAGAGTACACCGAAAGCTATGCGGAAATTGTTCCAAATGCAGTACGGCTTGATCTTGAGGAAGTTGTAAAGGGAGTAGAGTTCGTCGACGCCATTCATCATAGGAGTGCCGGACAGACACCAGCGGTATTTGCTTTGCAACGCGGCAGTAGCTATAGCGGCCTGAGTCTTGCTGTTCTTGATTCCCTGGCTCTCGTCTAAAACGACGCGATAGAATACCGAGTAGTTGGGATGAAAGAAAGAGACCGAACTGGCGAGGGTGGGGTCCGTCTTGGTGTTGACTTGTCGGTCTCCGTTATCCTTCCAGAAGGCTGCTATCTTCTTCTTGTCGGCAACCAGCGTTCCGTAAGTGGTAAGGACGACATCGAATTTCATGAGTTCCGTTGCCTTCTTCTTGTGCGTGCTGTGGTAAACGAACGTTGTCAAAGCGTGGCCCGCAGTCGTCTTGAGCTTCTTCTTGATCTCATCTTCCCATTGCCTAATGAGAGAAAAGGGTGCCACGATGAGAGTTGTCTGTCGCATCAAATTAGAACATGGACTTTCTTGGGAGGGGTTATGCGTACCTTGCAAGGGGAGTCGGAAGGTGCTTTATTTGATACCATCAGCGACAAGACGGAGATGGTCTTTCCCAAACCCATGTCATCAGCAAGAATGCCCCCCTTGTTGGAGCCGTTCTCCTGACGCTTCATCCACGTGAGAGCGACTCTCTGGTGGGCGTACAGCGGGTATCTCATTGCTTCCGGCGTTCCATCGCGGTCCTCCTCGGGGATCTCCATGCCTGCATGCACGTTTCTCAGAAGCGCCTCGACCTCTTCCCTAGACTTGCGGGGATCTTCGTGAATATCTTGCATGATCGATGCAACGCGGGCATCCAGCGGGTTTCCGGATCCATCAGTCAAGTCCATGAAGTTGAAATTCCTAGTTCTGTTGATCACTTCGGCGGTACTGAGAGAGGACTGAGGGAACGAAGAGTGGGAGCTGCGCAGCTGGCTGGCAGGCATGAACGACGAAAACGGATCATCATCTTCATCCGACGGGAAAGTCCCAGGCATGAATCCCATATCATCGAGGCCGGGACTGGGCGTCGAACTCGACGTGGGCTGAAGCCCGTAGAAGTCGTTTCCACTGGGAAAGCCGGAGTTCGATCCTGGAAAGCCGGAGAGATATGATGAAGTCATCTGATTGCTGAGGTCTTGCCCAAAGGGAGTGGCTCCCGATCCGAACGGCATTGGGGCAGATCCGTTACCCATGGGGCCGCTCGACCAGCCAGTAGCGGCCGAAGGTCGACCTGTCTGAGACTGACGCTGCCTTTGTCTTGAGCGCGAGACCGACGCAGAGACGTCATCATCGTCCCTATACTTGGTCAGCATTGTTTTTGTAGCATCACGACTGCCTCCGTTCCGTCCATGTTCGACTTCTGTCTCATAGCGAAAGCAACTGAACAACTCACCCAGTAAGGTCGATGATGTCCGCCGCGTCGTCGATGCGCTGAGACTTGCTTCGGCCGGGGCTGGAGAGACCGAGGGTGGTAGCCTCGTGTGGTCTCTTGTTGTTAACGGGCGTTGACCGACCTGAGTTGCCGAAAGACTGCGTTCCGTGATAGCCATTGCTCAGGTAGGACATGCCACCCGGGGTTCTGGGCACGCCTTGCGCGAATGACGAGCTGGCTGCCGGAGGCGGCCTGTAAGACAGCTCTGTCATTTGTTAGCTTATCGTTGACTCGGCGTGTGATGTGTAAGGTCTGTCGAGGATCGTGAAAATAGTAATAGGGAGAGGGCAAGAAGATATGGAGACATAAAGACGTCGAGGAGGTGCAATGATGAGGTAAGGTCGGACAGTATCTGAGACAGCTGCCTAGACCACGACGACAACCGGCGAGGTTCCCGCAGACCTCTCCGAAAGCAGACGCGGAAACGAAAAAGGGCAAAAGCACATACGTTGACCCCAACCATCCAAGTAGTTCATATTGCCGCCAGAGGCAGATGTGCCTTTGCCGTTCGAAGACTTGCGTGCGTCCTTGTTCGCTCGGATTCGGTACTCCAGCTGCTGCTTCTGTCGCTTCTTATCCTCGACCTTCTTCTGCGCGGCTCGGAGCTCGTCCTGGGACTGCTTCTTTTGCTCGCGGTACGCTTGGGCGTCGAGCTGGTCGTCTTCCAGGGATTCGAGGATGGCTTGCGCGAGGTCTCGTTCGTTCTCGAGCTCGAGGAGTTCTTCGGCATGCTTCTGGAGAGCCTTGCGGTCGCCGTCAGCGACCGGGCTGCCCGCCATTTTTGTAATGTTGGTTCCGGTCCGGTCGCTCAAGGGGTCGGGTGGGCGGTGTTTGGTAATGGGCGGCGTTAAATGAGGCGACCTGCAGGAGGTGGGCAACTGAGTTGGTACGTGGCGCGGTGCTGCAACATCTGTTGGCTGGAAAAAGTTGAGGTTCCGCCGCAGGCTTGGTGGAATGGAACGAGATGTCAGTCCTGGAAGTATCCTGAGCGGTACTTATCGACTTTGCCTGCTGCAGGTGCGGTGGCTTGCCGTCAATGTGGAAGGATGGATACTTCGAGGTAACAACGAAGGAGAGAACCGACCAGAGCGGAAGAGAAAGAGGGGTGAATGGGACGACAGAGACGGATGAAGAAGGAGACCAATAAAAGATGGAAAGAGCGACGAGAAGATTCCGAGAAGAGCAGGAAGTTGCGGTCGGATCTGGCCTGTCCAGGCTGCTGCTGCTGCCAGTTTCAGCCTTCCGATGGAGGTAGCTCTCGTGAATGCGACAACAAAAAATCGAGGTTCTGCCTTCACGGTTGTCTCTGCAATCGCCTCAGGTGCCCGTGTGCTGTGGCAAGTGTGCTGGAGTTGACCAGGAAAAGACGCTATTGGCGCTGCTTATCTTATCGGGGCCGATTTTAATTGATGTCATCCATGTATGGTTGCAAGGGAAAGCGCGCGACGCGTTAATTGGGGCGCGCTTGCCTTACCGTAGCAACCACTTCACTCTTCGAACTTACCTTCCGCCTGTATCCGTAGAGGGGAGGGGAGGGCCCTTGTTGCTGCCTGTCTTGGGCAAGTACTTCGCAGCGTCCCGTCGCCTCCATTGGTGAAAAGTTGATGAGACCCTGAGGACGGTACGAACCTGCCACAGTCCACCTCGCAAAATGAACCTCGATCTCACGAGGCTCCTTGGCTGCATCTGCACCACTAAGTCTGACTTTCTTCGGTGTCGCCAAGGCGATATTGCCTGCTCCTGCGCCTCACGCGCCTGAGAAGTCATGAGTCAATAGTGGTACACATTTAGAGTACTGACCACAGTCAGCTACGTATCCGTACTTATCCGGGGAGAATTCCTCATTTGCGTCGATGAGGCTGCCAACAGAACCCGGATCTCATCCCTTTTGTTACAAAACCGCATTTTCATGGGTACGGTTCCAACAGCAGCTCGGTTTCTGCCTTGACCCACGCCTTTCGCAAACTGAAATACGATCGCGCATTACAAGTAGAGCCCCATTTTCACATCGGTCCCACGATGCCTCAGCCGCCAGGACTCCCAAAGTTGCACATGTCTCAGCAAAAAGCCAGGCTGCCCGCAGTCAGCCCCAAAGCCGCCGTACGGTGCCACGACGCTCCCGTTGCACTGGAAGAGGGAGAAAAAATGTACTTACTCCGTACGACTAACGAAGCGGCACTTTACCCAGTACTTCGGTGTACAAACTTGGCTCGGTGGCTTCTGCTTTCTGATTCATCACAAAAGTCCAAGCAGCAATCAACCCCGTCCCCGTCCCCGTCCGTCACCCTCTCTTCCGTGTCCTCAACACTACTACTGCTGCTGCTTACCAGAGCCTCATCTCCCGACGGAACTGCCTACCTGGGTATCCGAGCCTGACTTGGCGGAAATGGTTTCAGCGACCAGACAGACGGCTGATCCGCTCGTCCTTGTCCAATGATGTGACTTGCTGAGCCGCGCCATCCTCAAATAATGAATCTGCGTGATCTTGGGGTCAGAAGTGCTTTTGCCTAAGGTACCTTGGCGTTTCTGTGCGGCCAGTTTTGTGACAATACGGGCAAAAGCACATCTTATCCAGCAACATCTTCAGGGTAAGACTAACTAACCTTCGGAAGCAATCGCAATCAGTCGTAAACAGTGATATCCACCCCACTTGTGTTTCCTTCTCTTGGAATAATTCGAACCTGAATGAAACACCAAGGTAGAGCGGATCAGTTCCTCAGATGATTTGCGGATACATTCAAAGGGCAGTTACTCTCACAGGCACGTACCAACCAATCAGCGAGAGGATCATCAATCTCTATTGAGCTGTAGGCCAAGTAGGGCGAGCAAATTATTACTATATACGTCTTGTGTAGTTGTAGTTGTAGTATTGCAGTGCAACATGCAAAGCGCAAAAAACAAGCGTCAAAGCGAGCGACCTGCAGGCCTCCCCTGATAAGTCCATCCATCCTCCATTCGTCGTCATTTTTTCCCGCTGTGCGTCGGGAAAGTTACAAAGGAAAATTAATTTTAAAAACCTCTTCCTCAAAATTCCCAAACAGTAAGTTTTCGTGTCTCGGAGAAGAGAAAGGGTTGGGTATCCGTCATCTGAGTTGATGTATGTGTATCTGAGAAAATCCTCCAGTACCTCAGCGGGATGCAATGTAGTCTTGCGAAAAAGGGGGTATCATCATTCTAGTGTGTCCAGTCTTGGGCTCAAGAGCATGCTGCGTGAGAAAGATGGACTGTGGTGCGAAAGACAAAGGAAATCCTCCACATTTCCACGAATCAGACTCGTGCTTAATCTTCAAAGAAGTCATGGTCGTCAAAATCGCCCGGATGAGCATCTGAGTCGTAGGCGCTCGAGCGCATCATCGGTGGGGTCATGGGCTGTTGCCGGCTTGATGGACGACCAAGCGGTGGGCTCTTCTGGGACATGAACCCGGGCTGTCCGTTGGTGACAGAAGGTCCGCGAGCGTGTGCCTGCGCCTGTGCCTGTAGTTGTTGAGCCGTGTAGCGGCGACCAGTTGTTTGGAAGGCCGTGGGTTGGGGCTCGTCGGCGTGTGTGGGAGGTGTCTGGCGAAGGCCAGATGCCGGAGGCGTGAGCAGTCCTCCAAGCAAGTTGTTGTTGGATGAAGTCGAGACAGTGGATCTGGAAGGTGTGTGGTTGCTGTTGAAGGCAGATCTGGACGACGAGGGGCGAGCAGCCGCTCTGGAAGAGGGCGCCTGGGATTTGCGCCAGTTACCCCAAGCAGCGGCAAGGGGGCCGACAGCCTGAGCGACGCGCGGCGTGGCGGCTTCCCTCAGAGACTGAGCAATGTTGGGCAGGTTGATAGCCGACCCGCCGTTCATCGCACGCTCGCGCTCCTGTTCCTCCATCTGCAAGTTCGCCTTAAGACGGATGGCGGCGTCCTTAACAGCCTCCTTGTCGAAGTCCTGAGCGGAGAGGGCCTGAATGATATCTTGCAGGTCGCCGTGTCTGACTGCGAGAAGCTCGCGCAGCCAAGTGATCTCGTCGTCGCGCTTGGTAATCTTTGCGGGGGCCTCAGGGTCCAGCTTGTCGACGGTGGACTCGAGCTCCTCAATGCGCTGCTCGCGAGCCTGGAGTTGCTCTTGCAGAACCATGATTGACTCGCGCAGAGCCTGCGGCGAGATCTTCTCTGGGAGCTCCATCGACTTGGCGGCAACGGCAACAGTAGCAGCAGCCTTGGCCGGGATAGCAGCGATGGGCTGAGAAGGCTCAACACCAGCGGACTTGGCGGCCTGGACGGCGGCGCGGGCAGCCTCACGGGCAATCTCGACCTTCTCTTCCAGATGAGCAACACGGTCTTGGAGATGCTCAGTCTTTGAGGTGGAGAGGCTGAGACGCTCGAGAAGGTGTTGTTCAGTCTTCTGGGCGTCCTCGACAGCATTGTTAAGCTGTCGCTCCCAGCGGGCCTGAATGTCCTCCACTTCGTTCTGGTGCTTGCGCTTGAGCTCCTCGATCATCTGAGTCTCGCTGCTCTGAGCGGCCTCGGCCATCATCTCAGACTGAGCCTTGGAAGTCTCCATGTCCATGGTGAGTTGGTCGTTGTCGGCTCTGAGCTTGGCAATCTGCTCTTCGAGTTCTTCGCGAACGACATTGACGTGGTGATTGGCTTGATCAATCTCGTGCTGCATAGCAAGGCGAGTACGCTGGACCTCGCTGGCGCCAGATTCCCTAGCCTCCTCAAACTCACGCTTGTACTGAAGGGCAGTCTGGTGAAGCTTGTGGTTCTCCGTCTTCATCTCACCAAGGATGCCCTCAAGACGCTTGCATTCATTGACGGCGCGCATGCCCTGGCGTTCACCGCTCTCAAGACGCTCAAGCTCGGTCTCGATACGCTCGCGGGTGCGAGCCTCGGCCTGAAGCTTAGCATCAAGAACCTCTTGTCGGGCCACGAGAGCTTGCTCGCGCTTAGTGCGGCGAGCATTCTCTTCGGTGATGTCACGCGCAGCTTGGGCCATGTCCTCCTGAAGGGAGACGAACTTGGCACGCCAGCTTTCCCTGACGCGCTCGTTCTCCTGCAGCTGAGTGCCGAGGGTGTCGAGGAACTTCTGCAACTGCTTGTTCTCGTTGACGGTCTCGTTGAGGTCGATCTGCTGGCGGCGAGCGGTTTCAATGACGCGCTCGGCCTCGGATCTCCAGCGGTTGGCTTCTTGAGTGGTAGCCCGGAGCTCATCATCCATGTGGTTGATCTTGTTGGTGAGCTCAGTCTGTGCTTGTGTAGCATTTGTTTGAGCAGCCTCCATAAGCGCTATTTGCACCAAGTGGTTAGAAGAACTCTGCTCGAAAGCCTTGATCTTGTGTTCCCGGTCGTCAACAACTTCGCGGAGACGGTTCTCTTCCTCGGTAGCAATGCGAAGCAAGCGCTGGACCTCGGAGAGTCTATCTTCGGCGGTACGGCGGCCATCGAGTTCTTGATGAGCCCGCTCTTCCTGTTGTCGGAGCTTCTCCTCGAGATCACCGATGCGGTTGTCAAAGATGCTGCGGTTCATGATCTCAATTTCAACACGAGTCTCGGCAGCTTGCAGCTTGCGTTCGAGCTCTGCGGCGAGGTCCTCGGCACCGCGACGCTCAGTAACCTCCTTCTCAACCTTGGTCTGCTCGGCGTAGAGGCGCTCTTCGAGGTCCATGACCTTGGCCTGGAGCTCGCTGAGCTTATTGTTGACAGCCTCATCGGACTCGCGCTCAGCTGTAGGCTGCTGAGATGGGGTGGGCATGCGCTTCTCGACAGCTTCCTCAACAATGTTGCGGAGATCCTCGCCACGGAAATCAAGGCGCATGGACGTGCCGAACTGCTCCTTCATTTCCTCCAAAGCGCGAAGGACAGCGTTGCTGGTGTCGTCAGAAGCAGGGGCAGAGGCAGCCAAGGGTGCGGCAGGAGTAGGAATATTGCGCTGGTGCACCGCGAAGGCGTCGAGAACGGCGGCACGAATATGCTCCATCCGCCTGTCACGGCGGGGGCTAAGCGAGCGACGGGGCATGGGCTCCTCGTCCTCATCATCGGCATCGCTATGCTGGATTTCTGCGGAGGTGCTGCGACGAACAGAAGACGAGGCTCTGCGTGAGCCACCGCGGAGAGACTGCTGGATAGAGAGCAGAGCCTTCTCCATAGGGGCAAGGCGGGTAGCGAGGAGATCGCTGACACGGTCGTTGACACGGCCGTCGAAGAACTGCACGCGCTGCTCCAGCTTTGCCTGCTCCTCGTCGCTGAAGGCTCCCTCCCAGTCGCTTTGCTCCGCGCTTCCGATGTTGAGGTTGGTGACGGGAGCATCGAAAGACTGGGCACTCAGAGGTGGGTCGACGAAAGGATCCTCCAGTTCAGTAGATGGCAGAGCAGAATCTCCTGGAAGGCCACGGTATTGGCGGATAGGGCTTGAAGTGCCACTGCGATATTGCGCCGCCGGTTGCAGGCGGTATGGCGAAGTGTGGGTGACCTGGATGTTTCGGTTCGGGCTGGCTTGGTGATATCTGAGATCGACGTTCGATCTGTTCACACCAAGGGTAGGGTCGTTCTGGTTGAGGTGATCCATGATGGCATCGATTTCCTCGAATGTCGGCTCATGCTTCTCCTCCACAGACTCGGCAGTGTCTTCCCTGCCGAAGGTGAACGCAGGGGCAGCATCTGGCTCATCGGCGTACTCCTCCTCAGTTTCGGAGACAACATAGTCATCAGGGATTTCACCCTCCTCGAGCTCAGGCTCAGGAGCAGGCGAAGGTGACGCAGCGAATCGAGAAGCCGCAAGACCCTTAGCCTTGGGCGGGCTGGCGAACCGAGAAGCACCGAGCCCTCTAGGCAGGGCAACCTTCTTCGGTGGCGGAGATGGCGCTGGAGAGGGTTCACGAGGTGACGGAGCAACGGCCTCTGTGCTAGGGACGAAAGGCTCGATAGTGTCTTCTCTGTCGCGCTCGTCCTCTTCTTCCTCTTCCTCTTCAGTTTCGTCCTCCTGAGCCGTGGAGCCCCAACCGCCACCAGGAGTGAAGGCCTTGGCAGTAGCAGAAAGGGACTTGTTGTGGCCCTTCTTGTATGTGTCAATGCCGAAAGGCCGAGCTTCGTTGAAGTTTGCCAGTTCATCCTTCGAGTCAAATTCGAAAGGCGCCCAGTTTTGCTGTTGCTGATCGGGAGAAGTATCGGAGGGGCTAGTAGCAGAGACCGCCTTTGAGTCGGTGGGTTGCTCGGAAGCCACAGTTGAAGACATGGTAGTGTCAGCTGGCGTAGGAGCCTGGTCATCGCCTGACTTGTGCCCGGAAGCATCCAAATCTTCGGTCTTCGATGCAGGCCGCAGGGACTGCATCGCCATAGGTTCGGGTGACGGCTCAGCAAATTGAGGTACATCGTCACCATCTCCACGAGATGCCTTCGCTCTCTTGGCAGGTCCACCAATTGGACGGCCGTCAGCGTCCTCCTTCATTCCATCCTCGTCCGATGTCTTCTTCTCGCTGCTGCTAGGACGGACAATGGGGATAGCCTTTGACTTCTTGGCAGGCTTGGAGGCGTCGGAAAGGTTCAGATCAATGTTGCCAAAGATCGAGCTGTGGTTTCCAATGCTCTCGCTACCCGACGTAGGGCTGGCAAGTGAATCCGAAACAGCTCCGAAGGGTGTGAAGGCGGGCGCATCCGGTCGAAACTTCGGACCAGAAGCCGAAAAGCTAAAATCGCTCTGTCCAGGGGAGAAGACAGGGGCAGCAGCATTAATCTTGGACGAAGTGGACTGTGCGCCGAACGATTGCGCTGATGGCGAAGTGATGGATGGCGCGATAGATCCTGCTTGGAAAACAGTCGGCTGGAAAGAGTTACTGGCACCGGCTCCGAAGGTGAAGCTAGTCTTGGACTCGTGGCCAGGGTTGAACTTGAACTCTGGAGCTTTGACGTTGAGCTTAGAGAGCGAGGGCTTGCTGGCGTGGCTGCCTCGTCTCTGTTGACCAGAGCTGCTGTTGGCGGAAGACACGTCGTTCCACGGGTTGCTCTGGGTGGAGAAGGATCGCTGGTGCTGTTGCAAGAGAGTTGCAAGGTTGAAGTCCTGGACAGGGGTGCCGAGATTGCTGGGGTTGGTCTCGACTTCAGCGGCCTCATCAATCCGTTGAGAGTTGACATCGTGCCATCCGGAGAAGCTGTCGTTTCTCGGCCGGTTCTCATCGTGATGAGAGAAGAAGTTCTGCGACAACGAGTGACCGCGGCTGTGGGGACGGGGGTGATGGAGCACAGGGCCATCGCCAGATTGCTGAGCGAATTGCTGAGGTTGAAATTCCTGAGGCACGAACTCCTGAGGAGTGAATTCTTGAGGGATAAACTCTTGAGGCTGGAAGTCCTGCGGTTGAAACTCCTGCGGTTGGAAGTGCTGGGGAACGAATTCCTGATGGGGAATGAACTCTTGATTGGGGACAAACTCCGGGAAGTGGACAGACGGCTTAGTCGCATGAGACACGGGCTGTTCGTCTGGGATGCTTGCGAATTGTTCCGCGGCGGCCTCTTCGTTGTGGGGGCTGTAGTCCTCATGCTCCAACTCGTTGCGCATCTGCTCCTCGAGATGATACTCGGCCTCGTCGATTTCGGCTTGGAGATCATCGCTGTTCCTCTGCGCAGCCTCGGATGACTTCTTGGGCTCCTCCGCGGGTTCCTCTTCTTCCTCATCCTCGCGCACCTCTTGCAGGCGCGGTGATGCTCTCGCGGGCTGCTGTTGCTGCTGCATGAACTGATGGGGAAGCATCGGGTACTGCAAAGACTGGTGTCGCTGATGCGCGTTGAAGGCAGGGCTGCCAGTCGGTGCGAATCCTTCAGGGGTGAACGGAGATACTGGTGACAGGATGCCGTTAAGCATTGATGGCGAGTCTGTTCTGTGCTGACCCCAGCCAAGAGGAGACGGCTGGTTCGCGAGCTGGAAGGGCGAGTGACCCATAGGAACCGAGATGGACTGCCGAGCGTTGTACTTTGCAGGATGGCTGCCGAATCCGACAGGGGAAGCAATGCTGGGACTGTGGGTGTGGGAAGATCGTCCAGGCATGAATTGCGACGGGAAAGGGAAACCTGCGTGGTTGCTGGACGCAGAGGAGGTAGGCAGCGGGGGAGAGAACGGCAAGGGCGGGTATTGCGCAGAGGCTTGTCTGCTTGGCTGCGATACTGCGGGAGAGATGGAGGGCGCAGGCGGGTCGTCGTCGCCGAAGGACACTCCAAGAGCACGCAATTTGGCTTCGTTAAGCTCATTCACGTAATTCTTCCAAGCGTTCAAATCAGGCAGTGTGACCTTATACGCACGCTCTGCTCGCTCTCGAATCATGTCCTCGAATGAGGGCCATCCATCTCGACTTTGGGAGTAGCCGGAAGGCTCCTGGTAAGTGCCGGCTGCGGCATCCAAGTCGAAGCCACTGATGTCGTAACCAAGATCTTGCCACTCTCTGAACATTCCTTCGACTTCAGTCTGGTTGAGAGGCTTGGGCGCCTGGCCGGGGCGTCCTCGTTCATCGTCTTTGGGAAGAAGAACCATAATATTCTTACCCTTCCACGGAACCTTCTTCTTGATGCGGGGCGTCCTGGTCGGCTCTTGGATCGTAACTCTAGCGGACGCGCTTCTCATCGGTGTTATCGGGGTCTTCGCCGTCGTCTCGCCGGTAGCGGCGCTAGCAGTTCTCCGGGGCGTCGACGGGACGGCAAGATCTGAATTGCGGGCCATTTCGGCCTTGGAAAGCTCGGGGCTCTCCATGTTTGTCGGACGTTTCGGTGTCACGTCCTCCGGCTTGAGGGTCTCGGCGCTGGAGCGGGCACGGGGATGGCGCGGCGCCAAATGCGGGTCGCGGGCAACGCCTGAGTTCGCTTTCGGCGTTCGCAATGACTCCTTCTCGTGCCACGATTCGTCTGCAGATCCTGAGCCGCTCAGTGAAGAGTGCTCACTTCCGTCGCTGAACCAATGGCGGCTTTCTGAATTCTCACCCGCAGTGTGCTGGCGAATCCAGTCTTCGGTGAGTCGTCGCGCAGGTCGTCGGGCGCGGTTCGCGAGGACTTGAGCTGCGCTAATAAACGGTTCGGGCTCTCCGCCGTCCTCGTCGTCTCTGATGTCGTTGTCGTCTGGACTCCCTCCGAGGGACAGTGAGGGTGGCGGACGAAGAAAGGGGGTATCAATAGCCAGGTGATGAATTATTGGCGAGCCGTCGGATTCGTCGCTGCCGAAGCTCTGGCGGGCGAGGTTCTTCGTCTCTTCTGTCGAGTAAGGCGAGCCCCAACTTGCAGTCACGTACTCTTCTTCGGGTTGATTATTCCGCAAAATATCCCGGGCTCGATCGGGCAGCCTAGGGGCAGGTAGCGGAGGCAAAACGGGGGAGGACCCGAGGTCCTCGCCGTCGGCGGCCGTAGAAGTGGACGAAAGGGCCGGGGACGTCGGGGCGGATGGCGGACGATGGCCAGTGCCGTCCTGTGCTGATGCAGCAGGAGGAGAGATGGTCGATTCCTGTTGAGGAGACGTCTTCGTGGGACTCTGTGTGGATGAGGAGAGAAGGTCAATGTGGCGTCCTTCGTCGCGGCGCGATCAAGGTACCGCTGGGGACTGGAATGCTGGCAATGTAGGTTGACTTACCACGGTGAGATCAGCGCAGACGATGGAATCGTCTGGGCCAAGTCTCTGTCTTCGCGTCGAGGACCCTTTGTTCAATAGCCCTCGTTCGTAGCGGCACGCAAACAAGCAAAAAGCAGGCCACGAGGAAAAGAAGCGAACGGACGGGTGCTGTCGAGATTGTTGACAGGAATAAGGGGGTGGAGGAGAGAAGGCCCGTGTGATTGGGGAGTCGCTGTGTGTATATTTGGGCCAGCGGTCTTTTTTTTTTTTTTGTTCTGGTCGCGACGCGTATTTTTTTCCCGGGCCAGGTGTGCTAGGCAAAGGAAAATGGTAGGCCAGCAGGAATAAGGTATTATTTGCACAGGTTGACCCCCGGTTCAGGGATTAGAGAACGGGGGTTCGTTGCAGAAATGAACTGGGGGAAAATTATCGAATAAGGAGCGACATGAAGCCAGAAGAGAGGCCGTGTACCGGACGCATCGGGATCACAGCTCAAGCTTGACGGGGAGAAGATATGATCTTGACGGTTTGACAGGTCGTCGGGTTGGGGTTGAGGATGGACTTGAAGGAGGGAAGAGAGAGGTTCGGCGTGGTGCGAAGTGTCAGGAAGGAGGTGAGAAGAAAGTGCAAGGCGAGGTCAAGGGCCGGGGGAGCTACGAAGTAACTTTCGATTTCCATCCTGTCGATGATGTCCCTGCCGGCGGTTGAAGGTGCACTGACTCGAGGTACTTGCCGGGCAGAAATCCGACGTCAGGTACATGCACAGACGCGGGACAAGGACCGCTAGACGGGAAAGGCAAGGTACAGGTACAGCTATTCGTACAGGAACAGGAACAAGAGCTAAGGCGAACGGGCTTCGGGTAGCCGTACAGGAAGAATAATTGTCTGCGGCCAAACAGCGGCAATGTAGTCTACCTGACCTCGCAGTATTGCACAACTGGATTCGTCACTCTGCGCTGGCGGGTTCGCGGAGGCAAGCAAGAAAGGCATGCGATGTCGATGATGAGGTGGACGAGAGCGTGGGACTCTCCGGGGTCATCAGTACCAGTGGCACCACGAGATTGGCCGCTGTCATCTGCACATGCAGCTTTGTCTGAGGTTGCTGGGAACAGCAATCGACCGGCCACCAACTGCTAGGAGGCACTAAGAACAAATGCAATACGCCGCGCAATATAATATAGCTACCCTTATAATCTAGCTATTAATATTATCTTATTATACCTAATAAGTATATATTTAATATTTAATATTCTAAAAGAATAAAACTCTATCCTAATAAGCTTCTTAATATACTTAATAGTATAAATAGCCTTACTCTTAAGATTAAAGGGAGTAAAACCTTAATAAGAGTTATTAGTCTATAAAAGACTATCCCTTCTATTAAGATTATACTATAAACTTTATCCTTTTATTTATTTACTTAAAATATTATTTTATATCCCTTATTTTATATTAGCCCCTATTATTACTATCTTTAGTATAATTTTAAGCTTTAACCCTCTTTAGTCCCTTAATACCTTTAAGAATAATATTCCCTTTTATTTAAACTATATTAATAATATTCTTTTTATATATTATATTAATAAGAATATTATAATAAATATTATCTTTTTAAAGGAATAAATAATTTAATAATAATATATAAGTTATATAATACTATAGTAGTATTTAAACTTATTTATAGCTTAAGTAGTAGCTAAAATAGAGTATAAATTACTATTAATCCTTAATATATTATAATATAATAAGCTATATAATAATATAGGGCTTAGCCTACTTAGTATCCTAATAATAGTAGGATAATATATAGAGGTACTAGTTAGGATCTAAACGTATTAGATATAAGGTTAGTAGTTTCTATTTTAGATATACTAGGTATAATTAGGCTTAAATTAATCCTTATTGTTAAATAATAGCGCTAACATAGGAAAGGTAACACATAACTGGGAGGCACCAAGAACACAAGAGACAGCTGGCACCAATGACCGTTTTCTTCCCTAAGAATCTTCCATTGGCCGGTCGTCACCGCAAGCACATGAAGGAGAGAATAATTGGAGGAGCAGGAAGGAGCGGATGGGGGACCCTGCCTTCCTCGACAATGGGACAGACCGGGGCAAGCCAGGAACAGGCCGGCTTAAAAGACGCCAACGGCCCAGGTTTGTTTTAATGAGCATCCCCGCTCAACCACGGGGCCGAGCTATGGCCAGCCAATCTCGCCTGCTCGTCCTGATCGTATATACTTTAGATCACGTATATAACCGCCGTGTATTCGAGTACCTCTTAACACAACGTCTCATTCCCCGGAATCACCTCCCTTATTTTGCATCACTTTCAAGCCAAGGGTGATTTCCGCCGAACCAAAGTGCCCCGCTGCTTGAACTCCCAGACGACATCGTATTTGCCAATGGCTCGATGACGGGCCGTGACGCTGGATGAATGCCATGGGTCTTGGATTTGCACGTGTGCACAAGGCTTCTACGGCATCTTGCGAGTTCGACGTGCCGTCTAGACCTGCCTGATCCTGAAATCGTGGCTTCCATAGCTTCCGGCAACACGTCTAGCTAAAGCGCGCAATCGAGCCAGCTTGAATGCACAACGACTAACCATACCAACTTTGGTTGAAGATCACCAACGTCCTTCTAGACCTTTAAAAGCCCAGCAACCTCGACACAGCAGAGCCGCATTACCAACATCAACGAAGACTGCTCCGTTAACGCCAAATCCAGCCACATGTGCGATCAGTCTCAAGATCCATCGGGAACTCAAAAGCGCACGTGTTGTCCAACCTCAAAACCCCCGACGTGCATATTGTTTCGAAGACCGCAAACCCGAGGAAACCAAAAGGCCGTCAAAGCCCACATCTCGACTTGACATGATCCCATCAATCACCCCGGGTTCGGGTCTCCCGGGGCCGCGGTCGTCCCATTCTTCGGTTGACAACTCCTTCATCCAGACTTGCTGCAGTGTTTCTTGCCTTACCAAATTATCTATCATAACATTATCCGTTACGTAGGAATTATGAGGACAGAATCAAGTAGACTTCCTAAGCTCCTTCTAAACCGACGACAACAATCTACAAGATCATATCCAAACTCAAGTATCTAACCCTCATACCACAAACACCCGCCCACATGTCTCATTCTTCCCGCCGTCTTCACACACAATCCCAAAAGAAAACATATAAATCCGATTTCCCAGCAAAAGCTCAGACATGTTTGTCTCGCAGCAACAAAAACGCGGTCCAAGGAGACGCGTCGAAACGGAAACGAGGAGCTTGGGGCAAAAACATTTCCATATCCAAACGGGACCCGAAGCAGCGTTGTTCCTGGTGTTCTTCGATGTGAGAAGGAAATTTCGGCGGTGGCTGGGTGGTTCCTTGTCCGGCGCAGATTACACGTGAAATCGATCTCAACACGGCCTTATCCCGACGGCGCCGTTCCGCGGGCTATGTTCTGCCATTGATTTCAACTACTAAATACGTTTGCCGTTCATCCTATTGATATAATCCCCATCGCAATCTCGAAATCGGAGAAAGTGAGGCTACAAATCTCTCTCCATCTCCACCGAATCGCATCGTCAAAAGCACGCCCGTTATGCGCAACGGAGATGCTCCCGCTGAGGCTCGATCCCCATACCTTCCCGGGAAGGCGTTATGGAGGTATTCACACATCAGATCACTCTCTCACAGCGACTCACATGTTCAACCCCCAGATCAGCCGAAAACATCTGAATAGAAAACCGTCTCCATTGACATTATTCGTCATGCCGAGCAACCGCCGGATATCAACCTCTCAGCCGCGAGGGTCTTTTGGAAAAAGAAAAGAAACGCCCAAAAATAACCCATCCTAGTTTGTACAACTTGAAATTCCACCTCTTTCATAAAACTTCCTTCCCAAGCTTGCTTGCTTGCTACTTTTCTCTCACAAGCCCCCAGACAGCTTTCCCATATACACACGCCGTGCGACATCACCACACAATCGTACAGCTTCTGAAACCCCCATCCCTTCAACAACAGCATGCAAGTTTGCCTCGCAAGTGCCAACTCAAGGGTCACAAAAGATGTCAAAGTTGCCGTCCGAGCCCGCAAACACCGGTTCGCCGAAGCTCTGCTTCGTCGTCGAGTCGATTGCCGATTTGCACTCGGCTAGCCACCCAGCGTCAGCCATCGTCCCAAAAGGGCCCCCATCGTGCTACTGAGAGGAGATTACTTACTAGCTTGCTCGTCGCACTTTGAGACGTCGAACTTGGCGGGACCGTTGTTCGCGGCCTGCGAGCATTTGTTCTTTTGATTATCGCACGCTCTGCCCGCGGCGGTCGAGAAGTCGGGCTGAACCATTCTGCCGTCAGCAATCTCCAACCTACAATTTCTACCCGATGGTGAGAAACTTACGAAAGTGTCTCCGTCGACTTCAAACGGTCGATCGGGGTTGTTCGACTTGGTGATCTGCCATACCGCGACGTCAGCAAACAGCTCGCCATGTCATCAATCCCAAATAGGTCCCCCAAACTCCAGAGCGCGCCGCCACAACCGCAAGCCATCCATCCTTTCTCGCCCCAGCCTCGATTGACCTCCCCCAAATCAACTCCTCTCATCTCTCCCAGTCGAAAACCGAGCCAGAATGATAGAAACCAGAAGACATACCGCAGAAGCCTGGACACCCCCAAGCGCCCCCGTAAACGTCTGCAGGTTCTGCGAGCCCTGCCGCGGCAACAGCCCCATCTTCCACCCCATCCCGAGCTCGTCGCTGATATCGAGCGCCCTCGCGCCCGCGAGCACCAGCAGCGCCGCCGACACCACGTGTGCCGTCGTCGTCGTCCGCATCGTGTGTGCGTGTGTGTGTATGTGTGTAGTCGTCGTGGGTAGATGGGTAGATTACGTGTGTGACGCCAACGTTTTGCGGGGTATCGTGAACCTTCGTTCGTAGTCCGTCACTTTTCTTCTTCGCGCATGCGATCGCAGCTCCTCGGTGAATTATGGATAAAAAGAAATAAAAAAGTCGTCAATCGAGGTTCAACCTCTTGTCGTTCTCGCGTCGTCAACGATGCTAGGTAGGGCGTGAAATAACCGGCGACGCAGCGCTCTCAATTGGTACAACTAAGCAATAATTCAATGGTGGAAAAGGCAGTTTTCGAGGATTAACTTTCTCCTGCGCCCAACCCGTGAGAAGCGTCGAACGATGGGCTCTCGGGTAAAGTTCAACGGGCAGCAAGCAGCAGCACACAGGCGCGCCGTAGTAGAGAGATAGAGAGAGGGGAGGAACCTGAAACGGCGCGACGTGCATCCCACAATTTTCCACGTTGGGACGCAACACCCAAAGAACCCGAAACACCACTGATACGTGCGGCGAGCCAATGGGCCATCGACACGACCACGTGATGTGCCGCCAGCCCGCGCAGTGCCCAGACGGGTAAAAGAGAAGGACGGTTGGACTGTGCTGCGTTCGGAAGAAGACGATCCTGCCCTTGCCGAGGAGGCAGGCGCCACGGTGCACCGTTCGGTTCATCAGATGGCAGGTTGGCAATTATGACCGGCCGATCATATTGGGGATGAAAAAGGTTGGATGGGAGGGGAATAGAGTTTGGCAAGGGATCAGTCTAACTCTGTCTCATTACCCCTCCGTGGATTCCTCGGTCTAGTAAGTTTATATTCTCACTGATGTCATACGGTCGAGTTGAGGAGAGAAGCTCTTGTGTTCCCGTAATTTTGGCGGTGTTGGTATTAAAGTTGTATCTGAACGTACATACAAGCCCGCGGATCCAGGAGACATCCGCCAGACTTGCCGTCTCTGATTTTGTCGGTTTTGCTGGTGCGATGATGACTTGTTACGACGTGCGACTCGACTGAAACCCAGTCGGCGACGAGTAGACAAATGATCACCCCGAAGCCCAGCTGACAAAAATGAAAAGGGGGGAACTCTCTGCTGCTCTATGTACATAATTTTCTATCCATTAGTCCTGAGACTCTGCGCAATATGCAACCTTGCCTGCCGTAGTAACAATACTTGGGTGGCCCGAAACTCCGCATGACCGAACGAAAAACATGTGCAGGCCGCAACGTAGTAAGAATAATTTGTAGAATGGTGTGTGCCTTTTTAGGCAAGAGACCGTGGGGGAATCAACGCTTTCTTCCGCAAGAAACAATCATCATGAAATGCTGAACTGGTAGTACGCCTCCGGCTTAGAAGTTGGAGGAAGCGTTGACTTGGCTCGGTGCGTGGTAGCTCTCGAGGGTGGACTGGAAGGGAGTGCGGCCAGTGCCTGCGGAACCGCCAGCGCCGCCCTCGACCTTGGCCTCGTTGCCGTACTGGTTGTTGTACTCCATCAGACCGTCGTTCTCCTCCGCCTGCTTCTTCTTGCCCCAGATTCTCCACGCCACGAAGCCGAGGGCACCGAGAACGATGGCACCGCCGACACCGACGACCACACCAATGACGGTGTTGCGAGTTTGTGTGGACATGCCAGAGGAAGAATCGCCAGAGTCGGACTGGTTAAGACCGGGAGTGCTCGTGACGGTCGACTCGGATGTGAATGACGTAGCGACACCCTCGGAGTTGGTCGTCACGATAACAGTCTTGACTGTGGAGGTAACGGGTTGTGCGGTGGTAGAGGGGGTGGAAGAAGCCTCGCCAGAGGTGGTGTCCTGGTTGCCGGCGGCGGATGTGGTGCTGGTCCTCAGAGTCGTGGACTCGCCAGTCGCGACGGGTGTGGTAGACGAGGCAGCGGGTGTGGAAGCGCTGGGAGTGGCGGCGGCGGGAGTGGTTGTGGTTCTGGCGGTAGTAGGAGTAGGAGTCGTCGCGGGAGCAGCTGTTGTCGTCGTGGTGACGGCGGCTGCGGAAGTGGTTGTAGTTACGGCTGCTGCTGAGGTAGTGGTCTCGGCAGCGGCCGAGGTTCCTGATTGCCTCTTAATGAGGCCATCGCGAGGCTCCTCCTTGTGAAAGTTGAACCATGAAGCCTGCGCAACAGAGGCGACCATCAGGAGTTGGAGAGGGCGCGTGGGATGCATTGTGAATGTGGCGGTCGGTAGGCTCGGAGGTGGTGAGAATCGCGGGATCGGGGACGGTTATATGTCGCCGATAATCGTAGCTGAACCGTTTTCGTTCCTCGCGGTTTTCTTCAGGTTTTCCGGGACAGTCGAGATCAGGTCCCAGGAGAGATGACGGGATTAAGAGACAACTCGTGGCAAAGCTGGCTCGTCTGGAATTCGGAAAGTTCTTGCCCTGAACTGGTGGGTACGAAAATAGGAGACCGGCACGGACGGGTTCGCGGAATTTTCGTCGGGGTTAGGGTGAGGCGAGGCGAGATGAGTTCCTAGGTTTGCGGAATCGACCGAGGGATTACGGGTAAAAATGGATCGTGAGGTGAAGTCGAAGGAGACGTGATGCAAAGAAACGAGAGGAGTAGGTCAAGAGTGAGCAATAGGAAATAAGTAGCGAGTGAATGGTTTTTATCAAAGTGATGTGACGGATGGGATGAGTTGGTTGGGATAGGGCGGGAAGAACAGAAAAACAAGACTCGTATTCAAGCGGGAGGGTGGCCAGTGGTTAGTAGTCAGTGGCCGATGGTCAGTGGGAGGAGGAGTGGTCCGTGGACTTTTGGTCTGTGGTCCTGGCGCAGGCGCAGGAACTGGACTGGTGCAGGTGCCGGTGCCAAGCAGGAAGCAAAATGGCCCCTCCAACCCTTGGCCCTTCAGCAACCAGCGTTTTCGTTTTCCCTCCGCGGCGTCGTACTGTCCGTGTGGGTGGCTGTTCTTCCTCTGTATCCGTACAAACTGGAGCTGGACCGGGGGGCTACGTTGCACAGGGAGATGGTCTTTGGTGCAAGGGACAACGTGGTGGCGGCCAGAAAGCGGCGGTACGTACCGGGTGTCTCCTGTTTTGCCTGGCATCTCAGGCTTTCACCATCTCAGATTCGTCGGCTTCCTGCGAAAGAACGGTCTCTCATTGGATGTGACGTTTTCCCCTTGTCTTGAAGATGGAGATGGAGCCCGAGGCACATGATGATGAGTATCGCAGCCATTCAGAGCAGAGCTCTTCTTGTGGCCCCATCCTGACACCCACACCTCAGTCTGACAGTGTCCATCGTGGCTGGCCAGTTGCGGACGACTGTCTCGCGTCTGCCCACCCACTTGGGCAGCCGGCAACTCGCTACCAGCCCTGCTACTCCGAAGGACCCAAGAAACCGAAAATGTGGCCGAGCCTGGAGGTCAGTGGAACAATTTTAGCGGTAATTCCAACTGTCAGCAACATTTAGCGGCCAAAGGGCTGGTAAACGCCCCTTCTAGGCCTCCAGACGGACCCGGGAGTCTGAGTCCAGCCCGCTGCACCTGCACCTCAGACAGCCCTAGGCGAGTCGCCTGCGCGCCTGCACAGCATCCCGTCTGCCACCATTCCTCCTTCCTCGACTTGAGTGTCAGTTGGCGCTGAGCTCGGTTTTCCGCTTCTTTATCTTCCTGCAGGCACGAGATGCGACAACCCGACTCTAGATCGCGCTTCCATCAGCAGACAATGGAACAATAGACCAAAAATAACATGGTCAGTCGGTTCGCCCATGAGTCCATCGCTAACCGGCGCCATTAGGCATGTCTTGCAGCAGCAGCCGTTGCAGTAGCAGCATCAACCGAGCAACATGCATGCTAGGGGATGGCGATGACGACGCGCTAAACCATCGAATTCAAGCTTTTGTTTCTGTCTGCTTCTTTCCTACCGGAAGAGGAAAGGGATCGCGACCTTATCCAGCCACCTTCGAGATCTCCTGCAGACTCTCCGAAACTCTTTCCAATGGTCCCTCCACCATTCAACGACACCGGCAGCAAATACCAAACCGAAGCCGCTCAATAGACGATGACAACAAACGCAACGGACCACTTCCAATGCACCCCGGCCGGCCAGCGTAATGCCAATGCAACATGCCTGCTCTGGGCCGATCTCTGTCGCTATTTTGAGCACCGACCCGTCGCTCTTGGCCCCGTCTTCACCTCCACTTCTGCTCTCCAGAACCCGGCGCCATTCCATTCAGGGTCTCCCAAGACTTCTCCCCCGTCTCCGGGCCCCTCCCAGCATTCGTCATTCCTGCCGTGCCTTTCGAGAAATCCGGATTCCATCACGTCTTCCAGAAGTCGGTCATCGTCGGCCACTCGCCGTCTCCCGCCCTTTGCTTTGCCAAAGACTCGGACATAAAACAACCCAATATGTGAAGGGTCTTAATGAGAGCCGATCAGGGTCGTTAAGGGTCTGGGACCACACACTATGCATATCTCAGTGCCGAGCATCACCTCACTGGGCCGTTGGCATTCGCCTTCTGCAGCGGCCGACGTCACTTCCGCGCTCGACTTCTTGTTATGCTTCACCGACGCTCTTGAGGCCTGCACCATGATGCTATCTTTGAGCAGTCAAGGCAGTGTATTCATTTCAGCAACAATACACACGGATATCTTTGGTGACGGTAGACCCTCGGTTGGTCGGCTTCGCCTGATCTGTCAAAAACCCTCCCTCATCACCGGTCTAACCGTGCGTCATTGCTCGGGCGGCCGCCGAATTCCAGATGAACCGCCCAAGAACGAGTTGATGGGCGGTGAAAACCTTGAAGAGAGTAATTGTTTCGCCCAGCCACGTCAAGTCAGGACACCCCTTTGCTGTCTACATCGTAAAGCAAGTCGAGTTGAGTCGTTTACGGCATGGGTGACTCTTGTTCCCACATCCCGGGGAAATCGAATGGATCTCGCCAAAGAAACTGGTGCCGAGGGAAAACTCGCCCACTCTGAGAAGAGTCGTCCACGGCCACGCAACCGCAGGATTCAATGGCTCACGGATATTTGCTCCATCACGGTCGCCGCACTAATCTTAATAGCGTGCAGACCTTGAGCCTCATCACTGTGCATTACCAACCGAGCCACAGGCCCGCTATGAACTATTCTACTCGTCTGGGGCTTCTCTTCACCCTCCAACATTATGGACGACAGCGAACATCACCGCAGTCGAGCACTGAGATCTTTTGCGCGCTAATCAACAGTCCCATACCGGCCGCGGCCCCATGCTCACCGGGCGGCGTTCGATTTGATTCCCCAGCTGTTCTCTCCACTTCCGTGCGGCCTCCCGACGCCGCCGGCGGCCCAACATCCTTGCCAAGAGTAAGCCACCCGAACCAGACGCGGTTAGCCAGATGCCGATATCATCCAATCTCACCTCCAGCCACTCGACCATGAACACGCGAGCTGGAGAGGTTCCTCCGGAGTGTTTGATGCCACGCGTTTATGGACTCCTAGGTAGTTGGGAAAAAACCGTTTCACTAACCCTTATAATAGCCTGGAAGCACTGCCCAGGTACCAAGGGGTCCTAATTAGCTTTGTTTCCATTAATCTAGCTCTGATTTGGATCTCATCATGAGCTCCAAGCCAACTTCCAATTTCACGGTGCACACGTCGTTGCTGTTCAACTCGAAGAGCAAAACATTCGCCAAGAGCAGGTCAATTGTTGTCGATCCAACAAATGGCACCATCGTGGACGTCTACGAAAGAAAAGATGATAGTGAAATCAATGTGAACCGAGGCGACATCGACCTCCGAGGAAAGGTCGTCATGCCCGGATTCGTCGACGCTCACACACACGTCTTCCTGCATTCATACGAGTGAGCCGTGGAATTGTGGGCAGATCTTTCAGTCACTCATCTGACCTTACTCAGTGAAGCCTCTTCCACCATCCAGGAGCGCGACGAGAGCGTCGTCGAACGCATCGTCCGCGCCACAAACCACCTCCGTCTCGCGCTGCTATCCGGCTACACGACCTACCGGGACCTAGGCACGGAAGGCCTGCGCTCCTTCGACGCGAACCTCCGAGACTGCGTCAACCGCGGCCTGCTGCCGGGCCCGCGCCTCTTCGTCGCCACCGAGTGCCTCGCGAGCACCGGCTCCTACGAGATCCGCCACGAAAACGCCGCCGTCGCGATGCCGCGCATCGCCGACGTCTGCGACGGCGTGGACGGCGTGCGGAGGGCCGTCCGAAGGCGCGTGGGCGACGGCGCCGACATTATCAAGTTCTACGCCGACTACCGTCGCAAGGTCATGCGGTTCCCGCCCCCGCTCGTGCCGCCCGGCGAGGGCCGCCGCGACGTCATCCCGTTCCCGCCGCCGGACCCGAACCCGGCCAAGACCATGTTCTCGCAGGAGGAGATGGACGCCATCGTCCAGGAGGCCCGGCTCGCGGACATGCCGGTGGCCGCGCACACCACGACGGCCAAGAGCGCGCTGATGGCCATCAAGGCCGGCGTCGACACCGTCGAGCACTGCAACGAGGGCAACGAGGCGGTGCTCAGGGAGATGGCGCGCCGGGGCACGATCTGGGTGCCGACGCTGGGCGTGATGCGGGTCTCGCCGGACTTCGAGGGCATCCTCGGCCGGGTGAAGAGGGCGCACGAGCTGGGGGTCCGGCTGGCGGCCGGCGGCGACACCGGTGCGTTTCCGCACGGGGAGGGGGCGCTGGAGATGGAGCTCATGGTCCGGGCCGGCGTGCCCGTGTTGGACGTGCTGGAGGCGTGTATGGTCGGGGGTTGGGAGAGTTGCGGGAAGGAGAGGAGCGGGTTCTTCTTTGGGTCTATCGAGAAGGGATATCGGGCGGATATCATCGCTCTCGGGGCGGATCCGAGGGAGGATGTGGGAGCGCTGCGCAAGGTTGATTTTGTGATGAAGGATGGTAGGGTGTGGAAGAGGGACGGGCGTCCTGTTGGTTTCTTTGAGGAGGTTGAAAAGGAGGAGTCTCGTGGGAATGAGGAGGCGGACTGGGTTATTGTGTAGGTCAATCTCCTTTGGTCGGGACAAGCGGGTTTTCTTGTGTAGACTTGCTGAGATGGGAAAACTTCACTGGCTTTATGATTATAAGCGTTTTCAGTACACGTAGCGAAATGGAGCTTTTCATGAACACATCGGGTTTTAACGAGGAGTATCGTCCTATTGACGGACTACCATGGATACTTGCCATGCAGGACTCTCAATATACAGTTAAGAAGTTATATCAATATTCCCTGCTGACATGCGGTACGTCTTGATGCGGTAGCAAGGGTTGAGAGGAAGAAAGGCTTTAAGTGCCCATTGTTTGGAATAGTTTCAAGATTGGCCTCTATCTATCTTGCTCGTTACTTCCTATTAATCCCCATTACACCCTAAGGTACTCTAATTCTCGTGCCGTCATCGTATCTAGCCGCCAGCCCATTCGTTCTTTACAGCAGCGAATGCTCGCCGCAAAATGACGGGTTGCAGAACACCAACAGACTATCGCCATCATCGATTGACAAAAGATCCCCGATGCTGCCGAGGAAGAACAAATCGGTCTTCGGCAAATTGTAATCATACTGATCAAGGTACAAACGAATGGCGCACCGCAGCAGGGTTGCGGCCGGACTTGCCTCCCCAACACCAACGAATGCGACCATCCGATGCATCACGGTGACATCGCATCCCCGGATCCGCCTCCGAGATGCACCTTCCCAAAAAGACCACATCAACACCGCGCATCCGCGCATGACGCCAGTATACTAACCCAGAGCTAGATGGAATCTCCGCACGGTTCTCGCGGGAACGCAAAAGCTTATCCCGCCCAGCCCCGTCCTCGTACGGCTTGGTGAACCTGCAGGGAGGAGGAAAAGGCTGTGCGGCAAGCTTTCTCATCGGACGATCGTTTCGTATGCGAAGCTAACGACACCTGTTCTTCCCGACGTATTCTAGCAGCCGCCTCATGCCTTTGAAGTGGTGTGCCAGGTGAGGGGAAGAACGCGTGGTTACTACCTCGACAGCTCTTCTCTGTCATACAACATCCCGGATTCTGACTTTGGAAGGTGCGAGTGAAGAATCCGGATTTACGTTGCTGTTTTTGGATATTTTTTTTCACAATTACCTCTCCTCTTCTACCGAGGATATCAAGCTCCCTCTTTCACCACGCTCTCTACCTCGGAAGCAGGTTTGCCACGACAGGCCGGGGGGTGTTACCATCCATCACACGATCATCATCATCACTATGCAGCTAGCTCTCAGCGTATGATCATGCAGCAAGAGAGGTGCAGATTTCCAACGGGAGGCCGGTCGTCGTTTTCCGTCCAGAGAACGCTTGCATGGGCGACAGGGGCCGAAGGATGAAAACCGGCGGTCGTTCTTGTTGATTTCATAAACCCGCAGGACGCGCCCTCCTACCGAGAGACAGAACGCGCAAGGGCTGGTTTAATTCTTCGCAACGTCGATTCATCTCAAAGTTTGGCGGGTTTTCCAGGACGGCCGCCGGAGAGCAACGCTGTATTGCTGCATCCCGGTTCACCATCATAATTGCACGCCGCTCCTCTATTTGGCTGGTCATTCATCGAGCAGGATACTCAGCATTCCCAGCTTGGTGACATCCTCGAGAAACAGCTAAGAAACGCCGTCACCCAAGACAAAAGGAAGAAAATGAGACTACCACTCTTGTCGATTGCCTCGTTGGCCCTCGGGCTCTACTCTTTTGGAGGCAGCGCCACGGCACATCCTTCAGTCATCGACAAGAGGCAACTACAAGACATTGTGACATGGGACGAACAATCACTCTTCGTTCGTGGAGAGCGGGTAATGATATTTTCTGGAGAAATCCATCCGTTCCGTCTACCCGTTGCCTCATTGTACTTGGACCTGTTCCAGAAGGTCAAGGCCCTTGGTCTGAACACGGTCTCGTTCTACGTAGACTGGGCCCTTCTGGAAGGAAAGGCAGGCAACGTCAACGCCGACGGCATCTTTGACCTCCAGCCATTCTTCGATGCAGCTTCTAAAGCTGGGATATACCTCATCGCCCGACCTGGGCCGTACATCAACGCCGAAGTGTCTGGCGGAGGTTTCCCGGGATGGCTGGCTCGTTCACCAGCTCGGCTGAGGACCTCTGATCCCGAATTTCTTTCCGCAACAGACAATTACATGGTGAAGATTTGCGACATCATCGCCAAGGCACAGATTACCAACGGAGGACCGGTCATTCTCTTCCAACCAGAGAACGAGTACACCAACTTCGTGGATGGGCAACAGATCAACGGGCAGTACTTCCAATATGTCATCGACCAAGCTCGGAATGCTGGGGTTGTTGTTCCAATGATCAGCAACGACGCCAGGCCCGCTGGTCATAATGCACCTGGCACCGGAGTAGGGGAAGTTGACATATACGGCTATGATGGTTATCCGCTGGGATTTGACTGCGGAAACCCAGGCATTTGGCCGGCCGACAAACTCCCGACTAACTATCGAGCATTGCATCTCGCCCAGAGCCCCAGTACCCCAAACTCGATCATGGAGTTTCAAGGCGGATCTTTCGATCCATGGGGAGGCCATAACTTCGAGCAGTGCGCTGCGCTGGTCAACTACGAGTTTGAACGAGTCTTCTACAAGAACAACCTGGCAGCTGGTGTCTCGATTTTCAATGTCTACATGCTCTTTGGCGGAACAAACTGGGGCAACTTGGGACACCCAGGAGGGTATACTTCTTACGACTACGGAGCTTCGATCACGGAAGATAGAAGTGTAGCCAGGGAGAAGTACTCCGAGATGAAGCTGGAAGCTCAGTTTTTGAAGGTCTCGCCTTCGTACTTGACGGCCAAGCCGGGCAACTTGACGACTGATGTATACGCCACCAACTACAACTTGGCTGTGACGCCGCTACGCTCAAACATCAGCGCATCATACTTTGTCGTTAGACATGCCAACTACTCCAGCTTGGCCACGACGGAGTATACATTGCGCCTGCCGACCTCACAAGGAACCATCGCCATCCCTCAATTTCGCGAGAAACTCCAGCTCAATGGCCGCGACTCGAAGATCCACGTAGTGGACTACCCTGTCGGTAATAAGACCTTGCTCTACTCGACAGCCGAAATCTTCACTTGGAAGAAGTTCACAGACAAAACAGTCTTGTTGGTGTACGGCGGACCCGGAGAGACGCACGAAATGGCCATCAAGAAGACTACTGAGACTCCATTCCTAGCCGAAGGCTCTGACGTCGACTATAATGTTGTTAACGGCAATTTAGTATTGACATGGAAGACATCAGAACAACGCCGAGTTGTCCAGGTCGATGATTTCTTCATATATATCCTGGGTGAGTGAAACTGTTTCTGTTTTGGATACATGCATTCGCTAACACATATTAGACCGCAACTCAGCGTACAACTACTGGGTACCAGACTTGCTAGACGGTGCAAACCAGACTTCATATGGGTCGTCAATCATGAACCCGGATGCACTAATCGTTAGAGGTGGATACCTCGTTCGATCCCTTTCAGCTGAGGGCGACACCCTTAAGTTGCAAGCAGACTTCAATCAGACAAGCGACCTAGAGATCATTGGTGCCGACTCTGCGCTGACAAAGTTGGAAGTGAATGGGAAGCAACTGGACCATACAGTGAACGATCTTTCCAACTGGATAGTGAAGCCGTCTCTCTCAAACAACAAACCCATTGTACCGGATTTGGTGGCGCTACGATGGACGTACGTTGACTCTCTTCCAGAGATTCTCGCAGGATACGATGACTCTGCTTGGCCACTCGCTGACCACACCACGTCAAACAACACCGTCGCCAATGTCACAACAACAGTCTCCCTGTTTGCCTCAGACTATGGCTTCCACGCAGGCTCTCTCATCTACCGGGGTTACTTCACTGCCAGTGGTGACGAAATCACATTCAACGTCACAACACAAGGCGGCGCAGGTTTCGCGAGCTCCGTGTGGCTGAATGAATCCTTCCTCGGCTCCTTCACCAACGGACCAGACGCATCCGGTGATAACACCGCAAGTTACAATCTCACGAGCCTCAATCCCAACGCTACGTACGTTCTGACCATTCTTGTGGACACCATGGGCCTCGAGGAGAACTTCTACATCGCGACCGACATGATGAAAACCCCTCGCGGTGTCATCGACTACAACATCACCTCGCCGACCGGCTCCAAGACCAACGTCACAACCTGGAAGATCACCGGAAACCTTGGAGGCGAGGACTACGCAGACCACTTCCGCGGACCGCTCAACGAGGGAGGCCTATTCTTCGAGCGTCAGGGATACCACATCCCCACCCCCCAAGACTCGGCCTTCACAATACGTTCCCCATACGACGGCACCCACACGCCAGGCGTCTCCTTCTACGCGGCAAACTTGACCCTGGACCTCCCCTGGAAAGACCTCGACATCCCCCTCTCGTTCGTCTTCGACGACATCACCAACTCGACGGCGGCCTACCGCGCCATCCTCTACGTGAACGGTTTCCAGTACGGCAAGTACGTCAGCAACATCGGTCCGCAAACCAAGTTCCCTGTTCCCGAGGGAATTTTAAACTACAACGGCAACAACTGGATCGGCCTCGCGTTCTGGGCTCTGGAAGAGGGAGGAGCGACGCTGCAAAATTTCCGCCTCGAGGTCGGCAACGCAGTCACGACGGCGAGGGAAGAGGTCAAATTCGTCGAGGGCCCGGCGTGGACCAAGCGGACTGGGGCGTATTGAGCCCCCTCGGGGCATACAATTACGCATCTAGAGTATCATTACCGCTTTTGGCATACAAGTACTCATCAAGAGTATCATTAGTAGCAATATCGATTAACGCACCTGCCCCCGAGCTGTCTCGGGGATACGAAAAAACATTTCCATCATGCAGCCCGTATACGTATTCTCCGCCCACGTGCCATGCCTTCTCCCTCAGCCAGCCGCAGATTACAGAAAGTCTGAGTCATATTCACGTCTCCTCATGATGATGGTCCTCAGAGCACACGGGGAGAGGCTTGGCCTGGTCTGGTCCTCCTCGGTGTATCTTCACTTCCACAAGTATACTCCTTCCCGTACCAGCCTTCAACGGAGTCAGAGTGTGTATTCTATCCGTCTCCCCGTACAAACATCCCCTCCCTCTCGGCCTGACGGCTTCCCCTTTTCCATTCCCTTCCCTCCCGCCGACGCGGACGGATGGACATAGCCGCCAATCACCGCTCGTGCAACGTGGTGGGCTTATCCTCCTCCTCCTCCTCCTGTCTTGGCTGCCTCGGGAGCACGAGGGTTACAGACAGTCTCAGTCGGTGCAAGGTCTCCTCCCTCCCCAAAGTCAAGACGGGCGCGGCGGATGGCTTTTTCTGTGTACGACGCGAGGAAACTTTCGTGCGTGTTTCAAAGCCCGAGTCTGGATCACGCATGGCCAAGCAACGTCACTCACGATGATGGATTTCATGGTCTGGTAACACGAGACAACTTCGTGTTGAATGATCTTCTCATTGAAGAAATCCGCCTTGTAGTCTTCTTGGGCGGAAAGAAAGCTGGTCTACATACAGGAGAGTCTCTTAGACATAATGCTAGAAGAAACTGCTCGAAACTCTCGAAATAGGGCTTGGACAAGTCGTCCATGAAGTGCCCGGACAAGTAGGCCGCAAAAAGCAAGATAACCACACCAAACCCCCTTTAGAAAACCGATACACCTGGGTAATGCCCTTATAACTCCCTGAAAGAAGCAAATCCTGGCTTGTTTCCTTTCCCTGAAATTGGTTATCCCGATGAAAGTAGATGCGTGTAAGAGTGAGCGATGAGGCTTAGACCGAACGGATGCTAGACATGTCGCTCAACTCTGTTCCATCGCGATCCTCCTGCTGGCTTGCCTTAAAAGCTTGCTGGGCGTCGGCGAGAGAGGCGATCGGCTTGGGGTCTCTCTCAAAGGAGCAGATGGCCACGATGAACATAAGGCCACAGACGCCCGTCAGAAAGATGATCTGGTCCCTTAACGCGACGGCGTATACTTCCTGGACGCGGCGTACGAGGCTCGCGGACCAGGAAGCCGAAGCAGTAGGCTCTTGTTGAAGCGTCGCGAGCTGCTCTGGGCTGAGGTGATGAACGAGAGAGTCGGCGCGGCTGTTGAAGAGGACGGTACAGATAGCAACACCGATACAGCTGCCAAGAACCCGGGCTTGAGCGATGGCGCCCTGGGCGACAGCCTTGTCTTTTTCGACAGCAGCGACGATCGTAGAAGAGCCGAAAGAGACGCCAACTCCGAGTCCAATGACGAAGGTGAATGCGTACCCGAGGTCAAATGATGAATCAACGTCCGCAACGAGCATCATGAGTCCGACGCCGAGAAGCTGCGTGGCCGATGCCATCGTCATGAGAAAGGCCGTGTGGTTGTACTTGCGGCAGATTGCACCTGCCAAGAACGAGCCCATCGCAGTACCTGACAACATCGGAAGAAGGTGGGTACCGGCTTTGAAGGGGTTTTCATGCTCCAGAACCTGCATGCGCTCGGGAATGGCGACGATGAGGACAACATAGGGAGCTCCGGTAAGGAATGCAACGATCAAACCACAGATGTAGGGCCTCCGACGCGCCAGAGCAGCTGTGAAGACAGGCTCCATGTGAATGCAGTGCAAGTGATCGGGGTATTCGCAGAATTTCTTGTTGAGGTACACTTCCCAACCGACGAAGATAATCCAGCACAGCCCAGAAATTGCGAAAGCCGTGATGATCCCATAGCTGTTCCACTCAAAGACTCGGGAACCGCCTCTCTCGACAGCGAAGACGAGCGTGACAGAAGCAATGAGAAGGGTGAGCATGCCGATGAAATCGATTCTGAAGAGCGTCCGCAGCGACAGAATGCGGTGGGCGCGACGCTCTAGAGGGTAGCTGAAGTAGATGCCGAGAAAGGCCAAGGCGCCGAGAGGGATGTTTAAGGCGAAGATGACACGCCATGAAATCACCGTGGTGATGGCTCCTCCGAGGATTGGACCTAGGAGAAAGGCGAGGGCAAGAGTGATTCCAATCAATGCTCCCATGGTACTTGGGTTTCTGGCAGGGCCGTGCTCCAGAAGGCAGATCTGCGCAAGACTGTAAAGACCAGCGCCTCCTATGCCCTTGAAAGCACGACAGGTGATGAGAGTCCGCATATTATCAGCAGCAGCGCAGCCGAGGGAGAAAAAGATGAACATGACCCAGCTGAAGAAGAGCATGCGGCGGCGGCCGAAGATGTCGCTCAGCTTGGCAATGCCAACAGAGCAACCCATGTAGGTGAGCATGTAGGCGAGAAGAACCCAAGACGCATTGTGGTGGTCGTGGAACTCCTCGGAGATGGAGATCAACGACGTGGCAATGACCGAAGTGTCAAGTGTGGACAGGAAAAGACCCAAGAGAAGACTAAAAATTAGCGGCAGCTGCAGAGAGGATGTAGGATATTCTTACCTCATGACGAGATTGGCCTTCATGAAGGGCGTCATTTGACCTCTGCTCGGGGCCACGCAATGACTGAGATTGGTCGCGGCAAATCCAGCGGTATCGCCGAGAGACGGGTTGGGGTACGAAAGGGGCTGCGCCGTCTGCTGGCGAGACTCAGGTAGCTGAGGGTTCTCCATTGTAGTGATTGACGATGTCCCCGGTCGATAGCGATTGCTGAGGTTGCTTGCTGTGCTGGAAGCGAGTTGAAGAGATGAATTTCGACCACGCGAGATGTCTGGTGATGATTTGAGATCCCCCCTGACTCCTCGTCCGGATAGCCAAGGCGAGAGTAGAAGCTTGGATGGAGCAAAACAAAACTTGTCCGTACCAAATTTGGTGACGCAGGAGAAGAAGGGAAGTCGAGGATGAAGATGGGAAGTGGTTGAGGCAGCAAGGGGAAAGGAAAAAACTTCGGCAAGGGGCTGGTCTTGACAGGACACAAAGTGGAAAGGACGGCTGGCGGCGTCACCAAGCAGACGAAAGTAGAACTGCGCAACCTGGCTTGACCAAAATCCGGATCGAGCTCGAGAGGGTAAGAGCAAAGTCTTCAGCCTTACTCTTGCCAGGAAACAAATCTTTTCTTCAGTAAGGATAATGCGGGACTTGTTGATGAGTCGTCCAGTTGCCTCGATGATGTAAGACTGAATGTGAGGCCGTCGTTGTGCTGCGAGTACCTGAGGGCAGAGGTGAAAATACCCTTCTCCTGAATGAGCGTGGCAGGCCAGACAGAGTAGAGAGGAAGACACTTCTGCACAGTCGTTGGCCGTCAATGGCGGCTATAGTGCATACATATAATGAAGAAAGGCCGGAAGTAGCTCCTTCAAAGCAGATGAGATCCTCAATGCATGTACCCAGGATGCCCGAGACACCACTTTTGACGAGGCATACCCTTCGATTCTAGCCAGCTTGAGCTTGAGATCTTCTCTAACAGTCTCACCCAGATGAAGACACGGATGGTGACGGGTGCTGTGTAAGGTTGAACCAATTCTTGAGGCGAGGCTTGAAAAGTCAGGACTTGACGAGATGCAAGGCGGCGCCAGTACCTTGCAGTAAGCAGAAGCAACCACATCCTTCGAGAGAACAGGTCCCCTTTCAGAAATCAGCCAAGGTGTCAGTGACCCCAAAGAGCCCCCATTGCCCCCAAGTGTTCTTGATTGACTGCTCGGGCTTTGAAGCTTGTACCAAGAGGTTCTCGGCAAACGATGCATTGTTGGTTTCTCAGATGCGGTGGAGTCGCCGCCATGCAGCCCAGGACACTTCCCGTTGTCGTACGACCCCGAGACCCTTTCGTGACAGAGACAGTGGCTTCCGTAAATCAGCCACTCATGTGAGTTGAGGGATTTGGGGAGTATTTTATAACAAGCGACACTGTTTTACCCCGACTCTCCTGTGCCGGCTTCAGAGGAAATTGACTGGCTGAACATTGTTGATGCTGCAATCCGGCTGTGCCACCTCGTACGCACTCGTCTTCCCTGACATGAGAGGCACGAGCGAGGCGGGGTGACGAAAGGCCTGCTGGATCGGTGTATCTCCAAATGCCACCATGCTTGGCATGTACTGAACCCCCACTTGGGACGTTGTGCGTTCAGATGCCTCGTGGTAGACCAGCCACCATCCTAAGACCTGGTTCGCAAGAGCGTTGCAGGAATCTCTCCAGCCTTGCCAAGTTGCCAATCTCCCAAGTTTGAGGGAAAACGGCAAAAGATAACTGACTGAACATGAACACGCTTCCCCCCGGCTTGTGGGGCTGTTCCGAACAGAGAACAATGGCAGACGGGCCCGGCGCGTGTACGACTTCGCGATGAATTCCCCTAATGGTTCTGGCGGGGAGGAAACACTTATTTCCTGACCTTAAAGAGGTGAACGGCAAGTCCAAGCGTTTTCTTTCGTCGTTATGGTGTGTACCACAAGCATGTTGAGATACGCCTCCTCATCTTGAGTTCTCAGCTGTTGTACACCGTCTTGTGACACCTCAACTCGTTCGTCTTGGCGGCCGACCGGTCACCTATCAATCTTCTTCCCGCATCAAAAGATCCTTCAGTTCGGGCTCAGCTCTGCCTCGCGCTCTCTCAGATTTGGTGCCACAGATGAATCTGGTAAATGCCGGTGGCTGCTTGAGAAGGGATGAACTTGAAGCACGGACTAAGACAGTGTGAAGTGTGTGTGAAGTCGACACGGATCGGATTAAGTCTAAACCGAAATACACGGATGATTTGCCCGGCGATCAGGGGTCTAATAGCGTTCCACTTTCCAACTTCATCAGTCCGGAGCTTCGCAGTTGGGTGGAAAGAAACAGTCACTTTTTCTGGCCCCCAGTGTCCTGGACCTTGCTCGATACGGACTCTATCCAATTCTCACCGGTTCATCTAGTCAGCGGACCCCAATCCTTCCGGTCAATGAGCACACCACTGTCGACGATGTTTGACGCTTGGTTTGCCGGCTCGAAACAATGATTGGTGTACAGTCATGTCTCAACAAGGGTTCCTGCATATGCCATCATACCACATCCAACAACACTCAGCATGGTGTCTTTAAGAAGCCTCTTCCATGATAATGGTGTCAGGCTCCACGATTACGTCGGCTGTGGTTTGGGTGCGAAGCTGGCTCGGAGACGGTATCAAGTGACTACTTCCTGGGGGCCACCTGTGGAAAAGGATTCGACTTCGACTTCGGTTTCGGCCGTAGACGACAGGATTGCCCCCAAGATCCTCAATGCCAACGGAGCTTAGTCGTGGTTGGTGTCTTAATCTGTTGAAGCCATTATGTTGCTGGTTTTCTTGCAAGGAAACTGGAATGTCTTCTCTTCATCGTCAATGTGGGTGCGGAAGGGCCAGTATTTTTAGATGGGCGATGCTGCCATGGCGGACGGGGAACATGCCGCCCTGTGGCTATCCAGAGTCAATCACCGGATCTCTGGGGGTGCTTCGGCCGTTCCATACATCCCCCGGGCCGAGACTGGGCCGTGGAACCGGAGATCTGGGCGACTATCTCATACGGCAGACAACCACCATGACCCCGTCGTCTCCGACAATCGTGATGGCAGAGACCACTCTCTGACATCCCAGACTCGTAGGGTCATACTGTCAGACGTTCCTCCCCAGGAGGAACATTGGACGATTGGCAGCCCAGGGCCGTGGCAAATGTGTACCAGGAATGTGTCATTGACACTGACTCGGAAGCTCCTCTGAACCCGCCCATCCACACTGACTGTCCTACACGATGCTCATCTGACGCCTGATGGGGGCATTTTGGGGTGCCAGAATCACCACCGTCACCGGGAGAGGTTGATACCGCCAACGTCAGCTACGCCTTGATTATCGCGGTGAGCGAGTGCTGTCCGTATATCTTGTTTGCGAACTACGGTGAGGAAGAGGTTCCGAGGCACCGGCCCGACCAAAAATGGGGATATCTGCAAGTTGATCCCTAGTTGCCGCGACGTAGAACAAAGTTTCTGTCAACTTTACACTGTTACCATCCGCCCCCAACGGCCCTATGTCCGAGGGCTGGTTGCATATCAAAGCTGACTGCGCCTCCAGTTCATTCTATTTCAAGCATGATTCGCCGCCGTTGAAGTCATCGTGGATGATGCTCAACTGGCGGATCTTGGAGAGTATATCTATTTACAAGAGTCTGGCTTGGTGACAGTTCATGAAGAAGACTGGCTATATAAACATATATTAAAGACGCAGGCATACTTGCCAGAACGCCAAGTGCCAGACAGCAGTCTTCTACTTTCTTTAAACAAACGACAAAGACAAACAACAATGGTATTTCAGATCAGATAAAGGCGGGATTTTGCACAGACCGCCGGCTCTCTACACCACAGCCCACGCCATCAACTGCATTTATACAAAGAAGCAGCTTGATAGGTGACAAAACTAGTATGGGACTGAACAGAATTGGTCTTTGAGAGAAAAAGTTGATTTGTTTGTGAAAAGGGAAGTTACATGACTTGGTGCCTCACGCTTCAGGAAGAGGGCAACAACTTCACTTCACCTCACCTTTCACCTCACCTAGCAACCACCCCTGGCCGTGGTGCTCCCCCTTCCTAATTCACCAAACCTGACTTCTGATAGATCAACCAAAAAAAATCCATCCCATCTTCCAGGCCACCCTACTTCACTTTTCCTTCCATCCTTCTCCCGTCCTTCACCCTTCTTCATCTCTTTTTTTTCTTTTCCATCACAATCCCGAATATCCAGTAGAGGAGGCTGCTTTCACATACACGAACTTGCATTGGGATCATTGTACAAACGCATTATCTCCATTGTCCATTCTTGTCGATTCTCCCGCATTTCTTTTCCGTATTGATACCCCCTCAAAAAGCTCGAGTATATCATCCAATTTTGCCAATTGGCAAGATGGAGGATATCGCCATCGTCGGCATGGCCTGTCGCTTCCCCGGCGAAGCTACGTCTCCCGAGAAGCTATGGGATATGATGGTCGAAAAGAAGTCAGCTTGGTCCGAATTCCCCAAAGACCGTCTGAACATCGACGGGTACTATCATCCGAGCGGCGATCGTCAGGGCAGTGTGCGTCTTCGACCCCATCCCATCTTATCTTCCATCTCGTATTTCATCTGAGCTAATTTGATATTTCTAGATCTCTTTCAGGGGAGCTCACTTCCTTCAAGATAACATGGCTGCATTTGACGCGTCAGTAAGTACTTCATTTGCCCCCTTGACGATGACTGGGACGCGTTTCTAACTTTGCCCCAAAGTTCTTCTCGGTGATGGCTGAAGACGCGAAGGCAATTGACCCTCAGCAGCGCTTTCTCCTCGAGGTCTCCTACGAAGCGCTCGAGAATGGTATGTCGCCATACAATGTCCCCGACCAATTGCTCGTAGTACTAACCTTCTTCAGCCGGCCTTCGTGTCGAAGACCTCAAAGGCAGCCCCACAGCCGTTTATGTTGGCTCGTTCGTCAAAGGTTTGCCCATCTTTTCATCCCAAACGCCATGATCTGACAGTCAGCAGACTACGAGCAGATCTGCCTCAGAGACATGGACTGGCAGCCCCAGTATGCTGCAACTGGCACCGGAAATGCCATCATGGCCAATCGCGTCTCTTACACCTACGATTTCAAGGGACCAAGTATGACGCTCGACACCGGCTGCAGTGGCAGTCTCGTGGCTGTTCATCTGGCCGCGCAAGCTCTCCGAACTGGAGATTGCGAATTGGTTAGTCGCCTTTCAAGCCTGGTCTTCTCTGTACTAACTGTCTAGGCTCTCGCTGCCGGTGCTGGTCTGATTCTGACCCCTAACACCATGATGCCGATGACGGCCCTCAACTTCCTTAGTCCAGATGGAAAGTGCTTCGCCTTCGACTCTCGTGCCAACGGCTATGGGCGTGGAGAAGGCATTGGCTTTGTTGTCTTGAAGAAGCTGTCGCATGCTTTGAGAGACAACGATACCATCCGAGCTGTCATTCGAGGTACTCATGTCAACCAAGATGGTCTGACAACCGGTAAGTAACCTCCTATGCGTCTGGCTAAGCAAGTCGGTTGGTTCTAACGTGTGTGTCAGGCATCACTCTTCCGAGTAAGGAAGCCCAGGTCGCCAACATCCGGAGTCTTTACTCCAAGTATGACCTGGACATGCAACAAACTGCTTTCGTCGAATGTCACGGCACTGGAACCCAAGCCGGAGATTTCAGAGAATTGAAAGCCATCTCAGAGACTCTTGCCACTGATAGGCCGACTGAAAGCCCCATTTATGTCGGCTCTGTCAAGACTAACATCGGTCATCTGGAGGGAGCTGCAGGAGTTGCCGGGCTTATCAAGGGCGTTCTTCTCACTGAGAAGGGAAAGATCCCTCCCAACATCAACTTCGAGAAAGGGAATCCGAACATCGACTTTGAGGAATGGAAGGTCAAGGTACGCCTCCGTATTCGTGTTCCTCCTTACCTGGGGAAAAGGCTAACAATGCTGCTTCAGGTACCCACAGATCTCACCGAATGGCCTGTTGAAGGTCTCCGCAGGGTCAGCGTGAACTGTTTCGGCTTCGGTGGCACCAATGCGCACGCTGTGCTCGATGAGCCATCCTCATACTTTTCGGCACGAGGCATCTTGGGCAACCACAACTCTACGGTCCCCAAGATCATTGACTGTCACGAAGTTTGCGTGCCTGCGCCTGAAAAGCGCCACCAGCTCTTCGTTTTCTCGTCGAACGAACGTAAAGGCGTTTCTCGCGTGATGAGCTCACATCTTGGCCACATCAGTGACCTTTCGGGCTTTACTCAGATCGATGCCAACGATTATGCGTATACCCTCGCCTGTCGTCGCTCTATTCTTGAGTGGAAAGGTTTTGTCGTTGCAAGCGACGCAGATGACCTCAGTGTCAAGCTGGCGGCAAGAGATGAGACCAGCTTCATTCGATCCACTCGTGAGAACACACCAAAGGTTGCCTTCATTTTCTGCGGCCAGGGCTCCCAATGGGCTCAGATGGGCCTGAAACTCATGTGCTTCGACGCCTTCAGAAACAGTCTTGAGGCTGCGGCTGCCCATATCAAGAAGCTCGGAAGCGACTTTGACCTCATCGAGGAGATCACTAGAGACCCAGGGGCTTCACGCATCCAGGACCCTCGAATTTCGCAGCCTGCAACAACCGCGATTCAGGTGGCGCTCGTTGATTTGCTCCGCTCTTTCAACGTTTCACCCACCAGCGTTGCCGGCCACTCGTCTGGCGAGATCGCAGCAGCATACGCGTCTTCGTTCATCGACGCCGAGACGGCCTGGGCGCTTGCTTACCACCGCGGCCACTGCGCTTCTCTTCTCCAGTTCATCGCGCCTCAGCTGAAGGGACGTATGTGCGCGGTGAGATTGTCTTCCCAGGAAGCACAGGAGTACCTCAAGCACGTGGCTGAGTTCAGAGATCTCGAGATCGCCTGCGTCAACAGTCCCATCTCAGTTACCATCTCTGGAAGCCTTGACGATATACTGTGGATGCGAGATGACTTGAAGTCGCGCAAAATTCTGTGCAAAGTTTTGGATGTCGACATCGCTTATCACTCTCGGCACATGAAGGAAATTGAAGAAAGCTACAAGCAATGTATCAAGGACATTCGCCCGACCGACTCTCCCACAGAAGTCCGATTCTTCTCATCCGTCAAGGGAAAGCTGCTCCCAGGCCACCTCCTCGGACCGTCGTACTGGGCAGAGAATTTGGTCTCCCCCGTACAGTTCGTTGATGCTGTCAAGTGTTTGATGAACTCCGACAATCGACCAGACATCATGGTTGAATTGAGTCCCCATGCTACTTTGGAGTCGGCCCTTTCTGAAATCATCGCCGAGCACTTCTCTCAGTCCCAACTGACGTATTTGTCGCTTTTGCGGCGAACAAAGGACTCTTCCCTTACAACTCTTGAAGCTGTGGGTCAAATCTGGGCTCGAGGACACCCGGTCAACGTGTTCAACGTTATCTCCAAGTAAGCTATTTCGGCAGTCTACGTCTGGAATTCGAGCTAACCATTTCTAGGGGCAACACCACAGGATCCTACAAGACTCTCGTTAACCTTCCTTCTTACCCCTGGAACCATTCCAAGAGTTTCTGGCACGAGTCCCACACCTGCACCGAGCACCGGTTCCGTAACTTCGGCCGCGAAGATCTGATCGGCGCGCCATCGCCTGATGCCACGACCTTCGAGCCCCGCTGGAGAGGCTTCTTCCGCATCTCGGAAAACCCTTGGCTCCAAGATCACCGCGTTCAAAAGACTATCGTGTACCCGGCTGCAGGTATGGTGACGATGGCACTGCAGGCTGCGAGCCAATTGTCCGTGGGCATGCTCGATGTCATTGGCTTCGAGGTGACGAACCTGCAGATCGAGAAAGCAATGATCATCCCGTCCACAGCCTTCGGCCTTGAGTGTTCACTCAACTTGAAGAATATTTGCTCGAAGCCTGACGTCGACCCCGAGTGGGAATTCTCCATCTATTCCAAGAAGGAGGAAGGCGCTTGGATTCGTCATGCTGACGGACGTGTTCGGATTCGCAGGGGCGAAACCGCTCCTCCCATGTGCGCAGGCGCTCACAAGAAAAAACACTCCGAAATCCAGAAGCTCTGCGACAAGACTCTTCCGCCCCGACAGCTCTACGAGATTCTGGATGTCGTTGGTCTCAACTATGGCCCTTGTTTCCAGAACGTCGTTTCTATCTCGACTCATCTCAATTCATGCATTAGTAAAGTCCGGATCCCGGACACGAAGTCCAAAATGCCGGCAGATTTCGAATACGCCCACATCATTCACCCGGCGACTTTGGACTCAATGTTCCAGACCCTCTTCGCTATCGACAGTAAGCCTATGGTTCCATCCATGATCGATAGCATCTTTGTCTCTGCAAACATCTCTCATGACATTGGCGACGAGTTTACTGGGTACGCACAAGCAGAGCGATCTGGACTCCGCGATGCCAGGGGCTCTATTGTCATGACTTCCGGCAACGATGGCTGGGGATCTCCTTCTGTTGTGGTGGAGGGACTTCACTTCACAGCTTTATCTGCCCCGTCAATCGAGGATGGAGGCTTTATCCCGAATCACCGCAATCTCTGCTCCGAGATTGTGTGGAAAGAGAACTACGCGACATCAACTACTGAAGACTTCACTTCGATGCTGTCTCTGATGGCGCACAAGCACGCATCTCTCGCTGTGCTTCAGTGTGGTGGAAACGAGCATCTGGCTCGACACGTCTTGGAAACCCTTTCTGAAGATGGCACTTCACGTCTCTCTCGATATACAGTCATCGACGAGGCGACCTTTTCGGCTGTACAGGAGTCTATCCAGAACACTTCGATGAAGAACCTTGTGGAATATCGGGACTGGTCGGCCAACAAAGAGACTTTCCCCAGCTACAACGTTGTCATCACTGCTAATGATTCCAACGTCGATCAAACAGAGGCATCGAGGCTTTTACTTGCTGAAGGTCTTGTTCTCAACGAGATCTCCCAGTTGAGAGATGACGGAATCATCTCGGCGAGAACTTCTCAGGAATTGAGTGGTAGCCACTCTTTACAGGCGTCGTACGAGCTTGAGTCTGACAATGACATGAGCCACTGGATGCTTGAGCAGCGCTTTGAAGCCCACTTCTTCACCAGATCCTCTGGCTGTACTTCATCTCCTGGAATTCTCATCGTTCTTCCGGACACGATCAGTTCCAGTCTGCAGGTTCTCATTAGCGCTGTCATCGAAGTTTTCTCGGATAAGGGATTCGCGGTCACAGCTAGCACTTTGTCCGACGCTAAACCTCAGGGCTCAGCCTGCGTCTCTCTTCTTGAGGTCTGCGACAATTTCGTATACAACTGGACCGATGAACAGTTTCGCAACTTTCACAAGCTCCAGAACGAGGCGAAGAGCATCTTGTGGGTCACTCGCGCTGCGAACCGCAAACCTACTGACCCCCGTAATGCACCGGTTGTTGCACTGATCCGAACCATTCTGTCTGAAGACCCTCAGAAGACCATCGTCACTCTGGACTTGGACGAAAACACCCCTGCAACTTTGGCCTCACTGCCGCATGTCGTCTTGACCGTCATGGAGTCTATCCTCAATGGATCTGGAGAGACTGAGTTTGCCGAGGAGGAAGGAAAGCTCTACATTCCCAGGCTGATGCCGCTGAAGGAGCTAAACAAGTTGATTGAGAGCGATTCGCGTATTCAGCTTCAACATCAGCCGATCTTTGATCGGTTCTCTCCCAAGATGTCCTACGAGATGATCATCTCCAAGCCAGGCACCGCGAACGATGGCTTTCACTTCATCGAGAAGTTGTTCACTTCGAAGCTAGGTTCAGGAGAAGTAGAGATCAGAACTCTCAGCGCAGCATTGTTCAACGATGACCTCCAGACTGCGATGGGCCGCACTACTGGAAACAGTCTCGGCCTCGATGTCATGGGTATTGTAACTGGAGTTGGATCCAAAGTCAACGACTATCGTCCCGGAGATCAGGTTCTCGCTATAGTCCCGGGAGCCTTCAAGTCGGTTCATCGTGTCGACCACCGTCTTGTCAAGCCCGCTCCGCCCCCTGTCGAGTGTTGCCAGTACAGCCCAAGCATCTTTGTTGCGGCTTATTACGCTCTGTGTACCATCGGGCGCTTGTCCTCAAAGAAGACGGTACTCATCCACACTGGAGCTAGCGCTTGTGGTCAGGCTGCCATCAGGATCGCCAGCTTCATTGGTGCCGAAACCTTCGCTACTGTCATTGGTGATACTTCAGGCTCGCAACTCAAGACACTGAAAGAGTCCCACGGCCTCCCTAATGACCACATTCTCGATGCTGATTCAGATTCATTCGTCACTGCCGTTCTCGCCTCTGGCAAGGTTGATGTCGTATACAATCCCACTCAAGAGCATACGGCCGCGAACTTGAAAGTTGTCAAAAGATGTAAGTCATCCCCTCTCCTGGACTTAACCATGATCTAAAGCTAATGATTCTACAGCCGGATGCGTTGTTCAGCACGATGATAAGACCGGAACACCTACCAACGTCCCCATCGCGGGCACGGCCTTCATCAAGCTCGACGTCGGCGTTCTTCTGCAAGAGGACCCGGATCTTGTCATGGATATCTTCCACGATGTTAACGACTTCGTTTGGAAATACCTGGCCAAGAGCTCACGTCTCCAGGTCGAACCGGTCCATCGCTTTCCCATGTCGGATATGGAGGCCGCTTTCAAGCAGATCGAGCAGGAACCGAACCACGGCCTGACGATGATGATGGCCAAGCCCGAGATCCAAGTCCCGGTGGCCCACGAGATTCACACAAAGCCTCTTGCGGCTGTCATCGACCCCCACGGTACCTACGTTCTCGCTGGTGGTCTGGGCGGCCTGGGAAATAGCATCGCCAAGCTTCTTGCCGACAACGGAGCGAAGAAGTTGGTGTTCCTGTCGCGATCTGGTGGTAGCCCCGACGCCGACGTCTTCTTCAAGAGCCTGTCTGGTGTGGATGCTCGCGCAATCGCAGTGGATATCACAGACCGAGACGCTCTCGAGAAAATAGTCCCTGACTTGGGCAAAATTGCCGGAGTCGTCCAATGTGCCGCTGTCATCAAGGTATGTTTTTGCCGTCCCTCGCACTGATTTGACTTGATCACTTACAACATGACAGGACGCGCTCTTCGAGAAGATGACCCACGACGATTGGACCGCGGCATTCGGACCCAAAGCAGTCGGCGCCACCAACCTCGTCGACGTCTTCAATCCCCAACCGTCCGCAACCTCATCTTCCGACCCTTGGTTCCTCTTCCTCTCGTCCGCCTCGGGAATCATCGGAAACAGAGGCCAGGCGAACTACGCCGCCGCCAACGCCGTCCAGGACGCCCTCGCCAAGAGCGGCCGCATCGCCAGGGCCTGCTCCCTCGACCTCGGCCCCGTCCTCGAGGCCGGCATGCTCGTCGGCGACGAAGACACCCTGGGCAAGCTCCGCGGCGCCGGCTTCTACGGCATCCGCCACGACGACTTCCTCGAGATGGTCTCCCGCGCCATCACCGGCGAGATCGTCCCCGGCGTCCCCGTCCCCGCCCAGATCGTCTCGGGCGTCGGCACCGGCGGCCTCATCCGCCAGAACAACCCCGGCGACCCCTTCTGGTCCCGCACTGCCATGTACTCGTACATGAACACCGTCGACATGCCAGTCGCCTCGCTGGACGGCGACGACAACGACGCCGACAAAACCCCCGGAGAGGACGACGTCAAGAGGATGCTGGCCGCCTGCGGCAGCCAGGACGAGGCGGCGGTCATCGTCGCCGCGGGCCTCGTGCAGCTCATGGCCAAGGCCATGACCCTCCTCCCGGAGGAAATCGACCCGGAGAGGGCGCCCAGCGCCTACGGCGTCGACTCCCTTGTAGCAGTAGGCGTTCGGAACTAGATCTTCCGCAACGCCGGGGGAGTCGACGTCTCCGTGTTCGAGATCCTTGGCGAGACGTCCATTCGTGGACTCGCCGCCGTCGTCGCGAGCCGTGGAGACTGGTGAGGTGCTTTTGTTTTTCTGGATGCGTGGAAATGATAGGAGCAATGAAGGTTGGACATCGTGTGACGTACATTCGTGGGAAGAGAGAGTTGCGGATTAGCCGGGACGAGAGCGAGATTGTACATTCTCTTGGCGTGGCTGCTCGTAGTTCTAGTTTAATGTCTATTTTGTCAACGGAGTTCTTCCCATCCTTCCTGTGAGACTTTCCGCTCGCTGTGCCTCCATCACGAACTGATGGCTGTCTTGGCTTAAAATCCTCTGGGTCACCACTTGAGAAGTTTGAACTCTTGGCTTATGCTCCATCTCACAATAGACTCCGTGAGAGTCATGTTGGCACCCGCCCAAGCCGCCGCAGCCAGGAATATTGAAGCCAAACCCGCCGGCTTGAAAGGAGGTATGTAGTTCGCGATGGTTCAGAGCCACCACCGCCAAGGAAGTTTATCCAACAAAACGCACGCGGCCTTCACGCCGCTCAGCAGCCCGGTCTGCCAAGAAGCTGCGCGAGAGGCAAAAACTAAGAAAAGAATTAGGCTTCAACACTGGTTTAAAAACCGAACCGAAATTTTTTTTTTTCTCACGGAGTTCAATCCGTGCGCAGGCAACAACAAATTCCCCGACTAGAGAATGCCCGCGTTCCAAGCCACCGACCGACCGCCCGTCCGGGACGTGGTGCCATCCCCGCCTCGTCCTCCACTCTTCTCCGTCCCGGGACGGGATGGGGTCTGGGGAGGGGATCGGAACGGGGCTCTGTCACTCGGGATTTACCTGAAAACGGTGGCACGATGTCTTGGTCTCTCCATTCATAATCTAGGCAAGCGGGTAAGCTGAGACAGACTACACTAGGCTCGTGGTCCGAACGGTGCTGACATCCCCACGATATTAGGCCCGATATCGTTCGTTCGCCGCCAAGAAAGACGAAACCTTTCCAGCTTGCGCCCGCTTCCCCGTCCTCCGAACCACGAGGAGAGGAGCGGGGTAGCTAGCTGCATGAGCAGCGAGACGGGAGGGAGGCCAACTGCGGCTGGAGGAGCTGATGTGCTGCTAACTCGATGTGTACACCGTTTGGCCGTAAGCAACACCTTGCGTATCTGCTGAAAGCGAGACTGGCTTGCAGCCGAGTTGCTCGATTGCGTTGCGTGAGGGCGGGCATGCAGGGCCCGGCGGCACGAATCCCATGCGCCCTACCGTAGGGCTGACGGATCACGCATTTGCTGACCGGAGCGGGCAGCACTGTCATCTTGGAAGAGTATCCCCAACATTCCACACGCTGTCTTGACGAGCCTACTGAACAGCCCAAGGAGTGAAGACGGGTTCTCAAAGAAGGGATCGGAACGGTGGGGACTCGTCGTTGGCGGACATCCAAGCCAAGATTTCCTGAAGTTGGAAAAAAGCGCCCGTCAACGTGCTTTCTGCACGTGCGTCCCAAAGTCAATTCTCACGCTGACGAACCGTTGGGCCTTTAGGGCTGAGTAGGGCGAGATCATCGTCTAGACTTGGGTTGGCCGTGATCGAGGCGGATGAGGCGGGCCAGAGAACCCGGACGGGATATGGGTTCCCGTGGATCTGAAAGCTGAAACGTGCGGCGACGTCTTTATGGCCTAGCTTCATCCAAATCCTCTTTAAGATGTCGAACGCTGAGAAAAGAGCTTTCCTCGATATGGAATAACCGCGCATTTGGTCGAGCGGCTAATCTGCATGAGTTCAAAATCGACATCCGAGACTAAGGTAGTCGGATGTTGTGCGGATCATTTCGCCTTACAAGGCTGATCGGGCTTTGGACGCGACAGATATTCGTCAATTGTCCTCGGCAATTGATAAGTAGTCGAATAATGTGTGACATGATCGTCATCAGGCCAGCTTGGTCAGCGGCTGCTATTCTAGAAGGATGGGTGAATAAGCTTAAGGAACCTCTAGCTTGCATACGGATGGACGGGTTGGTGTAGCAGACTTATTTTCTTGCCTCTGGTCCAAAAGCCGTGAAGTTGTATCGATTCCGTCTCATCGTCGGTTGCAGGCTGACGCGTTGTTGATCATCATGGCTTGAGACGTTCGTCTGTCCCTCCCTCCCCAGTAACTTAATCTTGTCGAAGAACCAGTAGGCCGCTCTCGAGGCTCGCTAGACGCCGCTAATTTTTCTTTTACCTCCGAGAAGGCCTAGAAGCTTGATGAACAATAGGAATCGGGAATATGCCTGCGAAGCTCGCTGATCATTTGATTACGAGACCATGGTTGGCGAGGTTCATCCTTCCACCGGTTATCGGTATCATTACAGCATCCTGTGCTTTACTATTTAGATACTCATTATAAAACCCATTATTTATCCTGCATCCTGTGCGCCCCCGCGTGCAAGGAACTGAGACCCTATTGTCGAGCGACGGGAGGCATAGCATATGGTTTTGTCGGAGATACTGCGTGGAGGTTCGCCCCAGATATGGATAGAGTTTCCAGATCCCCGTTTCAGCGGACATTTTCGATGCCGAAAGAGCGTACGGTTGTCGGTCGTCGTTGACAAGGTTTGTAGAATAACTGTCCGGTACTTCTACGGCGTGAAGCTGCCCAATGCCATTGCCTACTTCAGGACCTTGCGCATGAAGTATGCAATGACGCGCCTCCTCAAGCGCCTTGAGCCTCGGTCATGGTGACTCTTTGCGCCAATAAATGAATTATTGGCGTTTTCTTAAGAGACTGTCAAGCCGGACACTCTGTTTTGTTTCTTTTGCGGAAGACTTCTCGAATGCTAGAAGCGGACCGAAAAAGCGCAGCTGAATGCTGCGTCTGAGCAGCAGCCAAAGCAGGATTCGCGACTCATAGCTCAAGGTCATGAGATTGTGAGCTGGAACGTGGTCAAGCCACCAGGGAAGCTTTGCCAGTCAGTCTCGAGGCCTTGTATGCGTCTTGAACCCTAGACAACCTATGCATCGAGGCAATGTGGCATTCGTCTCTTGTAGGAAAAGCGTCATGGACAGGGCACTGAGAAGATTCGCATCACTCATGTTGGCAGGACGGTTGGCCGTAGGGCCGGATCAGTTCCTGAAATCGGTTGGGGAGATCTCTCAGGCCTGCCTAACGAGGCGAAGATTGATGCCAATCATTACCATCCGGATTGCTCCAGCGGCTGCTCTGCCCTGCGACGACATTTAATGGGACCTGTGACGAAGACTGCGGCGATATGGCTCAGGAGCTGTGAATGGCGTGTCTCTGCTCGAGGCTGCTTGCAATCAGCATGTCAGACGCATGAAGACTTGTGAACGCAACAGTTACTGTGCATTGCTGGCCCTGCATTGAATAGTGCTGAGCCGCTGCTAGAGTGAATTGCCAGGACTGGTCCAGTTGTAATGGGTGCGGCTGTCATGTTGTCTCGCAGATGAGTCTGAACGATGAATGTCGTGAAGGTGATTGGGTGATGACCGGTGAGCTGCATCGAACCGCATTCCCGCGCGATGTTTCCGATGAGGCGTTTGTCTTACCGAAAGCTTCCTCCAATTGTGATCGAAGCGTTTCTTCTAGAAAAATGACACGAAGTTTTTGAGTCAGGACATGCGACGATAATGCCATCTTTGGAGCTTCAGTTGGAACGCGAAAACGAAGTTTGGAGAATGGAAGGACCGGGAAATAAGGTAAGATGTGAGAGAGCAAGGGCACCGGGATCGCCGTCTGCAGCCCACGGTCATGGAGGTGTGACCAGCAGACGGCAAGGACGGCTGGGTACGGGTATCTGGCAAGTTACCATCGCAGTAAGAGCGGTAGCCAAGGGAGGAAGGCAGGGAGGTAAGCTTGAAAATGCTGGGCAAGCTGGTCAAGCGGATGAATTGATATCGGATGTATGGGCCGCTAGCCGTAGACCAAAACACTTGCAGGCTGGTGTTGACTCTTGACATAGTGTAGAGATGAAGATGAAGCAGCGAGATGGCTGTGTCGCTGGTGATTCATGACGGTGGTGAATTAAGACAGGAGCTGCAGATGGCAGGGAGAACCTGTGAAGAGCACTTGGAGAGTGGCGATTGGCAACAGCTGCGCATTCGTAGTAGACGGAAGGATGACCGGAGCACGATGACGGGATAAGCTTCGCAAAGAAAATGGGCGGGTTGGCGGTTTCTATTCGAGATGCGGGTATCTTCTCAACCTCGGTGAGCAAGCGGCACGTAGGTAGGAAGGTTGGAAGGTTGTTCTCACCTCAGTGAGGTTTGTCCTGCGGTACCTACTTCTGTAGGTTCAGTCAGGTTGCATCCTCGCTCAGAGGGCACAGCCATAGGGCAATTTTGTTTGACTTTGTAGCCAGAAATGCATCATGATGAGTGAGAGGGTACCCCGGCCGGACCAAAGGCCAGAAAGGGAAAACGCACTCCGTGAGATTTGATGCCGTCGTGTGAGCCGGTGTCTGAAAAGATTGATGCACAAGCAACCGGTGAAGGAGACGAGAGCGCCAGGTAAATGAGGTATCTGAATCTGACGCTTGGGAAAAGGAAAATGACAGTTAGCGCAATCAAGATGTTACGAGGAGCAAGCAGATGTGGAACGAACGGAAGAAGTTCAAATGGACGCAAGGGCAGTCACAATCACAGTCACTGTCACAGTCACAGAAAGAAAGAAAGTGAGACCGATGGATGAGCCATTGGACGTGGAAGGAAAGGCGGCAGGAGGGGAGCGGCCCGGGATCGGATAGCTTCCGGAAGTGGGCCACCAACGCGGCCGCTCTCCCGCCGAAATGGCCCGCTGAAAATGTCCCGTCCGTTCCTTCCTTCCATTCCTACCTTACCTACGGAGTACTTCCATTATTCGTACTATGTTGGAATAGGTAGGCAGGGGGTTCTCAACTACCATGCTAGGGATGCTGTAAAGGTATCAGGTGAGGCATGCATGTAATGTATTACACGTGCAATGCTCTGTATTCGAAGCTTTCCCAGTTTGCACCTCATCATCGCCAGTACCTTCTTCACATCGATTGAATTCGCATCATTCGACTGCTTTAACTAGGTCATCGACCGAAATTGACATCTCCTGGCTTTTGCGGGGGCTTCCGGAAATGGCCCTATACCTTAACCGCTCCCTTGCCCAGTCCAAGTCCAACCTTGGAGAGAAAGACCTCATCTCGTCGAACCTTGAGCCACGACACTCACGACTTACACACACCATCCACACTCGACGTCAACGTCCTTGTGTTTCCACACGAAACCATCAGCCCATGCCTCCCACCGAGCCCCATCTCCATTCAGGGATCATTCATCCTGTCAATATCCTCTTTGGCCAACAAAGCTGGTTTTCGTCGCCCTTAGCCTCAACGACAGCAAGCTTATCCCCGCAGTCCGTCCCTATTAACCTTCGACGAGATACCTGCAGCTACATTTAGCTGCATGCTCCGGTGCAGACCTTGGACGCTGTTTAAGCTCGCTCTTCCGCCTTCTTGCTATGGTACGGTCCTTGAGTCGAGTTGAAGCGTACTGTCCCCCAGTACAGCTCAACTAGACGAGTCGCGAACGATGTCAAGGAACCCTGCAAACTTTCTGGGGACTGCCCAGCCACGTGCAGCTCACCAACTCTCGTCTGTCTCTGGTATGCCAGCGCATACTTGATACCCAACCATGACTTCGACGGTCGACTCGGATGCTCTAAAGGCTAGAATCACAAGCCTAATTATATTATATTATCTTGGACCAATATCTACCTGCCGATACACGCCCCAGGAGCCTGGGAATACGAGATAAACGACAACCCAGATCATCCGGGCTTGCTTTATTTTACATCATACGTAGCGGCTCCCGCACCGGCAGACCGCGGGCAACTCACGGTTGAGACAAGGTGTATCCGATTCCGATCGGGCATCTAAGTAAGGTAGCTACACCAGACAGATCAATTCCGTTGACGGGACCCCTGAACACCATCTAGCTTTGGATTTTCATCCGGACGTCTACTCTCATCCTATCTCTCTATATTCGTCAGTTATTACGTTCACTCTGCTAGTTGGGGCAGTTCCCCTCGGATATAACTGCTCTCAAACCCTCTGAAGAGCGCCCCGCGCATCCCGCAATTCCCCTCAATCTCATCCCCAGATCGTCTTCTGGCATGAGCAAAACGATCCAAAATAAAAGCTGGACGGCAGCGCTAGCAACACTGAGACAATCCCTCGAAACTTGCGCCACCTGTTTGTCGTGCTGAACCCTGTCCTGACCTTGCCGTCCTCTCTTCTCCTGTCTTGGTCTTGTCTTGCCTACATACAATCCGCACCACACGGGGCAGTCCACATCGCGCTACTGCAGCAGCAGCAGCAGCACATCCGGCGCGCTTCGCTCACCAACAGCGGACCCTACACACCATTTCCATCCTCGCAAGGACGCAGGTAACACGCCCATTCGACTCGGCTCCTCCATCCCAAGAGGCGTCTTTTGAGTCTAGCGTCTTCCCCCAAACTCGGAACTCCACGTCTGTTCGCCCTGGGCAAGGTCTTGGGGGTCTTGGCCTGTGCTTCCACGCTTCCTTCCACGCTTCCTACGGGTTACGGGTTACGGGTCCTTCTGGCCCACGTTCTCGACGCTGTCTCTCGGGCATCTTCGCCTACCTTACATTAGGTCCCTACCTTACCTACCAATATAATCACGGATCCCTCGCCTCGCCTCGCCTCGCCCTACGGATACCCTATTCCTATTCCCATTCTCATTCCCTGGCCCAATATACATACTAGTCAGACGCAACTAGACGGGAGGGACCCTTCAAGCAGGACGGACCAGACGGACGTGTCGACCTAGACTTTCTTTCAAGCAAAGGACCAACAGCGCCCGCCCTCCTTGCGCCTCTCTCAAAGCCCATCCGATCCCATCGCTTCCACCAACAACAATCGTCTGGGCAGTGCTCACCCTGTCATCCTGGCACTAGAACTGGTGCAGACTGGCGCATTTCTACCGGCACATCGACCCTCACCAATCTGTGCCGCGCCCCCCCTTCGGCCTCCTTCCCCCCCTCCTCTGTCTGGCCTGGACCCTCATCAGCAGGACACGCCCATCCGCTCTCGTTTTCTTGCCAGCTTTCTGTTCTTGATTCTCTTCCTTTCTCACGAGTCGCCGCTTTTTCTTCCAGGACAACATCGCGACCATGGACTTCTCCCACCAGTATTTTTCCCAGGCGCAGCCTTACCAATTCATGGGCATCCCGCCTCTGACGCCGTCCCATTCAAACTCCGCGGGTTCAGACGACTTTAACACCACATCTCCACCGGTAAGTCGACGAATTCCTTTCCCTACTGAGCCCCCCGAATACCCACCGTCACTGGTGGATTGCCGCTTAGCGTACTGCGACATGCACTTACACAATCATGACCGAGCAGGATGTTTACACCGAATACCCCAACGACCAACACTTCGGCACCTTTGATAACTATGCTGCTGCCCAGTTTAATCCTCAGCATGCTTCTTTCCCCGGTCCTCCCGGCCCTCCCACGCCTCCCAACCATGGCCTTCCGGTCCAACAGCCACAACCGCCTCAGCAGCAGCCGCAACACAATGGCATGAGCGCACCTCCCATTCAGCAGATCAAGCCCCAGCCCGATGTCGTCGTTCACAAGCAGGAGCCGCTTGACGACCACTCCCGTCGAGGCGGCTCGAATTCGGACGATGAGGACATGACACCAGCTCAGTCCAGGAGGAAGGCCCAGAACCGCGCTGCGTACGTACAATCCTCTTCGCGCCTCGCTGCCGCGGCGCGGCGTCATTGTCCGGCGCCTCTCTGCTAACACGTCGTCTCTCACAGTCAACGGGCCTTTCGCGAGCGCAAAGAGAAACACGTCAAGGATCTCGAAGCGAAGTTGGCCAATCTCGAGGCAGAAGCCCAGCAGAAGTCGACCGAAAACGAGAGACTGAAGCGCGAGATGCAGAAGATGAGCACCGAGAACGAGATCTTGCGCGCTACATCGTCAATGAATGGCCACCACAGCTCGTCGTCGCCAGAGCCTCGAATGACCGGGCCGATGCACTACAACCCCAAGGATTTCTACTCCGATCTGCTGGCGAAACACAACAACAAGACCCCGAGCCACCGAGTCGCGATATCTTCAGAAGGGGAGCGCCTACTAGCTGCCGGCGCAACATGGGATTTCATCATCAACCACCCGCTATTCAAGCGAGGACTGGTTGATGTCGGCGACGTAAGCGAGCGACTCAAGCACCAGGCAAGGTGCGACGGCCAAGGGCCAGTGTTCTCAGAACGCGCCATCTTGGAAGCTATCGAGGGCAGCGTCGCCAGCGGCAGCGACGAGCTGCTATAGCGGACTCGGTATTTGCGGCGGGGTTTCAAAGAATGGTGCTTTGTAAGCGACTTGCAACACCAACGGACTTAACGACACCAACCGGCTAGGTTCGGCGTTTGGGTAAATGGAGTCAACATGGAGGGAATGCCTGCTGAAACGACAGACGACTTGACGGCAAACCCGCCGCGAGCAGGCCTGGCCTTTGTTTGCATCGCTTTTATTCACGTGTTATGCTATTTGACGGTCGAATTTGAGGAGCACGAGGGACGAGTCACAAAATATTTGTAGACAAGCTGGCGTCAATTGTTTCACATCCTTTTATACGAGCAAACCAACCTATCTGACGCCGACGCGACCAAGCAACACAGTCGGAACTGATAGGTGGTGGACATACGGAGCATGGTCAACGGAGAAAAGAGACCGGGTAGCGCCACTCGTGGGCTGGCTGCTCGGCGTGTTCGGGACGCTCTGGCAAATTGCATGCTTTTTGGGGGGAGGTGTACTCTGGTCTGTTTTTTTGGATTATCCCTGGATCTATTATTCTCCGGGTTATGCGCCGCACCCGTGGTGGTGGCGTGGACGGAAGGATTCGAACTCGCAGGCTTGTCATCGAAACTCGTTGGAGTAAATTTCTACAGAATTCCGGTGCCTAAGTTTTGGTTGTCTCTCTATCCTGCGTGGATGTGCATATGCTTTGAAGTGTCATGACTTTCAAAACTTGATTCACCTCCCACCGCCAATGGAGATGAAAGAAAACGTTGTCATCTGGTTGATCCTGTTAGCCACCTCGGACTTGGAAGCGAGGACGCAAAAGGTCCACAGTCGCATTGTGCATCAGGCAGCGCGGCAGTTGCTCGCCTTACGCTTAGCTAGCCTCGTCGATTCCCGATCGATGATGACTAGATGCGACATGTCACCCTATCAAGCCAAACTAAGCATCACTCTTTTGACTGCATCAACATGAACAGCCAGCCATAGGGTCAAATATATTCCGGGAGTGGGGGGTGAAGATTAATGGTATCTCTCATCTAAACTGCAAAGCAATGATTACCGCCAGAGCAGAGGGGGAAAACAAGAACAGAAATCTGTGCCGGCGGTGCGGCAAAAACGGAGAATACATGTCATAGTGCCAACCACCCCATCGCCGGGTAGTATCATTCGAATTACAAGTCCCCCGGAACTCCTGAACATGCCCATGCCGGAGAAAAGAAGCAAGATCAAGCAAGGGGGGGAAGAAAGCCAAAGGTGTAGCTCGACTGGTTGCGTGCCAGTGAAGAGAAGACGCTCTGTGAGTGTGAGAAAAACAGAAAAACAGAAAACCTTCCGCCGTTGTCACTTTTTGTCCTGCCATCCCACTCCTCATTCCCTCGTTCGTCGGTTATGCCCCATCGTCGTAAAAAAAAAAAACCCATCCCACCGCATAGTTTCAGTTCGTCGTGTCGTTCATCTTTCGTCGTCCATCGTTTCGGCAACTCGTCCGAGAGGTTGTCTCCGAGAGGAGGTTAGGGTTGACAGACATCCCGAGGGAAAAAAACTCTGCTTGCGCCTGGAGTGTAAAGACCACAAAAAAACCTTGCGCGGCCAAGCTTCGAATCTGTCATTCGTCTCCTCTCTATCCCGCGTCCCCGTGCGGCGGAAAAGAAAATGATATTGGAAAGTTGGAAAGCTTCGTATGCTTCGGCTGGAAAGCTTCTTCCCGGTCGAATCCGAACGAAGGTGTCTCTCCATTTCTCAATGTGTGTGGGGGATGCAACAGGTCGGCGAGCAGAATTTACTGCACCTTCTTGCCGCTGGCCGCACCGTTGGCCTGCTGCTCCTGGCCCTCGACCCAGGGGTGCTTGATGGTCAGGCACCAGATGTCGAGGTAGTCGCAGATGGTGACGATGACGTCGACGACGAAGCTGCCGTAGACGCCGACGGCCATGCCGAGCATGAGGAACATGAAGGCGACCTGGTAGACGTCGTCGCCGAGGGCGCTGGGCCAGCCGAAGCCGGTGCGCTCCTGGAGGAAGGGGCCGAGGGCGTCGCCGACGCCGAAGGCGAGGGGCAGGCCGAGGACGTTCCAGTAGGGGAAGTCGAGCTTGACGAGGTGGGCGGTGATCATCTGGCCGACGGAGTAGGCGTTGACGACGCCGGCGAACATGACGAAGGGGACGAGGTGGGAGTTGAGGATGGCCGGGTGGAGGGCGAGGTAGGCGACGATGAGGACCCACATGCCGAAGAAGGGGAGGAGGCCGAGGAGAGCGCCGCGAGAGCGGTCGCCGCGGGCGCGGCGGGCGCGGATAACATTGCGGGCGGACTCGATCGTGTTGAAGACGAGGACGAGGGCGCCCTGGACCATGTACCACTGGGTGAAGGAGAGCTCGTAGAGGGCCTCGGGGATGTTGAGGGAGGTCGGGACGCCGAGGGTGCGGAGCATGGATTGCTGCCAGAAGGAGGCGCCGCCGAGGTAGCCGGTCAGGGCGTAGACTCCGACGAGGATCAGGACGCCTTCGACGGGGCCGTTGACGATGCCGAGGGTCAGGGTCTTGGTGTGGTACTCGTCCCAGGTTTGGACGTAGAAGGTGAGGAGGGCTGTCGGAGGATGCCTGTTAGCCATGGTGCGTTCACGAGAACAAGTGAAGACAGGAGACGAGGGACATACAAGAGAACAGAATGGAGACGGTCATCCAGCCCTGGCCCATGTTCTGGGAGGCGGCGAAGATGAGGACTTCGAGAGAGGTGTTGAGGGCGTCGACGCCGTGGTCGAAGAGCTCGCCGAGGGGACCGGACTGGTGCGTTCGTCGGCTGCATCGCGTTCGCCCGTTAGCTTTTGCCGTCTTTTTCATCGAGCTCGCAAACAAGAACCACTTACGCCTGGGAGCCGTCCACCGCGTCAAAGGTCTGGTACAAGAACAGGCCGACGGCCCACGAGTAGTAGACCCAGCTGGGGCAGTCCTGGTCGAGGGTCGGGTTGTACCACAACAGGGTCAAGAGGTTGGCGATGACGAACATGAAGCCCGTCAGGGTGATCAGGTTCGGGGCCATGCTCATGGGGAACATCTTGATGACCACGTTCGTGTAGAAGGGCTTCAGGATGTACTTGCTCGTCAGCGAGTGATCGACGCCCGAGTACTTGTACTCCTTGAGCGCCGGGAGGCGATCCTGGCGCACGTAGACCATTTTGGGCGGTTTGCTTGTGGTTTTGGAAGCTCTCGAAAACGCGCGCGTAAAGCTGGAGTTGGTTGTAAAACGGCGGGAGAGAGGTGTGTCCTCGACGGAAGACGTTGAGCGGGTAGGTAGGTTCAAGCTTTTCGGGTTGCTATGCGGGCCAAGCCGGAGGTGTGGGTTTGGCAGAAAAAGAACACCGTGGAATCCGTCGATGGGGCCTATCGCGAGCGGTGACGATAGCTTCAACTGGGGAACGCGGCGGGGTGGGTTTCTTTCCGACGTCTAAATGAACGAAAAGAGGGTGGGGGAAGGTCTCTTAGGTTAAGGTAGGTAGGAAAGCGGTGGGAGTTGGAGAGTCCTAGGAAATCTTGCTAGACTTTTAGCCAAACGTCACAAGCCGGTCAGATGCTCTACCGAGACAAGAGATGGAGAAACTACAGACGATGGGATTCCCAGTTGACATGTGGTCGCGTGGCCGCTACGGTTGGAGAAAGGGCCAGAGGAAATTTTCTTGCTTGGACTGGACAACACACGCGTGCGCACACGTTCGAAAAAAGTCCGTAGACACAACGTCATTTTCCCCCTGGTCAATCGATACGTACCCGATCGTTTTTGTTGCTAGGGCGTATTCGGTTTAGCCGGGCCCGTGCCAGCTGTCTGGACCCCATCGGTCTCCAGCCAGCTCCAGCCCCACCGGGCCTTCTCCCGCTGCTCGAGATCGGCGACGCGTTGAGGCTTGACACTGGCGGACAGGGTTCAGACGTATGGCAGTGTGGTATCGTCACATTCATCTACGAGTTGGGACCCAGGTCTGCTATTAAAGCAAAGAGCCCAGAACATCAACGCAGCACATTCAAGCAATACCCTCATGATGCTTTTTTCATGTCTTCATTCTAGTTATACGCAAGCCGCCAGCCCTTTTACACACACGCTGCCGTGCGTTGGTCCCAGCTCCCCTACTATGGCGGCGGCTGCGCACATCGGCTATAATAAAGTCTCTGCCGTACGTTTTGCTTGAACATCCGACCATGTATCGACCCCAGGAACTCCAAACAAGTATATTTAAGCAACAGATGCAACAACAAGCGACGCCACGCCCTCTTCCTCGCTGCGGACTGTAATCTTGGTCGTAACGCCAGACTTGGATGAGTACGCCATCCTGACGTTGGCAACTACTCTGCCACCACCAACAGTCTTGCCCAGAAGCTTGAGAGTGTGCGTTGTCTGATTGACAGGCACGTCTGTGCCCTCCAAAGGCTGCAAAGATAAGACCTTCGCCAGTTGTTCCGTTGCCTCTGTATTTGCAATTAGCGCTGTTCCTGTACTGATTGATCGACCTCGGCTTACCTGCGATGCTCTTCATGCTGCTCAACTGCAACGTCTCCTCGGCCTCCTCGCCGGCCGCGCCAACCTGCTCCCAAATGTGGTTGAAGTTGCTGGCGAACGTCGGGACGACGTAGTCGCTGCCTGACAAATCGAACTCGGCCACCTCGTACTCGTCGTCGTAACCAGTGTCCTCCGGCTCGTTCGTCGTTGGGTCGATCTCTTTGCTGGTGAATCTGAGGATGTTGGAGAAGCTGCTGACGGGCATAGATCCCTCTCCGCCAACCTTCTTGAACGCAACGTAAACCTTGCCGGGCTCGTCCGTAGGGAGCTTCTCGGCTTGGATGATGAAGACCTCCTCGAGCTCCTCCTCTTCGGATGGTGTTGCGACCACTGACACGTTCTCCAGAACGGTAGCCTGGAGAGTGTTCTTGATCTCGTACTGGAACACAATGTGCTCCTTGAAAATGTGCTTGACAACGGTGACGACGTACTCCATCTCGGACTCGGTGAGCTCGACAACAGGCGACGACTTGAGCACGCTGCCAAACTCCTTCATCTCGGGGATCTGCATCAACTCCTGAGCGTAACGCTGGGCAGCAGCCGTGGCTGATGCGGCAGCCTCCGCGCCACCAGCAGCAGACTTCGTGGGGCCGACCTTGGGAGGCTTGAGCGATGGAGCAGTCGCTGTGAGCTTCTTGGTGCGGTCCTCGGCATCAGCCTGCTCCCTAGTGACGACAGGGATCTGAGAGATATCGAATGGCGTGTCGAACGCAGACTTGTCCTCGGATGTGACGTACATGACGAGCTGGTGCTCGAAGTACGGCAGAGAGAACATGCTGTCTGCGGGGGGTCAGCACAATGCATTGTCAGATGTTTGGGACTTGACATACCGTTCTTGACAAACTTCTCCGAAACCTCGTCATCCTCGTGCATGAGTCTGAGGTTGAGAGCGGCACGATCTCTGACCTCGTCATCGACATCGTCCAAACATCTGGTGAGGAGAACCTCGACACTGCGCTTGACCTCGGGGTCCTTCTGGCCAACGCCGAACTTGGCGAGGGCGGTAACCGCGGCAGCTCTGACGATGGCGTTCTCCAGGACCACTCTGTTGTAGATGTAGCGAATGTACTTGGTCGGCTGGGAAGTCTTGGGTCCCTCGAGACCGAGAAGGTGCAGGATTCTGACGGCGAGCTTGGTGAACTCGCAGTCCTCGATAAACTCGCAGAGATGGGCGAGCGCATCCTCCTTGGATTCCGGTACGAACTTGATCAGGTCGAACATGCTCTCGACAACGGCGCGCTTGAACTCGTAGCCACCCTCGTCGCGGAGGATACCGCTGAGGAAAGCAAGCATACCAGCCTGCTTGCTGGGGAACTTCAAGCACAGCGTGCGGATGGCCTCGACAATCGTGATCTTGAACTCATCGGTAATCTCGGACATGAAACCAGAGATCTGCTTCATCAGGCGGTCGACGCTAGCCTCGTTGCCGGTCTTGAGGAGGGTAGTGATGGCAAACGTGGCGATCGATCGATTGCTGTTAGAAATCAGGAGCTCGATGTCGGGGTTGCAGACGTTGACGGCGTTCGGCTTGAAGGAGGCGAAGTTGTGGAGGATACGGAGAGCGGCGAACTTGGTGACAGCGCGAGGGGAGGTGAGGAACAGCTGGAGAACGTGGACGGCCTGGGACACCTCGGCGTCGGTGACATCCCGCATGTCGCAGATGGCCTTGGCAGCCTCGAAGTTGACCATCTCGCTCTTGTGGCGCAACCAGCCATCCAGCAGCTGCATCATGGGCTTCCTGAGCGACGGGTCCTCCTCGGCGAGCTGGGCAGCCAGACGAACGAGCATAACGATCGCGGCAGAGCTCTTGACGGCACCGGCCGCACCGAACTGCTGAACCATCTTGACCAGCGCCATGCGGTCGTGCATGCGCATCGAGTACAGGAGACCAATCGCGTGGTATTGGGGCATGGTGGAGTTGTTCGCAGGCAATTGCCCGCTCGAGGAGGAGAAGCCGAGGGAGAAGCCGCCGGAGGACTTGGTGGAGGCCGCCGCCTCCTGAGTCTCGCTCTGCCAGCGGCGGACGACATCCTTGGCGATCGGGAGAAGGTGGTAGGAGGAAACGAGGGCGGCGGACGATACGGAGGGGTTCTTGTCGACAATTGCCGTCTTCATAACTCGCTCAATGGATTGAACAGTGGTCGCCTGGAGCTTGTTAGCGCAACTTCCTCCCTCTCATCGCAACCTTGAGCTCAGCGTACGTCGATAATGCGGCACAGAGCGCGGATGGCGTTGGGTCGGAACACAGCATCGGTGCTGCCTCCAGTATCCTTCATCACGGTGCTGGTAACCATGATGATATCCTCGGCCGACGGCGCCAACTCCTTGATCGCAAGGTGTACGGTCTGTCGAAGACTGGCATCTTTATGTTGGAACAACTTCGAGATTCCGAAGAAGAGGGTCGTCGCTTCGTTCGTGGGGAACTTCTCGCCGGTGTAGAGAAGGAGTAACAGTTTGGTCAGAAGAATACGACATCTTCGCGGTTGGATGGGAGAACTGTTGAAAAGGCGGGCTGGGAGCCAATGTCAGCAATGCTTCAGGGCCATCTTCCTGACCGTCTCGCTCCGTGTTGCTCCTGGTGCTCAAGGGGTCGCGGTGGGAGAAGCGTAGGAAGAAACCACGGGAGCCCAAATTGAGAATCTCACCTTCTTGGAAAACCTGCGTTCTGTCCACCTTGACCAAGCCCAGGTCGGCGTCTTCGTCTTTCTTGCCGTAACTCATTTTGGGCGTGTTTGGCGGCACTGGTGCTTGAGGTCGGCTTGGGTGGACTTGAAGGGGCCAGATGTCGCTACGTCTGGGTTGGAGCTGTAGGTGCTGAGTGGAAGGTGGCCCCGCGGGTGGGGCTCACGTGACTCCACACTCGCAGCTCTCCCTTCGGATGCATGTCAAAACGTGGCTCCAGCTTGATGGCTGCGAGATCAGCACACGCACTTACGAACAAGAGCTGTGTATGCGGCTGCGACAGAGATGACAACAGCAACGACGAGAATACTCTTTGGCGGTCGCTAATTTTACCTAAGCTCGACGATTTAGCGGCTGAAGAAGCCACGCAACTACAATTCTGGGTGTTCACCCATCGATTCACCCTGAGAGTCACGTCTTCACATTGCAGAGACTGGTTTGAAAGATACCTAAACTTTTGATTGCTTATCTGGGAGAATAAAGTAGAAAAGACTGTTGGCCAGCATATGCTGCCTCGCGGTACCACCAGAATCTAGAAGACACTACTAACAACTTCCTCCATCGCCGATTAACCTATGCTTCGATCGCGGTGGTTGTGTCTAACACCTTTTTTTTTTTCATGACCAAGAACTGCTTGTAGCAGTCAACGCACAAGGAGGCTCCAAATCTAGAGTCCCCATCCAAGCCACTTCGCCAATGAAGCCAAGCTAGAGTTTGCGACCTCCCCAAGCGCCACGCTCTTTTCCCCCTTCAAACGAGTTTCCAAAGACCGTCTGACGTCCCACCTCAGATCTGTCGACCAAGGACTGTGCCGGCTTCTCGTGATAGAACTGATCGCATCTGATGCCTGCTTCAATGTTGTTGAGAAATGAAGAGAAAGTCATGGTGACAAGAGGCTCCGCCGCCTCGGCGTCCGTCATTCTGTTCACCATCTGAGCTGTCATGGGTGAATACTCGACTTTCTCTGGCTTAGCCGTGGGCCGGCCATCTCCAATAGCGCCAATGTTTCGTCTGAACTGACGTTCCTCGGCATCCTTCAGGACGTCGTCCAATGGCCTACCCAGCTCACCGGTGCCGGCGTAGAAGTGGCGGCTGATGCGCTCGTTGCGAATGCGTAGCTCTTCATCAGTGATCCAAGAAGTGCCTGGCTTGAAGGTACGGGGAGTGCCCGGGGGCTTTGGCTGGTCCTCCATGTCCTCGCCGTATGAGCTTCCGGCGTTGAAGGTGTTTCCGTAGCAGAGCTGCGGCTGTGCAGTCTGGGTGAAGTCGCGAAGACCCTTGCCGCGATCAGAATGCGCGATAGCGTCAAGCAGCTTCTCCATTTCAGCGCCAGAAACTCGGTCCAATGTCTCCTTCCAGTCGAAGCGATCCGGCTCAGACTCTTGGACAAGCGTCGTCAGACTGGCCTTCAGGTTATCAGGGGTAGCCATGCTGGACTGTCTGAAGAGGTCGTTGGCGTTGGTGGCGTTCTGCGGCAAGCCGGGAGGGGCAGCTCGGACATCGAGATTTATTGACCTCTCGTTGCCTATCTCAACCTGCGGACCGTTCTGGAGGGCTTTCATGGTGGACTCGAACGTCGACACACGGTACTGACGCTGACCCGGAGGGCCGGCAGTCAGAGGGAGTGGAGCACCAGGACCAGTCGCGAGAGTGGACTTGTATCCTCCGAAATGGTTGCTTCTCTGGACGTTCTGAGTATTGGAAAGGCCAGGGGGCGGGGCAAGACTGTTCGCTCCAGCCCCGGCTCTCCAGGGACCGGAGAGATCTCGACCAGACTTGGTATCAGCCTGCAACTTGAGAACCTGTGTAGGATCAGACTTGGCATCTCGGAACAAGCCAGGAAACTCCCAGCCATCCTTGGTCGTATCAGAAGCATCTCCATAAGAGAGACCGCCACTAAAGGCGGGAGTAGCGGAGCGGCTACCGTTGGTTCCAGTGGAGGGTGCAGGAGTGGCACCCGGCCGAGCACGAAGAAGTGCTTTCTGAGCTCTCTTCTGATTCGGGTTAGGGTATGAGGCAAGGTTGTGGAGAGACTTGACGGTCAGCATCTTGAGAGGATTCTCGCTGGTGGCATCGTCTTCCTCTTCATCGCTGAAGTCAGCGTCGATAAAGTGTCTCTCCTTGACGCCCAAAGGCGAGACGGGCGCCTCAACAACATGCTTGTCGTTGAGAACCAATGGCGATCTGACCTCGACCGGAGAGATTTGAGGGGTGTTCATGGTAGTGAAGGAAGACATGCGAGAAGTAGACAAGCTTCGGATATCCAGATCATTGAGGGACTCGCGGCTGTAGTCGGTGAGAGGGCTGACAGCGCGGTCGTAGTTCTGTTGAAGAGGCGAGTATTTGGGAATCTGTCCTGGGAGAGGACTGATGGGCGTGGTGCAAAGGCTTTGGGCCTTCATCGGAAGGCTGGCAAGAACTGACTTGGGGAAGAGAGACAGCTCAGAGGGAGGACCTCCCGGAGGAGGCCACTTGAGGGTCCTGCCACGACGAACAGGAGGCTGGAGCGGCTGGGCGGCGTTGGGTTTGTAAATCGTACCGGCTGTGGTGTATGTTTGTCTGGGAACATCCTGATGGAAGGTGCTGACAGATTGCTGGGTAAATGTCGTGGTGCCCGTCAAGGACGAGGAAGAAGATAGATGGTCCATGTTGAAAATCAGGGCATCCGCATAATCGGGATCATCCAATGGTATCCCTGATATGAATACGCGTTGGCCAAAGACGACTCTGTTGCTGCCGTCAGAATGTGAATCGGATGGAAGATGGAGGTGCGAAGGAGAGAGGAAGAGAAGTGAAGATGGGAGGAAAGGAGGAGAGGAGAAGAGGTGGGATGAGGTTGAGGAGGGAAGAGGTGGTCGGACGAGTTTTTTCTGTGGGAGAAAAAGCTGTCCTAGGCGAAGGTCGAATGTGCGTGATGGGAAGGAGCCCGCTCTGATTAACTGAGGAAGGCACGACACGGTTGAAGATAGACAGGGCGCGGGGTGAAGCAGGTAAGGCAAGAAGGCAGCCTGGCGGGGAAGCAGCTGACACCCTCTGTTCCCAACAGCAAGCTTGAAGTTGTGCTGAAGACCTAGAATTCTGGGTAGAAATGAAAAACCAGATAAGATAGAATTATCTGATTCTTTTCGTCCCAGGTGATCTCTAAAGCCTTGGTGAAGAGGTGGAATTGATGAAAACGAAGGTACGATGGGAATTAGATGACAAACGAGGTTTGGATGCCTTGAAGGATATCCTTCAAAGACAACAACACCTTTGTCACACAAGAACAAAAAAACACCAGAGCACCTAGGACTTACCAGAGTGATCTCGACGTCTTGAGACACGACCGAAGAATCTCGACAGGATCTCCCAGCACCGTCGTGTCGATGCCCTTTGAGAAACTCCTGACCCTGCCGACGTCGACGCCACCACAACCACAACCGTTGGAAACGTGTTCGTCGAGACGGGGGAGGACCAGAGGCGGCGAGTCGAAGACCCAGAGGTGATACCGGTAGATCTCGAAGTCTGCCTCCTTGCGATGGATACCGTCGGCGGCGTCGTTTTGCTGGACTGGGAAGATGAAGAGGATGAGGTGGCGGTGCGACTCCAACCCGAGCCTCGTGACCAGCTTCTCCGGCGAGCGCGAGATTCCCGTGGCATACATTGTGAAGATTGGAAGATAGTAATGAGGAGATGGCACAGTGAGTAGTTACGAATCTGATTTAGAAGAAAAGACGAATGTGTATCCGATGATGCTCCGATTCCCTTCCAACCACCAACACCAAGGCGAAGCTGATACCTCTTATACTCCCTCCATCGAACAGTTCAATAATCAGCTCTGCCTCCTTTTTCTTTGAGCATCTCCGCTTCCTCAAACACCAACACAATCCGTCCTAACGTTCAAAACCGTCATCTCATGCAGGCACACACGCACCAAGGCAAGCAATCAACGACACCACCAAACAAACCATCAAAAGATCCCAACGCGCGCTCGCGCGCGCCATCGCCAACGGCACACACAGACCGCCCCTCCCGGGGTGCGGTTCTCGATCCAACAGCAGCCAAGCCCTTTTCCCCCTTCCCCGGAGCTATTACCCACCAAAGAGCAACTCCTCGGGTTACACGGCACCCGGACGCCCCCATCTCGTTCATCGATCCATACGAAGGCCCTCATTTCGAGAGAAGAAGAAAACCGCCGCCCCCCGTTGGGAGTTGAAAAACAGCCACGGACCAACTCGTCAAATCCCAAAAGGTACCCGTCCAATCATCCTCACTAAACTCCGCTGACAAACTCTTGGACGGACACTTGTTTGCTTGTCTTCCTGCTAGATGCTCGAAAGTTAAGGTTGGTGGCTTTAACCTTTTCGCTTCCGACTGCCATCTCAAGTCTCCCACTTGACCGAGTTAGGACAATGCCAACAGGTGCTTCGACGCGGACTAACAAGACCTCGACACATCCTCCAGTTGGCAGAGCCTCCCAAGATCTCCCAAGGAAGAACGAGGCGTCCATCGCAGCCTCCCCCTCGAATAACGCTCCCTGTCCGTGTTTCACCACACCGAGAGCATCACGACGTTAGGCCCCTCCACATGCCCCTCCAAACTCTGTCGCGAGCGCCTTCGTCCGTAAAGAAATGGCCTGATATTCGCAGTCTCCCAAGCCGCTACTAGCAGCCCTATCCGCGGAGTAGCGACCTCTCCCTCGACCGAAGATCCAGCACTAACGACTGACTCCTCGGAATCGGGCCGTATGTGCGTTAGCACGGCTAGGTCCAGCTCGCGTCGACAGCTGCCAAGTCTTCCTCAGTCAACAGTCGGACAGATGAACGACTCAAAGATCCGCATCGTACCGCGGCTTGACTCCATGCGGAACGCTGGACCTTGTTGTCAATAGACGAGCTGTCATTACCTAAAGATCGACACTCGACAGAGCAGCGACTCGTCCGGGAGCTGAGTAGCAAGACGCCGCCCCGTGCGATAGACGAGGCGTAAACCTCGGTATGCCTAGAACGGGATTAAAGCTGCAGGTGAGATTAAGGTTCTCTCTCATCGGAATGACATACGCTAGCTTCACGGGCAGGCACGGGAGCACGGAGCATGGTTCGGATGAATTCTACCTCCTCATTGTTCTGCCACCGCCTACTGGCCTCTGTTGCTATGCCTGTTGACACATCATCTGGCCGCTCTCTCGCACTGAAGAGAGGTATTCATCCATAGCCTCCTCGGTCACATGCTAGGAATGATCCTCACTCGGCCTATATGCCAATCCAAGCCATCGATCCTGAAACCTCTTCCATTTGCTGTACTCTTCCCTCCTCCGCTCATGTCCTATAGAAAAGAAAAGGTCGAAGAAGACAGCCACGACCAGATAGCCTACACATGCTCAAACAATAATCTATCATGTCCCACATGCTTTCGTTTCAGGATCGCCTAGCTCCGAGGACTACCGCGAAGGCATCTCTCAATCCATCCTGCAGAAGATAAGAAAAGAAGAATGGGGGCTCTGAGACGAAAGGAAGCCCCTGTGTGTTTTGAAGTAGTAGACTGACCAAAAAGGGAAAAAGGGTTTTTGGTTAATGCTGAGGTGAAAAGAACTCCAATGTATCCACTGCTTGAGATGCAAAGAAGCACATGTCAGAAGAGAAATGCCCGTTTTTGGAAAAGGTTATCCACGAGTCCGAAGTGTATGTACTGGGCGGACGAGAACAGAAAGTTGTGGCTGGGGTATCGGCTGAAGGACTTTGAATGTATAAACATCATGAGCCCTGTGCTGAGACTCGAAAATTGCGACTCGTGTTGCTTCAAGGAAGGTGACGAAATGAAATGCCAGGCATCCCGTGAATGGTGTATATACGTGGCGGGTTGACTCGACCGACGTGAGAACGAAACCTATTATGGTCGAGTGGAAGGGGTAATTATAGCCCCGGATACGCGCTGCCGGGTATCATGCCATTTCCTCCCGCTCGCGACGGGGGGCCGAGGCGGTTGGAAGGCAGCTCGAAGTCCGGGTTGTTGGCCAGCAGCATGTCTTGTCGTCGCTGCTGGGGTGGTGGTCGCCGAGGCGGTCCCTGGCCGTAAGGCATTGGGGGAGGGTTCCACCTCGGGTTTATACCCCTTTGGGATATTGAAGTGAAGTTGGACCGATCAGACTCGGCGCCAGGACTACGCGCACCGGCATCTGCATGAGTATCTGCATACATATTGGGCGCGGATAGAGGTACCTGAAGGGCAGGTGGAGGGCCTGCTCTGGCAGCGGGAGCGGGTGCCGGGGCATCCGCGAAGCGCGGGTCGACATCCTCGTAGTAGTCGCTCGCTGTAGGTTGCGCGTGCGCAGGCGAGCTTCGCCCAGGCATTTCAACACGCGAAAGCGGGGAAGCATTTCTTGATGGGGGCTGGTTCGGGTTCCAGGCTGCACGTGGGGGGACATATCTAGCATCTCAACGTTAGAACACACCACTAAATGATACTCAAAGAAACATACTCGTCTGTGCTGTACCTGCTGCCCTCGCTCATGTAGGTGTCATGTCTTTGCTGCGCATTAGGCCTGTTGTTGTCGCTGCCTTGTTGCAGTCCAACCATGCCGGCGATGTCGGCATCGCTGTCTCTGAACTGACCGAAGCCCGCAGGCGGATGAGCAGGGCTGCCGGTTCTCGCATCCATCTCGACGGCCTGGCCCACCATATGGGCGTCGCCAGGTAGGGGTGGAGGAGATTCAGCCCTCGGGAGACTAGTCCGCGCCGGGTTGTAAGCCTCGTAACCTTGCTGTTGTTGTTGAGGGATGCTCGGGAGCGATGGGTTTGTGCTGTTGTTTATACTGCTGTAACCCGGCGCTGAGTCTCCAGAGCCCGAGTTGCGTCGTCCGTAGGGGCCAGCGGGAGGGGCGCCGTACGCGTTTGCGGGACTAGGTCTCCGGTCATAGGGTCCAGGAGCGTTTTGGTAGCCTGGCGGAGGAGGTCGTCCACCACGCATACCTCCTGGGCCATAGCCGCCGCGAGGAGGGGGTCCGTAGCCACCTCTACCTCCCGGGGGAGGGCCGTAACCACCACGTGCCGGGGCACCGTATCCGCCTCGTCCTGGTGGGGGGCCGTATCCGTTGCCGTTGAACCCACCTCTTCCACCGCCGTAACCTCCACCGCGTCCTCTAAATCCTCCGGGAGGCATGCCGCCTCTTCCTCTCATACGTTCTTGAGAAGGACCTCGCCTGGGACCGTATCCATCAGGTCCTGGCATGGGGTTGCCGTACGGGTCCCTGTTGATAGGAGGAGCAGAGCCAGATCTTGAAGGGGGAGCGTTGCCGTAGGCGCCCATATCGTTGCCGGGGTCCATCGCCATGTTGCCCTGGTTTCTATCCACAGGGCTCCGTGCTGTAAGAGGGATGCGCTCGTCGCTAACTTGGTCTTCCTTCTTTTGAGATTCGAATGACGCAAAGGTGGGCATCTTGTCGATACCATTTCCACCACTGACCACAGGGACGGTCGGCTGCGAGACGATGGATCCGGGTGTCTTGGTCTGGGCCTCGCGGTTGTAGTAGTTCTCGCCACTCATTTCCGCGTTCTCGGCAATCCTCTTCTTTCTTGCCTTCCTGCTGACCAGCATACGTCGCATGGCGCAGGCAACCATTCCACTGAGACCGACCAAGATCGTGGCGGCCAGGACAATGTATGAGCCCCAGGCCATGTGCGGGACGAAGAGAAGTACATCGACCAGGAAAGCCAGGAGGCAGATGAGGAAGTCGACAAAAGAGAAGATGAAGACGGCGAGAAGGTACCTAGCCGAATGAGAGGGTGAGTGAAGGTGAGCCACCGCAGCCAAGATGAACATGATGAGTGTCGTCAGGGCGGCAATGGGATGCACGATCAAAATGGCGGAAAGGGTGTTTCGGGCCGAGTCCGGGAGGTCAAAGGCGCCCGGTTTTTGAAACAATCCAGCTGCAGGTGAGGTCAGCGACGATACTTCTGCCAAGAAGTGAGGAGATGCTCATTCTGGTGACTTACAGGTGTCATATCCGATTTCGATACCGGTGCAGGAGTTATCAGCCTTGCAGACACCGAAAACTCCAAAGGTGACACCCTGAAAGCTGCCGAGCGGAATAGCTTTGATGATCGGGGTAGACAGAGTAGACAGCAGCATCAGGGCGAAGGCCGCTAAGAGCAGCAGCGACATGGGGGTCGCCGGCCGCAACATGATGGCGGTTTGTGGTCGAAGAAACCTGCTTCCAAAGACGTAGACGGGAGGCCGGCGTCGTCAAGACGCGGCGAGAAGGGTGTAAGTACGCCCGGGTGAGTTTCGGGGGCGATAGATGAGGTTCGGGTGGGCTAGTATAGAATGGAAGCGTCGCGCGGCATCGTCTAGGCGTAGATGGAGGGTGTCGAAAGTAGTGACATGAATGAGAGTGACGAAAGTATCGATTGGCGCGTGTTGGAATGGGATCCGGTAGATTTCTGCCTCTTTCTGTCCTTCCCGTCTGTTCCTGTCCAGAGCTCTTTGTCTTCGATCTCGAATTTCGCTAGATGAATGGAATGTCCTCCTGACTGACGTCGTGGTGTTCCTGAAACAAGGTCGCAAGTAGGTAGTCGGTAATGGCAACGGCAGCCAAATGAAAAGTCGAATCGAACGGGATAAAACGAAATGTCGGGTCTGTCGGTGAGTATCGTATGGCTTGGGACTCCGACGTGGAGGCGGCGCGGAGTGAATAGGATTGAATGCCTCGTCCTGTTCGACCTGAAGAGGGAAGAAGGGGAAAGAGAACTGGAGGTACGCACGATCTGGGGGAGAAGACGATGTGGGCGGCAGGTGGGCGACTTCCAATGTGGAGGGAGCGAGGAATGGGGTGGGTCGGCGGCGTGGGTGCAGCGTGAGTGGGCAGTTTTGGGCGACCGGGTAGGGGGGGGCCAAGAGGAACAGGGGGGTGGTGGGCAGGCCTGGGATAGGGGAGTGCGCCTGATGCAGTTGGATTTCCAGCGGGAAGCGTTGCGTCGATGGCTGTGGCTGGGGCCCTGTAGTGCTGCAGTGGAGTGCATTTCCCAGCGAGCACAGCAATCCAGGTGCTGCACGAGTGCCTTCCAGGTTGACTGTGAGAGGTATGAAAGGTACGTACCTCTAACCCCAGGGGTCCAATCCAGTCCCGTCTGGACCTGGACCCGACCGCGACCGCAATACCAAATCGGTACGTACCGGCCGTTGGGTGAGATGGAATGGACGGGAACTTGAAGGTGCACAGCCCACCAGGTTTCGGCAAACTGGCAGGCACCTCTCAAAGTTCACAGTTCGCAGCAAAGCAACTGCAAGTTCCATTTTACAAGGACAGGTCAGTGTCGACAAAATCAAGTCGCTCTCGCTCTTGACACAATTGAGGTATCTACAACCGTTAAAGATTCAGGCTCAATATGGGAGCCTCTTACAAGAGAGGCTTACCAAGATATATAGAGGCGCTATATTGAGACATTAGATGCGTTTTAGAGGCGTACCTAGAAGTAGATAGGTACTACTATAATAGGATCTTAATAGCAGCGCTAGCCTTCTATTATTATCCTTAGACGTTTTTATTTAACTAGCTATATCTAGTTATACTAGGTATATTATATAGTATACTTTCCTCTCTCTTATATCGTTTTAGGTTAAGAGCGCTATATACTACCTTCTAAGATATAAACTTAGTTAGTTTTTAGAGGAAGGCGTTATTATTATTATTAGCCTAGTAATTAGTAGTTAAAATAGCTATAGTAGCTATATATCTACTTAGTAAGTTATTAAGCATACAGTATTCTATATTAGGCAGAAGGGCGTCAAAGACTATAAATTTTGAAGATGATGCAGGTGAACGAACTCCTCTTCTCTGCAGCTGATGTTGTGCTCATTTTCCACTAACTCGTCTAGCCCGGTCGAATTCAATCAATACTCTCTCTTCCCCGCCGCCGACATGCATCTCGACTTCGTGGCAGGCAGACGGCTTGCGGTACCTGAAATACGTCCTATCTACAGCAGTTGCCAGAGGTACTCTCTTTGTTCCTCCCACGCGTTGCCTAAGACACCGCATCGGCCGCGTCTGCATGGCTTTTCCCAAAAAAGATGCTTCTTCCGGCCTCACTATCAACAAAGCCCTTGTCTTCCGGATGTCTTGTCCGGCCATCGACGACCCGACACCACCGCAAACCCAACAGCGTGTCTGCCCTCCTTTTCCGTCGCCAGCCAATGACATCCGGCCCGTACCCCGGCCGGCCACCCTCCATCCATCGCTTCTCCAACTCATCTGCTGCAATCTTGCCAGAAATACTTCCAACGTGCCTGTTGCCATAAACCTTCGCCGCACGACAGCATGTCGCGAGCACACAGCTGCAGGTCATACAATACAATCGCGCTGTCAGTGCCAGTGTCAGTCACGTCCAGGCACAACTCAATACCCCGACCTCCAGGTTATTTGTGAAAGTCGGGGTGAAGTCCGTCGGGTAGTCAGCACTACAGCCGAGCACAGCAAGTCATCACTAATCTCCCAGATAATGACCGATATCACTCCGACAGAAAAAAAACTCAATTGATCCCCGTCTAGTCAGGCACACGTCTATCGGTTCCAACTTACCATCCACCAACGCCCTAGTTTGGCCCATCGTCGTGCATTCGATTACCCGCAATCGCGTGCTTTACGGCGGGACCTCCTTATCGACCGTCTCGGTACTCGATGACCCTTTCAAACTATCGCCAGTGTTTGGCTCTGCTTCGTTTGCTCTAGCGAAGCTCTAAACCTCCTGCTATCGCGCGCACACACACCTCAATTTCACTCTGTCTCGATTAAGCAGGTCGCCATCCAAGACACGCGAACCTGTTGGTCTGGATCCAGTAAAGCTTAAGATGAGGAGTGGGAGCTGTGATGGATGCGCCATGCAAAGGGTAAGCCCCATCCTCCCTATTCCTCCTCTTGTGCGATCCCCAAATCAATCAAGGGCCCTGGCATCAGTCCACCAATCAATTTTCCGGTCGCTACAACTTGTGGCCAGCGAGCATCTGCAAACCTCGATTTGCAATGCTGGCTCTGCTGTATTCCAGAATCCGTCACTCCCCCTAATCAGTAGGACGAAGCCGAGCCAGAGCTGCCACGTCCGACTGCGGCCTCTTCTAGGCCCAGCGATGACAGGCGTGGCCGACGGCAACTCGACGCAAAGGCATAATATTGAGTATTAACCCCATGTTGGACTGGGGAATCAGAAACTCTCTCGACGTCCAGGTTCCAGGGATCTACGCGGCGCCCTTGTCGCTCACCTCTCCACAGCAATTACGGACATGCACTCGGCGATCGATAAGTCCCAAGCAACTTCTGTTGCAACTTGAGACCCGTGGACCGGTTGCGTAGCCAATACATGCACAGTTTCCGGCTACATGGCATCAGAGGCCGCGAATGCTTATTTTACTGTCACCGCATCGCGCCGCTATCGTAACGTTCTTCTGGCGTTCAGGAAAGAGCCGCAACCGTGGCGTACGGCGGGGGCAGCAGGTACCACGAACGCCTCAAGAAACGTTAGGCGGTCACATCACGGAACATCGCTTGGCTTTTCCCCGGTATCATCCACTTGTCGGTATCAGCAATCGCAAGAACCGGCTGCGTCAGGCACGTCAGGAGCGGTACCAGATGTCAAAACCAACAGCGGCGACGATGCCGACAAGTTCTGTCGAAGCCGGATCCCTCCGCTGACAAACACAGGCAAAACCCGCCATCACCAACGCATTGCTGGACGCTAGCATCACTATCCTGGGCTATTTCTGGTCGTCCAAGCTTTGGCTATGCTCCAGAAGTCTGTAGGATGAAGGCGCCAGAAAACAAGCACGAAACGACTAGGGCTGATTTGGGGTCGCCTTCATCGAGACCAGACGGACGGACGCCCAAAGCCACTCCCGCTTCCCTGAAGAGCTTCACCAGCGACAGTTTTGCAGACCAATTGTAGCTGCATTCGCCGCCGCTGTGGCTTCTGACCAAGGAACACTCCAAAAAGCCACAGTTCTGAGGCAAAGGGCTTCTCCTCTGCCTCGCTGACTACAGAGCAAAACATGCAATCTTGCGACATGGGCGCTTCGTCGTCTCAGATTCTGAAGCGCCCACCAGGTTGTTCGCCCTGCGTCTACCGCATACTTCCATGCCAAACCCCCCACAGTCTGATCAACCAGAATTCTCAGTTTCTCGCGGAACGCTTGCAGCCTATGCCGCCCGCCATATAACCCGTCAAATATTAAACCGGAAGCGAGGGCATCGTGATAAACCCTCCGAGATGGTCGAAATAACTGGCAGGCCTGGCGGTTGGTAACTCGGCTTATTCAGAAGTCCTTTGTCATTCCGGTACTTGGGCCCCCTGACCCGACCCGACTGTCTCATTCCCCGGGCATCGGCGCCAATGTCTTCCGTAACAAAGATCGACGTGCCGTCCCAGCTCGACTCATTTCGCGGGACAAGTGCAATACAAATCAGCATTGCAGAGGAGAACAGTGGTCCGCCTTGAGAACACCAATTTACAGACACTCGTGCTGGTAATGGGCTGCGCCAGATTTGTATCTGTGTGGGAGTCGCCTGGCCCCATCCCTGGAGACTCGACAAAACGAAGCCAAGTGCACCAGCGGACAGCCAAGAGCCTCAACTCCAGTCCAGACGGCGCTTACCAAGCCCCATCTCACAAGACCACTCGGAAAATAAATCGACCATGGAAGACAAATAGAGTGGCTCTGGTCAATGTCGAGACATGTCTCGCTCTGTGGTTCTGCTGAGACTGCTTCATAGCAGTTGGACCAGAGCATTGATTGTTGAGCAAAGGGTCACCATGAAGCACCTCAAGATCTGAGCTGCACGAGACGAGACGGTGCACAGCCTGTTTCCTAGACTGGGACATCTAGATTTCGAGTTGCCAGTCATGGAAGCGTCGCCGAACTCACCAGAAGTTTTATGATTGCCTTTGATCATATTTGGGCCACGCGAACTCTGAAAATCTACGTGTGCAGGGACATCGAGTTCATGCAGCCCATTACCCGCCGTCCGCGACCCTTTAAACTCGCCTCCAGACGTCACATCTGTCGACCAAATGCGTCATGGTCACGGGGCAAGTTGTCTTGTAGGTCATCGAAGCCCTTTAAAGGTGTGCTGCCTCGGAGCGAGTTCAAGCAGCCCAGCAAGCAAGCTCCCTTCTCGAAGGTGCATCAGAGAATCAGACGAAGGGAATCAGCTGCCGTACTACTTTCACAAGAGATAGCCGTGAGCGGGAACGGCCGCCGCTTAGCTGCAACAGTATAGGGCCGGACTTTTCGTCATAGCACACAACCCCCGTGGTGGTGTTGTCTGTCGCAGCCACCACCGCCGTGTCAAGCTTTCCATGAAATCGGCCCACAACCTCAGTTTTGTTTCACTTAACATCAGGCACCGGACACCGTCGATCCTCAATGCCTCACAACCTGGGCTTCCGACGGCAGCGTGACTAACCCTGCTGCCAAAAGTCTAGCGTGCCCTGTCGTTGGCATTGTGTGCAGGCTGGACATCGCAATGCAGTGCATCAAATTGGAACAAGTGGATATCAGGGGCCAGCAAGCGATTGATATAGCCCAGGGCTCTGAGAAATATGTCCGTTCATGAGGAAGCGAAGTTTTTCCACGCGCAAGAACCACAGGTTAAAGTGCCCAGGTCGATCTTCATGCCCCTTTTTATGTTTGGGTTCGACGCAGCTATTGCTTTGTCACGGAAGCCATCTGTTCATCAATCGCAGGCAGATCCGTCCGAATCCAGCGGACTCGGGCCGCCTCTCTTAGATCCAATCCGTGTCGGATATAGAGCAGCTACAGCTGCAAGCTCCGGCTTCCGTCCGGCTCCATCCGGACGATTTCTGGACGATGCATCTCACCATTCCTCAGATATGTTTCTTGTCCTCCAGAGTATGGGACGTTGAAATAAGATGTTGGCTTGCAATGAAGAGTTGAGAAGAAAAAATAGACACAGCGAAGGTTTGAAACCGACTCAGCATCAACGGTAATGCAACGTCTTGGCCTGGTTGCCGAACACAGCAAACTGTCTCGTGATATGCTTCTGAATCCTGTAAAATGGGGATTGGAGTATAAAGTTATAGTAATGAAGCCATCGTGAAAGTTCCAAAGCTACCTCATACAATGCAAAAAGAGACACAAATTGCTTCTAGGCCGAAGTGTAGTCACCGAGCGGCCAGGCCCGTGGTGGGCATTAGCCTTTCCGGCGCCGACAACTCGGGGTCTCCGGGGATAAGCGGATAAGGCGGGCACATCGGTATTCAATTCGCCGACGGAAATTCCCACCCACTGTGGCACCCAGTCATCGTCATTGATCTGCCTAACACAAGCTACCGACCAGATCCGGCAGGCCGGCCGTCAAAGAACGACTAACCTTTCCCACGAGCTTACTTCGCCCGCACACGACAGAGGTTGGCATGGGAGTTTTCCATCCCACACCTCCTCCTCCTCACCTCACACGGCAATGTTGCGCCAAAGCATAGCAGGTCTCTGCGCGAGACCAGCGTCCAGATGCCTCCCCGCGGCGCACATGCTTAACTCGGGCATGCGAGGCATGCGCTTACCACGCCCGACGACGACCTCGATCCGCGCAACACGACATGTGCACTCCGGAGGCCGCTACGAACCCCTCCGACCTCCGTCCCCCGCCTCCCTCGGCGCTCCCAAACGCGCGCGCACATACCCCAAGGGCCGCAAGTGGACTCGACGCCTGCTCGTCCTCTCCTCCATCCTCGGCACCGTCTATCTGATCGACTCCCACGTCTACGCCTCCGGCCTCGGCCGCTCCCTCCGCACCTTCGGCACCGGCCTCGTCGTCGCGCTCGACTACAAGCTCAATTTCCGCCCCGTGCCGCTGACAGGCGGCTCGGTCACGGATCTGCACCACCGCAACGCGGAGCGTCTCTTCGAGCTCTTGCGCCACAATGGAGGGCTGTACCTGAAGATCGGCCAGGCCATCGCCATGCAGAGCGCCGTGCTGCCGCCGGAGTTCCAGAAGATGTTCTCGAGGATGTTCGACGACGCCCCGCAGGACGACTGGAAGGACGTCGAGGCCGTGATACACGAGGACTTTGGCGGCCGCTCCCCGGAAGAGGTCTTCGGGGTCAGCTTCCGCGGCGAGGAGGGCAAGGGCGTGATGGAGCGCCGGGCGAGGGCGTCGGCGAGCGTCGCGCAGGTCCACTGGGCGCGGCTCCCCGACGGCCGCGAGGTGGCCATCAAGATCCAGAAGCGCGAGATCGCCAAGCAGATCTCGTGGGACCTGTGGGCGTTCAAGACGGTCGCCTGGATCTACAGCAAGTGGTTCGACCTCCCGCTGTACAGCCTCGTCCCCTTCATCACCGAGCGCCTCGAGCTGGAGACCGACTTCCTCAACGAGGCCAAGAACTCAGAGACCATGCGCCAGCTCATCGACAACGAGAGGGGCCTCAGGGGCCGCGTCTACGTGCCCAAGGTCTACCCCGAGCTCTCGACCAGGCGCGTCATGGTCACGGAGTGGATCGAGGGCATCAGGCTGTGGGACAAGCAGGGCATCAACGGACGGTGGCTCGGCGGGTACGGCAACGGATCCCCCGGCGTCCACGGCGCGCCGCTGGCCCCTCCCGACATGGCCGCCGTGCGCAGGCAGCTCCGCGAGAGGCCGTACGCCGAGCAGCTGAAACCGGAGCGCAACGAGTGGAAGGGCCGCCGCGGGCGCGGCGGGCTGGGGCTGAGCAGCAAGGAGGTCATGACGACCATGGTGGACCTCTTCTCGGCGCAGATCTTCAAATGGGGCGTCGTCCACTGCGACCCGCACCCGGGCAACATCTTCATCCGGCGCCTGCCCAACGGGCGCGCCGAGCTGGTGCTCATCGACCACGGGCTGTACGTGTACATGACGCCCGAGTTCCGGCACCAGTACGGGGTGTTCTGGAAGGCGCTGATGACGTTCGACAACCGGACGATCGAGAAGGTGACGGAGGCGTGGGGGATCAAGGCGGCGGACCTGTTCGCGAGCGCGACGCTGATGCGGCCGTACGAGGGCGGTGACGAGCGGACGCGCAACGGCATCATGAAGGAGCTCGAGGGCAGGACGCCGGCGGAGCGGCACTACGAGATGCAGCAGCGGATGAAGCAGGGGATCCGGGAGGTGCTGGCGGACGAGGACAAGTGGCCCAAGGAGCTCGTCTTCATCGGGCGCAACATGCGCATCGTGCAGGGCAACAACCAGTACCTCGGCAGCCCCGTCAACCGGGTCAAGATGATGGGGGAGTGGGCGAGCCGGAGCCTGTTCGAGGACCCGAACCTGCCGTGGGCGAGGCGGGCGGGCAACGCGTGGCGGCACCTCATCTTCAAGGGCGTGCTGGCGCTGACGGACGTCGCGTTTTACTTTTTCAAGCTGAGGCAGTTCCTCGGCTTCGGGGGCGGCATGGAGGACGAGATGGAGAAGAGGATGAAGGACATCGCGCAGGATTTCGGGGTCGAGTTGCAGCACGAGGTGTTTGAGGGATAGATGAGAAGAAGAAGAGCAAGCATGATAGATGCTAGAGGGGAAGATGAGAGAATGGGGTTTGTTTGTGTGTTCTTTGTTATAGATTCATTTGTAGAATTTGGGCGGGGTTTCGGTGTAAACGGCGAGACCTAGAGGAAAGATACCACTCATAAACTTTTCTTAATATTTCACTGTCCCACCTCAGACTTGTCCGGATCTGGATTGCTTGCCGAGAAGGCCGTGGTCGTGAAGTCTATGTTTTCGCGACCTGGTCCCAACGATTGCTGGTATAAAGTCAAGGCTTAAGACCAAGTAAGCTTTACGGACAAACATGGTGACTGGGTTGTTCTTTTCAGGATTCGACTTGACACTGAACGCTGTTGTCATGCCTCGTCAGTAGGCGATATTTACACAATGAACTCATTGCCCAAACCATTCACTCCGACCATCGCATCGCATCCCACCGCGTTCATCATTGCCAAAACCCATTAAGCCGATTCTCCGAACATAAGCAACAGGCCACTGATCAGTCATCGACTCAAACAAGACTCTTCACCACCAACTCGGAGCGTCCAGGGCGCCAATCCACACTCCTCTTCTCTTCTTCTAGGTTATCTTGGCCGAATACTTCCCGAGGGGCGGAGGGGCGAGGTTGATGATGATTGTGAGCTGTCTTTTGATCGGCTCGTTCCGTATAACATGATTATCATCCATCACGTTCACTTCAAGAGTGCGAGGCCTACTAATGGTTGCAGAACACCATTTACAAAGGTCAAACTTGAAGTCTTTTATGGATGTAAGTCAAGAATACTCGGTCTGTATCAACGTGTGTGCTTGGCGATGCGGCGGCGTTGACGGAGACGGCGCTTGAGTTGTTCATGGGGATTAGATACATATGTTGATGTCATATCGAGGTGGCCAGAAAGCCGTGAGCAGAAACCCTGCTGTGAAGGCTGTCTTTTGCGTTAAGCCGCATAGTTCTCTGCTATGCGCGAAAGCCGGATGTCGGGTTGTTATAAAACTGGCGGTCAAAGTAAAAGAGAAAGTAACCAAAGGGCCTAATTTGTCCCTCGATGAACCACTTTTTCTAGATACGTATTGGTTCCAGCAGTGGTGACACCTCCTGAAGCGACGTCGATGCTCTTCCGTACGCCAAATCTCGAGCTGTTGATATTCACGGCCTCGCTGGCTCTTGACGTCTCTGATCTTCGCTGGTACAGTATTCCTGCATACATTATGGAAAGATCTGTGTCGCGACGCGGAAGAATCGATCGAGAGCATCTTGCTGAAGTTGACACTAAAACAGAAATGTATCATTCTACCTGGTAGCTCCGGACGCTCGGCAACACCTCTGAGCGTGATGAGATCAATTTGCTTGTAACAGACTGGTTTCTATTTCAGAAGCTGCTTTTATCAACAGCACAGCTTCTCGGCAAGGAGTTCTGACTCGGTAAAGCGTAGCGGTATATATTGCTCTTGTGTAGAGAATTTTGCCCTTGCCTTCTCTGTAAACCAATGTGAAGGACGGAATGCATAGGCTGCCGAATTCACTCCTCTCAACTTCCATAGCATTGGATAGGGTGATGGGTATATCGAAACAACACATATCGGGTTCCCGTGTAATTCGGCCTCTCTCGGCTACTGTTCTCCCGCGTCTGCTCCGTCTTATTGGGGATGTCTTATCCGTTGGTACGGCGCTCGAAAGACTTCTTACTCCCGAACGCCGCACGCACAGCCAATTCCTGCTGTTGGAAGCACCAGTCGAGGCCACCATGTTGACCATCTCTCCGTTGCTGTGTTCTGCCTCAGCTATCACCCACCGGTCCGAGGGCACTGGCCTCGTATGTACTCTTTTCTCTTTCGCCGGGTGTATAGGATTTGGCATTTCAAGATGTTGACCGGGCTTGTCGAGTCAATCGAGAAAAGGTGCTGACCAAGGGGTTCTATAGCTCAACACAGGAAGGCCGCAGACGGCTGAGGAATTGTTCAAATGCGTGGAACAGCCGGCATCTTCGTAGGAGGGGCCATCTTTACTATCAGATTATGTTCTGCGTCGGAACGCACCAAACTTAGCTTTTCGAGGTCTCTACAGCACCTGGAACGACGTATGACAGTCGCTGAACTTCTGGTATACGAGGCTTCTTCCATGCAGTTTTTTGTTGATTTTTGGGGTGTTCCACATTTCGGTGCAGCTCTCGACGCTTTCCACCCAGCTTTACCCCAAATGCCTACTGCTTTCCTTCAGCGGACTTTCCATATATATAAGAAAGAAGCCCACCAGGCGCACAGCAGCGTTTAGCTTATACACTTTGAATAGGGGGAGACTAGTGAAGGCGAGAGAAGAGGACGTCGGATGACGTGGCAAGAAGAGTCTTACCGCGAGAGACTGTAGTACTGGAACATGCTTATTTGATCTTTGAATCGGGAGTACTGACGGCGTCGCTGTAGCAAGTAGCACGTTACGAAAATTGGACGAAGGTGGATGTCTTGGTGCATCATACTTTCTCCTGTGTGGAGTCTCCTTATAACTTCTTACGTCCAAGTTCCGCTGTTGAATTGGTTAACTTTTTCCGACGGACTAACAACACGAGACGGCTCAATCTATATCAATAGGCGATAAGCCATTCTCAGAAAACGAACACGAACCAACACAGTGGAGGTGCGGCTTTTTGTTCTCTGGTAACCCAGTAAGATACACAAACGACACGCATCTCCTCTTGATAAGCAGGGCCCCCCTGAAAACCGAAGATTGCCGAAGACTTTGACCGCGCTTCGTATTAATACAGCAATCAACGGCGGATGATGAAAGGCAACAGCCCAAGATACTTATTCGTGGCCATCATGCTAAGAAGAGCATCCCAAGCTGCGGTACTTGTCATCGCCATGCCTTGTTCCTCTCTGCCAACTCACTGCACCTTTCCGTCAAGAACACCGCAACTGGCTAACTATTCTAGGTCTATTAAAAAGTTTTGACCTTTTATACCCAGATTTCAAGAATTGGGCAGGCCGCCAGACGTTCGCAGACTTCAGCAGGAGCCAAAGCCCTGTGTTTCGGGCCTGGAAGGAAAGCGACACCTCTCCATCCAGTTGGGACCGAAACACGCGAGCAGAAGATGTGACTAGGCTCGTGTAAGATTTCCGTCTTCTTAGCAACTAGGTCCCAGGCAAAATAAAGCAGTGAGCTGTAGCTCACTCCGCGTAGCTTTCGCGATCAGTCACCCGAGTCCACGGCAAAAACCACGCATGTTCACCACCACTGTCGTTCGCCAGGCACTATTTGTTTAGAAACGACGTGCCCCAGTCAGCAACCCATCGGAAACGCGTTCTCGACAATGCGATTCGGAACTCGAACTCGTTGGAGTCCGCGACAACCAAGTGTCCGGTTGTGAGGCGGCGGCGCTCGGCCTCCTCTCGTCGCCAGTGAGTATAAGTCGAAGAAAATGAAGGAAGCCAACATCAAGGTATAACATGACGTACGGAAGCACTCCCAACGCATAAGACAACAACACATAAGTCAAGCGACTGACGTGTTCAGCAAACACAAAGACTCACGATTTTGGGGCTTTCTCACACAACCCTGTCATAAGGTCTTGCTTGGGTTGGGGAGATCGCTGTTACTTGACGTAAAGTTGGTCTTTATAGGTAGGTAGAGGAATAACATCCACTATGACTCCCAAGTAATACATAGAAATATCACCCGGAAGATGCGCGGCGTTCCATGGGCCACAATACGCCGTCCTACCTTTTGGTTAGTTACAAGTTGAGTTCAAGCTGGTAATCGCATCTAAACTATTTAGAAGAAATATCTCAACCAATCGCTTGATAGGAGCTCGTGAACATCAAAATGATGGTGTCGAGAAGGATATATAAAAAGGGCGCCGCAACGGCTAGTCAAGTTTCCCGTTGGCAGTGTAGGCCCCTGTTGAAGAAGCCACTTCGAATTCTTCCCATGCCAGTTTTTGACTTGCTCCCTGAGAATGTTCAATAACCGCAGGACCTAGAACATACAGGTTCTCATTCGGCCAGCTAGACTTGGATGGGTTGTTTCCTGACCAGTTCAATATTCAGTATACTTCGAAAACGACGACAGAGATAGAAGATCAGGGTCGAAACTGTCACCTTGGTGGTCGTGGAGCTCTTACCTCTCAACCCAGAAGTTCCCCGGCTCTGGACTATGGCCTCTCAAAACTTGAACTCAAAGCCCATCCTCACTTATTTTCTGGTTCTCTAAATGTCGAAAGCAGCCGATTGCATACCTAAATATCAACCGTCTTCGTCTGAGTGTCCATAGTACCTATACGTAATATTCCCTCCAATCCAGCACTCTCTTCCTTTGCTTGCGCGAGAACCCGGAAGATATCTCAGCCCAACACAAAAGGCAGGCAGGCACTCCCGCCACCGTCCTCTATGGCTCCTTCCTCACCTTCCACAAACCCTCTCCCACCTCACCCACCCTCCCCTCCTACCTCCCCGGTCCTTCCCTTTATATCCAACTCCAACCCATCAAGTCGTCAACTAAGCCCGATGAGAGGCCACATGGCCTGGAGGTATAACGCCCTGGTCCGTTAGTGAGAACTTGGTATGAAATCCTAAATATCTAACTATTTCTGAGGATTTCGTAGGGTGGCGGGTTCGAATCCGCGCCTGAGCTTTTTGTTTTCTTTTTTCATTATTCAACCTCTTTTTTTTTTCTTTTTTATGAGATCCCTCTGCTTATGAATATGGCGTTTTGCTGATGAGGGGTGCCTCTGTAGAGAAACCGCGAGTTTCCGTCATGACGTATGTCGCGCTTGAGAGCGCAGGAGCGGTGCGTTAGTCTAGACACCACCCACCCACGAAGCAAACCCAAACAAGCCAGCACATGCTTACTATTCTCGCAAGTGCAATCCATCAGTCAGAGGGACGGTCACGAAATGTATTACAATGTCAGATAGTTTGACTTTTCAACCCACCCGATCTTCACACCAATTTTGTGGTCTGCTTGCAGGGGAGCATCGCGTCCGCAATAGATACCTGGCCAT